GTTGCTAGTTCTATGCAAATGCTTGTATCTTTCAAGAACAGGACTCAGGGATGATGATTGGCAGTGCTAGAGAGGAAGAATGGCTCTATTATTTCAAAGAGGATCTTTGTGAAAGGAGGATTTTTTCGAACCACTCTCTGTGTTTATCAGATGACTGTAATGATGTTTTGTTATGGCATCGTAGGTTAGGACACCCAAATTTTGTTTATCTTCAGAAGTTATTCCGAACTTATTTATCAATAAAAAACCAAGTTCCTTTCTTTCTGATATTTGTCAGCTTGCAAAACATTCTCGTGTCACTTATTCTCCTAAGAAATATCATGAATCTTCTCCCTTTACATTGATTCATAGTGATATTTGGGGACCTGCTCGTGAAAAAAATGTCTCGGGTGCTCGTTGGTTTATTACTTTCATTGATGATCATTCTAGGGTATGTTGAGTATATCTCTTAAAAGAGAAGTCTGATGCGGCATCCACTTTTAAAAACTTTCATGCTATGATTCAAACTCAATTCCAGACCTCTATCAAAATTCTGCGAACAGACAATGGTATTGAATATTTTAATTCTGTTCTTGGAGATTACCTAAACCAGCATGGGATTATTCATCAAAGTTCTTGTCCTAACATCCCTCAACAAAATGGGGTGGCTGAAAGGAAAAATAGACATATAATTGAAGTTGCTCGAGCTCTCTTATTCACAATGCATGTCCCTAAATATCTTAGGGGGGAAGCCTCTTGACAGCCTCTTATCTTATTAATCGGATGCCTTCTCGGATACTAAATTTTCATTCTCCTTTATCCTGTCTTACTAAATCTTTTTCCTCTTTCAGTGCTCTTTCTTCTCTTCCTCCCAGAATATTTGGCTGTGTGGTTTTTGTGCATATTCCTCCACATCAAAGGTCCAAACTTGACCCTAAATCTATTAGATGTGTCGTCATAGGATATTTCCCTAATCAAAAAGGTTATAAGTGTTACTCACTTTCTTTCCGTAAGGTCTTTGTTTCCATGGATGTTACCTTTTATGAGACACAATCCTTTTTTTTCCCGACTTCTCTTCAGAGGGAGTCTATTGGTATTGGTATGGATGAAGATAAGCCTGGGAAACCAAATGATATTGCTGTCTTACCTTGGCCTTTGGAAATAGGGGGAGTTATTGGGAAGGAAACAGGGGGAGCAACTATACCCGAGTCTAATGATCCTCCTGGTAAATGGGAAAAATTCTACAGCAGGCGCAAAACACATCAAGATACTCTAGACTGCCAGGATCCTGACTCCTTGCTCCAACAACTCACTTGAATGCACTAGTACAACCAACATTGATATGCCCATTGCTCTTCGGAAAGGTACTAGATCTTGCACTGCTCATCCTATTTCCCATTATATCTCATATGAGAAGTTATCTCCAGGTTTTCGTGCTTTCAACACTATGTTAGACAGTACCAGGATACCCAAAAATATCCAAGAAGCACTTGATGACCCAAAATGGAGGAATGCAATATTAGAAGAAATGGATGCACTTATAAAAAATGGAACATGGGAGTTTGTGTCATTACCTAAAGGAAAGAAAACTGTTGGTTGCAAGTGAGTGTTCACAATAAAATTTAATGCAGACAATAGCATCAATAGGTATAAGGCCAGATTAGTTGCTAAGGGATGTACTCAGACTCATGGGATAGATTATCAGGAGACATTTGCTCTTGTTGCCAAGCTTAACACTATCCGCGTTCTACTATCTCTCGCCGCCAACCTTGATTGGCCATTGCAACAGTTAGATGTTAATGTAAAGAATCTTGGGATACACCATCCCAAAAGCTAGCTCAAAGGGTGGGAGTGCCCAAGACCTTATAAACTCCACATTAGTTGCACATACAACCAATGTGGGACTATATATCTCAACACGCCCCCTCACACGAGAGCCCCTTGGGCTTGAAGAGTGGACAATGCAACAGGCCCAGCCTACCTGTGCTAAGAAACGCCACAAGAGAAAGTGGGGGGCGGCGAGGCTCTGATACCATGTAAGGAACCAATTCAACCCAAAAGCTTAAGCTGTTAGGTGAGGGCCTCTTTAATGGTTTATACTATACTCTAACACGCCCCCTCACACGAGAGCCCACTGGACTTGAAGGGTGGATAATGCACAGGCCCACCTACCTGTGCTAAGAAAATTCCACAAGAGAAAGTGGGGGGGGGGGTGAGGATCGAACTCGGAACACGAGGCTCTGATACCATGTAAAGAATCTTGGGATACACCATCCCAAAAGCTAGCTCAAAGGGTGGGAGTGCCCAAGACCTTATAAACTCCACATTAGTTGCACATACAACCAATGTGGGACTATATATCTCAACAGTTAAGAATGCCTTCTTGAATGGTGATCTACATGAGGAAGTTTACATGGATCCACCTCCTGGTTTTGAAAAAGGGGATGGTTCTGTGTGCAAGTTGCAGAAGTCTCTCTATTGACTTAAACAATCTCCCAGAGAATGGTTTGGGAAATTTACTCAATCTGTTAAGGGGAGAGGGTTCTTCTAAGCTCAGACTGATCACACTTTATTTTTTAAACACTCCGACGAAGGTAGAATTGCTATTCTCATCGTTTATGTTGATGACATAATTGTCACTGGTAATGATAGCGAGGAGATAACCTCTTTAAAAAAAATGTTTAGCTGACATGTTTGAACTAAAAGATCTTGGATCTCTCAAATATTTCCTTGGCATGGAAGTTGCTCGGAGTAAGGAAGGAATTTCTTTAACTCAGAAAAAATACATTCTAGACCTGTTACAAGAAACAGGTATGCTTGGGTGCAAGCCGGCAGAGACTCCAATTGAAGCTAATATCAAGTTGGGAGTTGAGGACGAGGAAGATGTTGATAGGGAGCAGTACTAGAGACTAGTGGGGAAATTAATCTATTTGTCTCACACTCGTCTTGATATTGCTTTTGCTGTGAGCATGGTTAGCCAATTCATGCATTCTTCTAAGGAAAAACACCTTAGTGCTGTTTATAGAATTCTCAAGTACCTCAAAAACACCCCTGGTCGAGGAATTCTCTTTAAAAAGGGGAACAAAAGGATGATTGAAATTTATATAGATGTAGACTGGGTTGGCTCTGCAATGGACCGAAGATCTACTTCAGGATATTGTACTTATGTCTGGGGAAATCTTGTGACCTGGAAAAGTAAGAAACAATCTGTTGTTGCAAGAAGTAGTGCAGAATCGGAATTTCGGGCTCTAGCCCATGGTATTTGTGAAGGAATTTGGTTAAGAAGGCTTCTGGAGGAGTTGAAGATCTCTTATTCCCTACCTATCAGATTATATTGTGATAATAAGGCTGCTGTCAGCATTGCTCAAAATCCTGTTCATCATGACAGAACAAAACATGTGGAAGTTGATCGTCACTTTATCAAAGAAAAATTAGAAGATGGTAGTGTATGCTTGTTATATATACCTACCAAGGAATAGACGGCAGATATTCTCACCAAAGGATTACTTAAGCCGACCTTTGAGGATTTGATCAGCAAGTTGGGAATGATCAACATATATCTCCCAACTTGAGGGGGAGTGTAGAATATTCTAGATTGTGATTTATCATTTATTGCTTTTTTGCTATCTGTTCCCTTATTTATTAGTGTCTCTTGTTATTGTAAATAAGTCTCTTAGTTTACTGTTGCTATTTATTGGTGTAGCTTACTGTACTCAATATAAAAAGGATCCATTAGGTCTCCATGAATTAAGAAATTAAGTTATTCAGTCAAAACTCTTCTTCTTTTCTACAGTTAGAGATATATGAAACGATTAATGTAACCTCATCCAATAGCTTAAGTTTTAGGGTTGAATTGGTTCTTTATATGGTATTAGAGCGTCGGTGTTACAGGTTCAATCCTCACGGCCCTCAATTTAATTAATAAGTAATTAAGTCTTGTGGAGTTTCTTAGCATAGGTAGGTGAGCCTGTGCATTGTCTACCCTTCAAGCTCAGTGGGCTCTCACATGAAGGGGCTTGTTAGAGATATATAAAACTATTAATGTAACTTCATCCAACAGCTTAATCTTTTGCGTTGAATTGGTTCTTTACAAAATATATATATATATATATATATATATATATATATATATATATATATATATATATATTTGGGTTCATTATTGCTTCTGTTTCTACAATGCTTGTCACCAACTCATGAATGGTTTTTTATCTAACATACACCATCATGCAAGAGTTCTTTAGGCTTGAAGTGCGGACAATATAAAGACCCACCTTACCTTGTGCTGAAATTAATTAATTAATTTATTTTTTTGAATAATGGAGGTAGACAATGATCAAACTCTTGACCATTTCGTCATGGAGGCTCTAATGCCTTGTTAATCACCAACTCTCCCAAAAGTTTAAGTTGTTAGGTGAAGATTTGTGAATGGTTTTATATCTAACAGCTAGTTGATAGGCATTTTATAATATGAAAGATTTCAAAAATAACTAGTATATGGTAAGCAAATTGGAATTTACTCGAAGATTATGCTTTAAAGATAAAACCTACTGGTCCACACCTTGGTTTATTGAGATGAAGATACGTTGCAACTCTTTTGTCCTTTTTTGCTTGTAAATAATTTTGGTTAAAAGTTAAAACATTCAGAAAATTAATTTTCCAACTGTTTTGCTAAGTTTCAGATGTTTTTCGTGCAGGAATTTTTTATAAATAAAATATAAACTACTATGTAATATTTTACTTTAAAAAAATATATTTTATACAATATATAAGCAAAAATATTTACATAGAAGAAGTTTTATAATCAACAATTCAATCCAATCCAAAGTCATTCGTGGGATTATGGTGATTGAGTTTTTCCATAAAATATTGCTTTAATCAGATGGGATTATTCTCCAAACTGATTAGGTCAGTTTGGTTGGCATTGGCGAATAATAGGTTGAGCTTCCAGCCTACGAATAGTTGATGCTTTCGCGAGTTTGAATAGTTAGTTGTACAATTGACATCATTGCTTACTGCAGGGCAGCAAACCCGAAACTTCATTGAAGCTGTGGAGCAATATGGTCACTTGGGATTACGTACACTATGTTTGGCTTGGCGTGATTTAAAGGAAGATGAATATCAAGAATGGTCTTTGATGTTTAAAGAGGCCAGTGGTACCTTGGTTGATAGGGAGGTAAAGGGCACAGTTACTACTAATTTTATATGTTGTAATTCTAAAAATCGCTTTCTCAGTTTACTATCTTTGGACAGTGGAGAGTTGCTGAGGTCTGCCAAAGACTAGAACATGATTTTGAAGTTCTTGGTGTAACAGCAATAGAGGATCGCTTACAGGTGATTATTTGCCATATTTGAACATAGAGGTCTAATTTTTAGATAGCATCCTTAAACCTCAATAATTTTTTTTGAATTGCATCTACTTTTGATTGTTAAAGGGAAAAGGGGGGAAATTTACTGAAAGAATTTCCTTGTGGGTTTATATGATGACTATTATCATTTCTTTCTTACTTGATATTTTTCAGTATGGAGTGCCTGAAACAATAGAAACACTAAGAAAAGCTGGACTGAATTTTTGGATGCTTACTGGAGACAAGCAGAGTACTGCAATACAAATTGCCCTGTCATGTAATTTTATTTCCCCAGGTAGTTCAGATTTGAAATCATACAGAACATACTTCTAAGTGTTGTTCATATATACATTGAATTTGTTCATGTTTGTCCAAAGAATCAAGCAACTAAAGATTCTCAATATGCCCAGAGTAGCTCACCCTCTATCTCTGTTTATTCAGAGACAGACAAGCTTATGCGTGTATTTATCCCACTGTTCTGTTCACTGTGTATTTTTAGGGGAGTAAGTGTATAAGTAGTGAGAACTGAACCAATTGCTCAAAAAGAGAATCGGTGGTTGTTCTCAGATTTGTATCCATATGGTTTAATCACCGTCAACATTAACAACACCTTTATTCCAAACTAGTTGGAGTCTGTGACAGAGGGACCCAAATGAAAAGATTGAGGAAAAAAGGATAAAAATAAAATTAATATATATATATATAACACTATACATTAAAAAAATTGCAATAAACAATTAAAAAGAAAAATATAATAGAATAAAGTGAAAATAAAAATACATAAGAGACAAAAATACGTAAGAGGAAAAAAGAAAAGAATAAGAAAGTAAAATTAAATAAATTTTTTTTTAAGACATAGAGAGATAAAAATAAAGAAAAAAGAAGAAAATTCATAAATAAATAAATAAGAGAAAAAAATTGAGAGGAGAAAAGAGAGAGAAAAAAAGAGGTGAAGAAAGAAATAAAGGGAGATATAGGGGAAAAGTACTAAAAATGGACTATTTGGAACATAGGAAGAAAAACGAGTCTAACCCTTCAAAATGCTAATATTTTTCCTCCAATTCGTCCTAAGACACACTGTCCTTGAATCTATATTCTTCTCCATTAAGTCTTATTTTATTACCTTTTCCTAAGTAAGTTTCGGTTTATCTTTTTATCTTTTTGTGTCAAGCTCTTAGTAACAAACTTTTATTCTTACGAAGCACCTCAATCTATATTCTTTCATCTTTTCAACCACCGGTACTATTCCTACCTTTCGTCGAATATCTTCAATTCTTATCTTATCCATCCTTGTATGATCACACATCCACCTTAAATCCTCATTTTCGTTACTCCTTTTTTATGGTCATGTTGCCTATGTGCTGGCCAACATTCAACTCTGTGTAACATTGCAAGCCTTATTTCTGTTCTATGGTATTTTCCTTTTAGCCTAGGCAGAATTTTGCGGGCACACAAAAACCCTGATGCATTATGCCATTTCGTCCACCTTGTTCTGATTCTATTATTTACATCTTTATTAATCTATCCATCTTTTTGCCAAATTGTCCTAGATATCTGAAAGAATCTTTCTTAAGTACCTCTTGTCCAAGCAAATGCACGGAATCTTAGTCTCCAACTCTTGCTAGAGTAAACTCATACTTCATATACCCAGTCTTTCTCCAGCTTAGAGTAAATCTTTTAGATTCCAATGTACTTATCCACAATTCTATTTATCTGTTAACATCAGCCTTAATCTCATCAATAAGCACAATATCATAGCAAAAAACATACACCATGACACTTCCTCTTGGATATCTTTTGTTAGTTCATCCATAATTAGAGTAAAGCGATAAGGATTTAGAGCATGACAGTAGTGTACACCTACCATGATAGGAAAATAACTTGATGTTCCATTACAAGTTTTCACGCATGTAGTAGCACCATCATACATATCCTTGATCGTCTCTATCTACTTTGATGGTACTTTTTTCTTCTCAAGAACCCATCATAGAACCTTTCTTGGAACCTTATCATATGCCTTCTCAAGATCTATAAATTTAAGTCATTCTTCTCTCAATATCTTTCCATTAATTGTCATATCAAGAAAATGACCTCCATGGTACATCTTCTTGGCATAATCCCAAATTGATTTACAGATTCCTTGGTCTCTCTCTTCAAGCGATGTTTAATAACTCTCCCGCAACTTCATAGTATGGCTCATAAGCTTAATAATGCCTTTATAGTTCGAACAGTTCTGAATATCTTTCTTGTTTTTGTAAATAGGTACAAACATACTTTTCCTCCACACTTCAGACATTTTATTTGTTTGGAGGATCTTATTGAAAAGATTTGTCAACCAACTTATTGCAACATCTCCCAAGTCTCTCCATACTTTAATAGGGACACCATTGTATCCCAAAGCTTTATTAGTCTTCATCTTCTTTAAAGCATCCTTTACTTTATGTGCTTTGAAAGCATATTAAAGTAGCTAATTCACCTTTCTTTAACTTCTGTATCTCTTATCAAAAGTTTTTGATTTTTATCCTTGATGCATCTAACCTAGGTCAAGTCTTTACTTTTCTTATCCCTTATTTTAGCAAGTTTATATATACTTTTTCACCACCCTTGCTCCCAAGATCTCTGTACAAATTAGATAAAACTTTGCCACTAGCTTCTCGCACCGTTTTCTTAGCATTTTTTCTTGCCAATAAACTTCCGCAATTTCTTATCATTAGGACATTTATGCAAACATCTAAAACAATCATTCTTCTATTTAATTGCAACCTGCACCTCTTCATTCCACCATCACATTTCCTTTGTTTGAAAACCATTCCTTTTGCTTTCTCCTAACACCCTCTTTCTCACTTTTTGGATACATTTAGCCATCTCGTTCCACATTTCATTTGCTTTTCCATCAAATTGGTCCTTCATGAACCATTCTTTCCTTGAACTCTTCTTGTTTTTTCTCCTTTAGCTTCCACCATCTTATTCTTGGGTTCTAAGCGCTCTTCCACATTTTATGTACTTTGTTTAACCGAATCTCTAGAACTACCAGTTTATGTTGCATAGCTACACATTCTCTAGGGTAGACCTTACAGTCAACACATGGGCTCAATCTTCTCTTCTAGCAAGAAAGAAATCAATCCAGCTATTATTTTGGTCACTATGATACGTGATTATATGTGACTCCTTTTTCGAAAAAAAGTGTTCACTAGCATTAAATCATAAACTAGTGCAATGTTCAAGAATCTTCGCTAGCCTCATTTCTCGTCCCATAGCCATAACCTCCATGAATTCTATCAAAATCTCTATTATTTTTACCAACATGCCCATTTCAATCTCCTATGAAAATCTTCTCTTCCCAAAATTGGTTCTTATTGGTTAATTGTATAAAGAACCAACCCAAAAGCTTAAGCTATTGGGTGAGGCTACATTAATGGTTTTATATATCTCTAACATACACCCTCATATTAGAGTCCACTGGGCATGAAGGGTGGATAATGCACAGGCCCGCCTATCTGTGCTAAGAAATTCCATAAGAGAAAGTAGGGGGCAATGAGGATCGAACCCAGGACACGAGGCTCTGATACCATGTAAAGAACCAATTCACCCAAAAGCTTAAGCTGTTGGGTGAGGCTATATTAATGGTTTTATATATCTCTAACAAATTGCAATCCAATTTGGGGGCATAGACACTAAGGATATTCAAAATTAAATCACCCACTACAAGCTTAACCAAAATAATCTTGTTGCCTTTTCTTCTGACATCAACAACCCTATTTTCGAAACTTCAATCAACTATAATCCCATTTTTACTCTTGTTTAAATGCAATATAATCATTCCATTTTCGAAACCATGTTCTGCAAAAGCATTGATTTATATCTTCTCTCAGACTATCAAACAACTCTTTGATAATTGGAAAGATATAAAAGGTTAAATCCAGGAAATATCTAGAATACCTTATTTGAGTTTGAAAATACTTCAAGTCCTAGTCAGGATGCTCCAATGACTGAAGCTTCTGGTTGACAGTTTGGGCTACCAACAAAAAACAAAAAGACCATTGTGTTTCAGAAAAATTACAAAATAAGTGCCTTACCAGTTATTAGGTTCATTTCCCTTTAGAAGTTTGATATACGGGTTATACTTATTCTAAAATGTACTAGTGAAAATATTCAGCTTCTCCATAGAAAAAGGAAGTCTCCTTGGGACCAAGAAAAGAATTTCCATTTTGTCCCTTGAACCTGCTCACCTGGTTGGGACATTTGGTTGTAGGTTCACGGTAGGGTGTTTAACACCACATCCCTTTCCTATTCCCTTTTCCCCGTCCCCCTCCTTGCCTTGGGCCCCTTAGTGGGGATTCCCTAGGCAATACTCTAGTGGTGGTACTCCCCTATGCCCTGGCTGGGTCTAGTACAAAAAAAAAAATGCCATTTAATGATATTACAAATTTTCCATACCTGAGCTTTTCCTGCTGTGTAGCCAAATGGTATCCAGAAATACTAATGAGTGTGGTAAAATCTTAGAATAGATAAAAGAAAAAAAAAATACATAATGCATTTTGCTATAATCATATTATTTACTTTCCTATTGTGCATATAGTCCCAATTTTGAAGTACTGTTGCTTCAGAACTTTTGACTACGTGATACTCACTCTCGAATGAAGTTTGGCTTTTAATACAAGAGTTAAGAATTTTTGTTTGGCGGAAAGAGCAGGTGGGTGGGTGTTCGATGGTGTTACCTATGAATATCTGATGAGCTTCGATATTGTTTTTCGGTATTTATTATTTGCATCTGAATTTTCACTGTCTGATTACTTTTATGCATTCTTCTTTGAAAGGTTTTAATTTGCACTAATCATTTATTGTTTTTATTTGCCCTCCAAAACTGATAGAACCCAGGGGACAGCTTTTATCGATTGATGGCAAAACAAAGGATGAGGTTCATACAAGTTTGGAGAGAGTGCTTCGTACAATGCAGATAACTGCCTCAAAACCTAAGGTCCTGCTTATACATTATGTCCTTATCAAACTAGAATCCAGTAATTGGAGAGCTTTGCTAACTGGATGTGCCTTTTCTTGTTTATTCTGGTTTTTGTGTTGTGGTTTCTGTTATTCCTTTCTCTTACACTTCTCTAATAAATTTCTTCTCTCATCTTAAAAGAAGAATTAAAATTAAATCCAATGATAGGTTGATTTGATCTTCATTTTGTGTTCTGCAATCCATTTAATTATGTTTTATGAAGTATTGTAATAATAAGTAATATATTAAAATATTCTGGAAGTATAATATTGATTATTGAATTACCTATAGCTGGCTCCTGCAAACATGTGGGAATTGTAATTCTCTGAACAAATTGTATTCATAGATTGCACTAGACATGTATATTGGAAATTTTAGAATCATGGTATTTCTTTATCTTTCTTATATAATTTTCCTTGAAAGGGTAATTATAAAAGGATGGTTAAACCCCACTTCCTCATTTGCAAGCAAGGGCAAAAACTAATACCACAGTTGCAATAGACAATAATGTGTTGCCTCAGACCTTTCAGTCAGAAAAAGGAAACAAAGATTAAACTGTACAACCCTGAATGAGTTGTTAGTTGTTACGTTTATGATGTTTGTCTCTTCATTTGTCTTTAGTTTTATTCCAGATTCATAGGAAGTCACTTGTTCAATATGTTCTTTATCTCGTTAACACCTGGGTGGTAGGTACAGTCCAGCAAGTCATGTATATGTTTTAACTAAAACCTTTTGAGTCCATCTTTACTTGTTTCTAAAGTATTTTTGAATTTGATATTTTGATGGAAAGGAATTAGATTGACGGATGGTTTCTTAGAATAGATTGGAGGAAATCTATTAGTATTGTGGAGGGATAAATCCATTTTTCTTCCTATGTTTCGGACAGTTCTTGTTTGGTCCTTTTTTTCCTATATTTTCCTTAATTAATTAATTAATTTAATTATTTTCCTCTCTAATTTATTTTTCCCTTTTATTTATCTATTTTTGTTTTCACTATTTTTTTCCTTTTATTTTTCTTTCTTTTTTCTTTGTTTTTACTATCTATGATTTTCCTTTTATTTATTTTTCTCTTATCTATCTTTATTTTCACTTTATGTTTATTCCATTCCAGATGGTTTCTTTTTAGTTATTTTCCTCTATATATCCCTTTATTTATTTCTTTGCCTCTCCTTTTTTTTATTTCTTTCCTTTCTCTTTTGTCCTCTCTATTTTTCTTCTCATATTTATTTATTTATTTTTAATTTTACTTTCTTGTTTTTTGTACTTTTTTCTCTTTTATATTTTTCTCTATTATTCATCTTTATTTTCACTTTATTTTATATTTTTTGAAATGATTTATTGCTATTTTTTAATTTCTAGTGTTACTTATATATATATATATATATATATATATTTAATTTTAATTTTTTTCTCTCAATCTTTATATACTTTTCATTTGGGTTCGTCTGCCACTAACCCGAACTATTTTGGTATAAAAGTGTTATTGATGTTGCTTATTATATTTTTTTTAATTCTAGTTTAATTTTTAAAATTTTCATTTATTTATTTATTTTTCCCTTCTTTTCCCTTGATTTGGGTTCACCGACCACCAATGCCAACTATTTTGAGATAAAAGTGTTGTTTATGTTAATTTTGATGGAAAGGAGTGATGAGAAGGATAACTTGTTTTGTGTTAGCTAGTATGTTTACATGTTCAATTGAACTGGTTGCGTCTATTCATTCATTGGATCAAGATAATTTAAAAGGGTTCGAAGTTCATATTTTTGTTGTTCTTATGCTTTCTCAAACAGGATGTGGCTTTTGTTGTTGATGGCTGGGCTCTTGAGATTGCACTTAAGCACTACCGTAAAGCTTTTACTGAGCTGGCAATATTATCTAGGACTGCTATATGTTGTCGTGTGACGCCATCGCAAAAAGCGCAGGTATATTTTACAACTTTATATGCATATAATTGGGGTTGTTTAAATAATTTATGTAATCCTTTTTTATTCATTCTTCCTCCCTGTTGTAAACTCCTAGCGTACAGGCTTGTGCTGTCTTGGTTCCATTTTAATTAACTTTTACCTTAGCAGAAAAATAAGGAAAGCTAAGATAGATATCTTATATTACCTAAAATTGACTCCGTTCAGCTGTTTGTTTTTTAGCATAAATGAAGTTTCCTCTTCATTTCTATGTTTTGCACCATTTACACATCCATCTCAAAAGGTACAAGACGGCATTCGTTATCCAAAATCAGCGTTACCAATGGAGTCCCTTATTATATGAGCAAATAGTGTGTGTGTGGTTTCTATCTCAAGTCTCCCCCTTCTCAAACTGTTACGTTTTACAGAAAACAACCCAAGAATTATCACAATCAGCAGAGAAAATAGAGACACAACCACTCTTTTGTATCATTCAGATGCAAAATAACGCTCATAAACAGAGTTTGATTCATCTTAAAGGAAAGTTACATCAAAACTAAACCCAGCAAATTACAATGGAAATGAAAAGATAACAGTGAGACAATTATAGAGGTCCCACACTCTCCTAAGCAATTGCTTCTTCCATATCCAGCCTGCCTCTCCATTCCTTCCCACGCTCTATATAACCAACTCATGGCACAACATGCACTAATCAGTTAAGGGGTATTCTTGTGACTTCCTACTGCTGACGTGGCATTATCATCTGAGAGCTGCTCTTCTGAAGCATTTGGGCCTTGCTTATCTTTGATCCATACACGTCTTGCTTTGTCCCTTGTGTACATCTTGGGCCTGATTGTATCAATACTCCCCCCATTTGTACAACCTTGTCCTCAAGGTTGAATTGAGGAAACTGACTGTTGATAACTGTAAATTCCTCCCACGAATTTTCAAATGTTGGTAAATGACACCATTTAATCAACACTTGAACTGTGTTTTGGACAGAACGCCTCACACCCAAAATAGCTTCAGGTTCCATTTTTAATTCCCAATTATCATTAAGGACCGAGGGGAGAGGTTGGATAACAGCAGCTGCCTTGACTGCCTTCTTAAGTAAACTAACATGAAAAACAGGATGTACCTGACACCCAGATGGGAGATGTAAACGGTATGCTGCCTCCCCAACCCGCTCCAGCACTTGGTAGGGACCATAGAAACGTGGGCTAAGCTTCTCATTGATGCGTCTGGCAATCGTTTTAAGACGATAGGGTTGGATTTTGAGGTAAACCCAATCCCCCACAGCATATTGGACTTCTCTGCGGTGTTGGTCAGCAAAGTGCTTCATGCGATCCTGTGCCTTGAGGATGTGATGCTGCAGATCTTGCAAGATGACATCCCGCTCTGCTAATGATTGGGAGACAGCATCAACCGAAGGAATAAACGTCCCACACTTGAACAAAGTAGGTGGATCTCTGCCATACAAAGCTCTAAATGGGGTCATGCCCGTTGTATCCTTGAATGTTGTATTGTACCAAAATTCAGCCCAAGGAACCCATTTGGGCCATTCCTTGGGTTTAGTGCAGCAAAAACAGCGTAGATAGGCCTCTAAACAGCGGTTAACGACCTCCGTCTGGCCATTGGTTTGCGGATGATACGCTGTGCTATAATGGAGCTTGGTAGCTGCACACTTGAAAAGTTCAGTCCAAAAGTGACTTAAAAATACCCTGTCACGGTCTGAAGTGATTGTAGCAGGAAAACCATGTAATCGTACGATCTCCTTGACAAATAATTCAGCCACTTCCTTAGCCGTATAGGGATGTTTGAGGGGAATGAAGTGAGAATATTTGGTGAACCGGTCAACTACTACCAACAAGGTATCCACTCCCCTTGATTTTGGGAGCCCCCAATGAAGTCTAAGGAGATATCTTCCCAAACTTGAGTTGGAACGGGTAGTGGCTGTAACAGCCCAGCCGGAGTCAGATTGAGGGACTTACACTGTTGACAGATAGCACAACCTGCGACATACTCCTTTATATCCTTCCTCATCCCTTCCCAATAGACTACTTCAGCCAACCGTTTGTAGGTGCGAAAGTACCCTGAGTGTCCACCAACCCCAGAATCATGGTACTCTTGCAATAAGGAAGAGATAAACTGAGAGGACTTTGGGAAAACCAACCGTCCATTATAAAAGAGCTTCCCTCCCTTCCTGGAGAATCCCTTATGCGCATCAGGTACGATCAGCAAGTCCTGGAAGATCCCCTGCAGCCTTGCATCGTGCTGTATCTCTTTTTCTAACTCATCCAATTCAGACCACTGCACTGTAGATAAAGCTACAAAAATCATTTGTCTAGACAAGGCATCAGCTACTTGGTTATCCTTCCCTGGTTGGTATTGAATTTCAAAGTCAAACCCCATCAGTTTTGATATCCATTTCTGTTGATTTTCACTCAGGATGTGCTGCTCAGTAAGGAATCGTAAGCTCCTTTGGTCTGTCTTGATGATGAAATGATTACCCATGAGGTAATGTCTCCATTTCTTGACTGCAAATACTATGGCCATAAGTTCTTTCTCATAAACAGATTTGGACTGAGCTTGAGTAGAGAATCCTTGACTCATAAATGCAATCGGTTTATTATCCTGAGTGAGGACTGCTCCAATCCCCTTCCCTAACGCGTCAGTGACAACTGTGAATTGCTTGCTGAAATCTGGTAAAGCTAACACCGGTACTGAGCTCATCATCACTTTCAATTGTTGGAAACTGTCCTTTGCCTCCTTATTCCATTGAAAACCATCTTTTCGCAATAACTCCGTAAGTGGTTTTGCTACTTTCCCATAATCCTTCACGAACTGCCTATAATATCCGGTTAGCCCCAGGAAACCTCTCAACCCTTTGACACACCTGGGTTTCGGCCAAGCCACCATGGCTTTTATTTTTTCCGGGTCAACTTTGACCCCTGCAGCAGACACACAGTGTCCTAAGTACTCGATAGAACTCCTGCCAAAGCTGCATTTTTTTTTATTTGCTACTAACTGATGCTGCCTCAATACCCCAAAGATGGTTCTCAAATGACCCAGGTGTTCCCCCTTATTCCTGTTGTATATTAAAATATCATCAAAAAACACAAGGGCAAACTTCCTCAAGAATGGGCGAAGGATTTCATTCATCAGAGCTTGGAATGTAGAGGGAGCATTGGTCAAGCCAAACGGCATGACCACATACTCATAGTGGCCTTCATGCGTTCGAAAGGCTATTTTCGGGATATCTGCTACCCTCATTCTGATCTGGTGGTACCCAGCCTTTAAATCCAGCTTCGAATAAACCTGTGACCCGCCCAACTCATCCAGAAGCTCATCCACCATTGGCATAGGAAACTTGTCTGGTATGGTAATCTTGTTTAAGGCCCTATAATCCACACATACTCGCCGACTCCCATCCTTCTTCTTAACCAGAATAACAGGACTCGAGTACGGACTTGTGCTATGACGTATCATGCCATTTTTTAACAGCTCAGCTACCAACAACTCAATTTCAGTTTTCTGGTAATGGAGATACCTGAATGGACGGATATTGGGCACCATGCTCGCTGGTTTGAGGTGTATTGCATGATCAATTGCTCGGGCTGGTGGCAGCTCTTTGGGTTCCTGGAAAACCTCCGCGAAGTCAGAAAACAACGGCCCAATCTCAGCCCACTGTGCTTCTTCCTCCCGAGCCTCTTCTTCAGTGGAGCTGACAAAAAATCCCTGTGCCTGATTCTTTAAGGCCTTAGTGATGGATCTGTAAGAAGCCTCCGACCTAGACAGTGACGGATCTCCCTTAATGGTTGTCTCCTTCCCCCTCTCTCCATATTTAAGAGTCATCTCTTTGAAGTTTGCTTTAATTTCCCCCAATTGAGTGAGTCATTCTAACCCCAACACTACATCAGCGCTACCCAATTCAAAGAGATACAAATCTTGTTTGATTTGTGTCCCCTGAATATTGATGTCGACCCCGTAGCACACCCCTTTGCACCCCACCTTACATCCATTTCTGATTTCTACCTGATAAGATGGAGTATCAGTTATGTCCAGTCCCAATTTTTCCACCACCTCTTTTTTTATAAAATTGTTGGATGCCCCACAATCCACCATGACCACCACCTGCTGATCCCTGATCTCACCCCACACCTTAAGTGTTTGGCTTGAAGAGAGCCCTAATAGGCTTTGTCGAGAGAGTAGAAGCGGTTTCTCCAACTCACCAGTGTCCACAACCGGAACCTCCTCAGCTTCTTCTCCTTCTTTCTCACCATCTTCCCTAATTTCATCGTCCACCAACAGCAAATGCAACTGACGGACCTGGCACTTGTGGTTGGAGTGCCAACGATCCCCACACTTGAAGCACAACCCCTTGTTTTGACGATCACGCCATTCCGCGGTTGACAGCCTCCTCACCTGACCGGAATCGTTTTCTACGGTACGGATCTCAGTACCTGGGGTCATCGTCTTCGTGTTCTCTCCTTCGCTAGGGCTCCCACGAGCTGCATTCCCTTGACCCACACTCGCTTGGCTGGATCCGGTAAACGATTGGTTTGAATTAACCCTGTTGCTCGCTCCTGAGGTTGCGTTTTGGGCTGTCCAAGACTTATTCTCAGTTGGGCCAGCATTTCTTGTTTGGCCCACTGAAAACCGGTTGAGTCCAGTAGACCAATTTCGCCCCAAAGGCCCTAGTCCCTCTTCCTTCCAAGTCGTGTTACGTCTCTCCACCTTGATAGATAGCTTCATCATCTCTGTAAGACTGAGCTCCGGCAACATAAGCAATTCTTCCCTGATACTGGTACGAACTCCGTTGAGCCATGCTCCTTTGAGCAGATCTTCATCTTCGAAATGAAAAGCCCCAACCATCTTCTCAAATTGGGCACGAAAATCAATCACGCTCCCGTCTTGTTTAACGGTGTACAAGGCCCTGTATGGGTTGTCCAGGGCCTCCGATTGAAACCGACTGAGTAGTTCTCGCCGGAAAACTCCCCACGTCACGTTTGGATGGCTTGCCTCCCACCAATGGAACCAGTGAAGAGCCTCCCCTTCCAACACAACCAACACCGAATTTACTTTCTCAGCCTCGGTGACCCCATTAACCACAAAATAACGTTCCACTTTACTCAACCACCCAAAGGCATCCTCCCCTGCGAATGTGGGAACCTCTAGGTGTCGGTGAGGAGGTCCATTCATATTAAATCTCCTCCCGTTCCTTCTTTCGTAATGACCTGAACCCTCCTCCTCATCATTTTCTCCGTCGTGAGATTGTCCGTGTCTCCTCGCAGCCAGCTCATCTAACCGACGGAGTATATCGGTTATGCCCAATTCGTTTGCTCCCAGTCTACGCAGCAGCTCGTCATGTCTAGCGTCACTTGCGTCTAACCTCAACAGAACTTCTTCCTGCCTCGCACACCCTCTGCGCAATCCTTCCTCAATTAAATCCATTCGATGTTCCATTTGTCGCGTGATTACCATACCACAGAGCTCCAAGATCGGAGCTCTGATACCAATTTGTTACGTTTTACAGAGAACAACCCAAGAATTATCACAATCAGCAGAGAAAATAGAGACACAACCACTCTTTTGTATTATTCAGATGCAAAATAACGCTCATAAACAGAGTTTGATTCATCTTAAAGGAAAGTTACATCAAAACTAAACCCAGCAAATTACAATGGAAATGAAAAGATAACAGTGAGACAATTATAGAGGTCCCACACTCTCCTAAGCAATTGCTTCTTCCATATCCAGCCTGCCTCTCCATTCCTTCCCACGCTCTATATAACCAACTCATGGCACAGCATGCACTAATCAGTTAAGGGGTATTCTTGTGACTTCCTACTGCTGACGTGGCATTATCATCTGAGAGCTGCTCTTCTGAAGCATTTGGGCCTTGCTTATCTTTGATCCATACACGTCTTGCTTTGTCCCTTGTGTACATCTTGGGCCTGATTGTATCACAAACACATAATACTGCCATTTTGTATTGCTTCTGATTTACAGAAAATGATCTTGGTTTGCTGTACAACTATTTGTTGCAGCTTGTTCAGATCTTAAAATCATGTGATTATAGAACACTGGCAATTGGTGATGGTGGGAATGATGTAAGGATGATACAGCAAGCAGACATCGGTGTTGGCATTAGTGGCAAAGAAGGATTGCAGGCAGCGAGGGCAGCTGATTACAGTATCGGAAGTAAGGCTTTTTATACCATTTTGCGGGTGCAATCATTATGTGTATACAAGTTCTTTAGTGCAGTTTACTAAGCACTGTTTTCTTCTTTTTTCGCTTTTGAGGATGAGGGTTGACATGCAATAGTAAGGATGTGTTAGAGTAGTTAATATTCTTCCGTTAGAATAGTTAACATTCAGTTAGTAATAACTGTGCAGTTGCTGACAACTGTCAGACAGTTATAAACAGTTAGAGCTATATATATTTTTACTGGTCTCCGTAAACTATTATTGAGAATAATAGATTTGGAGTATCAGATTTCAGAATAAGCCTCTCCTATTTTTCTCAAACTTTCCCTTACTTTCACTTTCTTTCCTTTTCTCTATGATCTTGAATCCTTATATGATATCAAGAGCTTAATCTCGACCCAAATCCATGACTTCCCCTAGAAATCCATTTCCAACCTCAGAAAATTCACTCAATTCAGGTGTACCTCCACCTTCAGCTCCTTTGATTTCAGCCTCTGCACCTGTGATTTTCTTGCACACGATTTCTGTGCGATTGGACAAGAAGAATTTTCTATGTCCCATTACAAGTCTCTTTGAATATTTGGCTGTGCTTACTACCCATTCCTAAGACCCTACAATCAGCACAAACTGGGCTATAGGTCCCAAGAATTTTTTTACTTGGGTACTCCTCTTCTCACAAAGGTTATATGTGTCTTTCTTTTGATGGTTGCATGTTCATCTTTAAGGATGTGATTTTCAATTAATTTTGCTTTCCCTGTTCAGTCATTTTCTCTTCTCCCAAATCTAATAGCCTTCCTTCCACTTCCACTTCCACTTCTATTCCTGCTCAACTTTCACTGCTATCTCCTACGGTCCAACTTTCCAATTCAGACTCAATGTCCATACCTTCCTTCCACAGAGTCTCCTCCCATGTCAGGTTCTGTTTCAGGTTACTCCTCCTCAACTCCATCATCTCTTCTATCCTCACCTCCTCCTATTCCTGCCATCAACTCCTCAAGGCCTCAGCTTGTGCCACTTAATACTCATTCAATGCAAACATAATCAAAATCAGGCATCCATAAGCCTAGACTTGTCCCAAACACTCCTTTTGATCCATTTGAAACCAACCTCGGTTCAGCTTTGGTAGCTGATCCTCAGTTGTTATCAGTTATGAAAGCTGAATATGAGGTGGCATTACTTAATAATTCTACATGGACACCGATTCCTCTGCCTCCTCATTGGCAGGTCATGGGCTGTAAATGAGTATTTCAGGTAAAAGGAAACCCTGACGGATCTATCATCTATTAACAAATATACTAAGGTATCTGAAAGTTACTCCACAGAATCTACACCACGGTCTCTTGCTGCAATCAGCAGATTCTCATAAGACACTGCTCCTTCATGGCCTACTGTGATGCAGATCGGGCCTATAATCCAGATGACAGGCTAACTCATGCATTTATATAGGACGTAATCTAATACCTTGGTGGTCAAAGAAGCAGCCACTAGTTGCTAGGTCTAGTACTGTAACTGAGAACAGGAGTCTAACAAATACAATAGCTGAAATCTTATGGGTTCAGACTCTTCTTCTAGAGTTGAAAGTTCCGGTCACAGTCCCTAGCATATACTGTGGTAATCTTACTATGGTTTCTTTGTCATGTATTCCAGTACTTCATTCTCGAACAAAGCACATGGAATTGAACCTCTTCTTTATTAGAGAAAAGGTTATAAACAAAAGTCTCAAGGTGGTTATATCCCAGCACAAGATCAGTGTTAAGATATTATGACCAAAGAACTTTCAAGCAGCAGATTTTGTGAACTATGAGACAAACTCGGAGTCTATGATCAATTTTCATTAATACATCCACCGAGTTTGAGGGGGAATGTTAGAGTAGTTAACTTACTGCTATTAGAACAATTAGTATTCAATTAGTAACTACTTTGCAGTTGCTGACTGGGAATGTAAACCTATGTTGCACCGACACTGACACGGGATACGACACAATATGTCAACACGTTAATGCTAAAAAAATATTAAATTTCGACACGTTAGGACACGTTTTGATATTAAATAATATTTTTAATATATATAATATAGTTTATATTTAATACATATAACAATTCATAATAAGTCATATAACTAATCAAATATTCAAATTCCATAACATAAATATAAAGCAAAAATAATTTTTCATGTGTCCGTCCTTCTTAGATGTAAACTATCTTTTTTTGGTGATTGTAAATTATAGAAGGTAGATATGGTGTAAATGGGTCAGCTTGGCCTGACTTTTTTGAAAATTAGAATAGGCTTAGACTTGTAGAAAAGACTATTTAACTAATAGGCCATATGCCAACTATGAAAAGCCTGGCCTACACGCTTGTAGGCTGGCCTATTAAATTTTTTAATAAAATAATATATTTATCTTAACTATTATTCATTTATCCTAAGTCCCACCTCTTAACCCTATTTTCTTCTCTTGTGGGCCGCTTCTTAGTTCTCACCCTAAGAGCACCAACTTTTCGTTGGAAATTCTAGTTAGACAGAAGAGAATTTTAGGCCATGTTCTCACCCTAATTTATTGGTTTCATATTGTTCTTATAAATATATCATAATTGGTAGGCCTAGCAGGCCTATAGGCCATGCTAGGCTTTTTATTTTTAACAGTATGTCAGGCCTGGCCTATAAACCAAGCCTTTAATAGGCTAATAGGTCAGATAGACTCAACATACTTTTACATAGGCCTAGGCCATGAAAGCCAAAGTCTAGCCTAACTTGACCCATTTACACCCCTAGAGGCAAATAAATGGTACTCATTCATTTATTATTTGCATATGACTGTGACTTTTCATCCTTCATATGATTTTTTTCTTCTTAATTTGCAGAGTTTAGGTTCCTGAAAAGATTAATTCTTGTCCATGGCCGGTATTCTTACAACCGTACAGCATTTCTTTCTCAGTATTCATTCTATAAGTCCCTACTGATATGTTTCATCCAAATCTTGTGAGTTTCTGTCAACAATGCCTTCCTTTTTAATTATATTTTATTTTCTTTCATATAAGCAGCAAACTATTTTGAAAATGGATCCCCCTGCAAGAAGGGGTGGGGAGTACCTGTGTACAATGGACTGCATAAAAGCCATCCCAAAAGGAGCCCAGGAAAAAAAAATAATAACAGAAGGAAAAATTAAGACAATGTCCTTTTTCTTTTTCCTTTTGTGGTTCTTTTTATTGACTATGAATGTTGCACTGCAAGAAGTGCTTTTCAATTTCTTCTTTCTGTTTTAAAAAATTTCAGATACTGATGATTTCATTTTCAGTTTTTCATTTATTTCAGGTGTCTCTGGAACCAGCCTCTTCAATTCTGTTAGCTTGATGGCCTATAATGTTTTCTACACTAGTGTTCCTGTTCTAATCAGTGTGCTTGACAAAGATCTTAGTGAGGAAACTGTGATGCAGCATCCTCAAATTTTATTTTATTGCCAAGCGGGGAGGTTTGACATTATTTTGCTATTTGACTTGCTGTTTTAAATGCTGTAGATTCTTCTCATTTTTGGGTAATTTCTAGTTCAGTGCAAGTGAGCAAAAATTCTTGCATTTTGGTTTGATACCCAATTTTTATAACAGAACAATCATATTTATTACAACTGAACCTTTTCAACAAACCAAAGTGGAAAATATTGTTTAACTTGCACACAGTAACTACTTCATTGGTAATCATTAATTTGACTATAAATATTGGAACAGGCTTCTAAATCCTAGTACATTTGCTGGATGGTTTGGGCGATCTCTCTTCCATGTGAGTGTTATTAGTGAGAATAATTTTGGTGAAGGCATTGATAATAACCGATCATCAGTTATAATTGATAATAGAAGTTACTGAGATGATAAGTTCATAGGAAGCTTATCATCATGAACTTTTTACTAAATTCAATTATTTAGTTTTGGGAAATTTTAATGCCCGTATATTTTCTGATTATTATTGTTGTAATTTGCAGGCAATAGTTGTGTTTGTAATAAGCATACATGCCTATGCCTATGAGAACAGTGAAATGGAGGAGGTTTCAATGGTTGCACTTTCTAGTTGTATATGGTTGCAGGCTTTTGTAGTAACAATGGAGACCAAGTAAGCTTAAATTTCTGTAGTTGCACATGCTATTACCTATTACAATTTGACATGGTTTTGGTTCTTCAGCTTTTGGGTGCTTTTGCTGTTAATATCAGATTATAGAACTAGCTGATATCTATAGTTCCTATCATCTATGAAAAAGAGGAAAAAGGTCGGAGGGATATTTTATTTTTTTGAAAAACTGTTTGCTTGGTTTGTAAATATATTTGGTTGGTTGGTGAGGCAATTGGTGAAGAATCATTTTTAGTTTAATTGGTTCCACTTTGAGGAGAAGTTTCTGTGAATTGTTTCCCTGACTTAAGTTTGATGCTTGCAGTTCCTTCACAATATTGCAGCATCTTGCAATATGGGGCAATTTGGCTGCCTTTTATGCCATTAACTGGATCTTCAGTACTCTTCCTTCGTCAGGGATGTATACAATTATGTTTCGGTTGTGTCAACAACCATCATATTGGATAACAATTTTTGTAAGTACCCTAGCTTATCTTTTGCCCTCAGATGGAAAGTCCTTTACTTTTTTTTCCCCCTTTAGATGAATAGCTCCTCTTATTGCGGTGGGCCGTGGAAAAACTGTGTAGTTGTTGCTTTGTGACTTGGTGGTCACGGTTTCCTAGTAAGGCTACATACATCTGAACCTTCTCTCAAAGCCCACATGGGGGGAACCTACTGCACCAGGCCATCCTTTTTATGAATATCTTATCTTATCTTATGCTACACCGTACACCTGTCATTTCCCTAATCTCCTTTCCTCTCTTAGTTTGAGCATGAGATTTCACATTCTACTGAAATTTTGTCTCATAATTCCCCCCTTAATCCCATATACATTGATATCTTTTTTCCTGATAAAATTCAATTTCTGTTTCTTTGCCTAGGATGGTATAAATTAATATTGATCATTGCATTTGTCATTTTGATCTTCATATTTTCCTTTTGCTCAACATTTTATCCACTGCATTGGTTATGTTCTGATAGAAACTGTAATATCATACAGCTCACAGTTGCAGCTGGGATGGGTCCAATTCTAGCCATCAAGTACTTTCGATATACATATAGACCAAGCAAAATCAATACGCTTCAGCAGGCTGAACGTTTGGGTGGGCCAATTTTGTCTCTCGCTACCATTGAGTCTCAGCCCAGATCTATAGAGAAAGATATTTCACCCTCATCAATAACTGAACCCCAAGACAGAAATACTGTTCATGAAAATATGTTATCAGATTCTCTAAATTCCACCAGAAGATCTTTTGGAACAGGAACACCATTTGATTTTTTTCAGTCACAGTTAAGATCATCCCTATCTAGCTACACAAGAAATAAGGACAAGTGAATCTACAGCAATTGTAAGAGCTTTAGGTGCCGTAGTTTAGGTGTATATCCCTTTTGATCTAAATTAACGAATTGGATTTTTAGTTTTCCTTGTATAACTGATTTCAGAAATTTATTTTTTATTTAATCTTTTATGTGGGTTTTTTTTTTTTTCCAATGTATCTCCAACGTCATTGATATGAGCCTAACCTATAATAAAGTATTATCACGACTAAGAGATTTGATATCACTTAAGGTTTTTGTTGTAATGTTTTTTTAGTTTATCATGTTATCCGTACGCCTTTAAGCCTCTTGATAAATGATTTTTTTTTTCTAGTACACTTTCTGTTCTTCAATGATTTAGTTATAATACTTGAACAATAGTGTAGCCAAGTGAAAAATAAATAAATAAATTATTATTATCATTATTATTATCTTTAAATATTTTTTATTTTGCATTACATGAAAATTGAACACACACCATTACACTATATACACTTAACACCCACACCACTAGGCTAATCCTAGTGGATTTATTTTTAAATATATGATTGTTGGGTTGGATGGCTCACGGGTAAGCAAGTTAACTCGGGGGTTGGCAGACAAAATGCCTTGTCTTAACTTGTATCAATTTCAATTTAGGTTGTCCTGCACTCCTGCGTTTGTAGAAAAGTAATGCAGCTTTTGAATCAAGTATAATGACGTGTAAAATTAATGTATCAGTTTTATCATTCTCTGCTAGGTTCGGGAGCATAGTAATTCGTGCAAAGATTTGAACGTAGCAATCTGCAGATGCATACAAATTTAGTGACCATTTGAATGCTATGGAAGGAAGGAGACAACTTATTAATCGACTATAAGATAAAATATACTTGAACCATCCTCGTCAGAACTGAACTACGAGATTGAATGGAAAGTTTAGCATTGATTGAAATATATCAAAGTGTACGAGCATTGAGAATCTTTGAATAGCATTATGCAGCCAAAAATAGATGTGATGCATCAATTGACCTATGACCAAAAAAAAGTACCATTCATAGGTGTCGGTAGTCACCCCCTTCCCCCCAATTCACAGGTGAAGAAAGTCACAAACATAATAAGAGTATGGGCTGTTTGTCCCACAAAAGCTCCATTTAATTTTTTTCTATAAACGAATATCAAATTGTGACACAAAGGTAAGGGCAGAGAGGGGACCCCAAACCCCAAAATGGATCATTTTAGCATGGGTTGCTTCCCCTTCCCACACCATTAGGTGCGAGTTTATGGCAATCACTACCTAACCCAGTTCCTCACCAAACCAGCAAACCCCACCAAATGAGTTATTCCATACACATCCTTATGGGTCATTCCTTCACCACCTTAGCTGTCTGTCAGATAAGTTTGCCTCCTAGGAAACAAATATTACGCTATCAACGAATGGTACGTTATCCCACTTTGCTCTATGATTTAATGTCGTTCTTTAAGGAGTAATGGATTACAGCACGCTCCTGTATTTAAAGCCCTACCCATCTTTGATGTAAAATGAGTATTTTGTAATCTTGAATTTCACATCATACCCACTTAAAATCTTCTTCAATATCAGGTTTTCTCTTTTACATTTTACATGTAAATTAAACTTATTCATTAAAAATAATGCTGGATTTCAACAATGATTAAAACCCAATTTAGATTATTCAAGCTAAAAATGTATCATACGCAAGGTCCCCTTCCCATGTGGCCATTTCAAAGAAAATTGTTAGAAAATATAATATAAATCATTAAAAAGCTCTCACCCAACACTTTAAGGTGGGTTGAAGTGGTTCTTTATCATGGTATCAGAGCTTCAGTGATATTCTTACTGCTCTCACTTTCAGGTGGAATTAAGAAAAGCACAAGGCAGATAACAAAAATGGTTTGTGCAGCACAAGACGGACTAATAATGGGCTTGTGCCATATTTACGCTTCAAGCCCAAAGCCCTCTTGCGTGAGTGAGTGTTTTAGAAAATAGCCCAAAGTTCTCTTGCGTGAGGGAGTGTGTTAAAGAATATAATATAAATCATTAAAAAGACCCTCACCCAACACCTTAAGATTTTGGGTTGAAGTGGTTTTTTATCACAAATAATGCCCCGTACATATGATTCCTCCAATGACATATCAGACGAATTGAAATCTTCAACTGAAAGCACACAACCATGAAAGAAATTAAGCACATCTATGGGGACAATTTCAAAGTTTTTTGCAACACGAATATACGTATAGTCCATTAAAGTTACTCTATTGTTTTCATTATGCATATATTTCTGTATGGTTCCAATATTATTAAATGTTCACGAAAATGACAAATATGCATTGCTTATCTAAACTATTTGTTCAGTGTATTATCTATATAACAAAATAAATTCATCCAAATCCTATCTGACCCAAAACTGCATAAGAAGGAATAAACGAGTTGTGATGAAATGAAATGGCTTCATTCGCCCTTTATTCCTTTAAAGATTCTACTGATAGGGACTCAACCTTTAGCTCTTCAAATTGCAGTCAATTAATTTTCTTCTACTTAACCCCTAAAAATTATTACTTAAATGTACAACAAAGAAGAACAAATTTAATTTAATTTTGATCCAAACTAGGTGTTATTGTTGAACGCCGCGCCAAGACGTGCTAAATAACCTTTCTTCCTTCTATGCCGAAGAGGAGGATTTTTTTACGAAGAAGATTATAGTTATAACCTATTTTTATTTATAATCTTTTAAAACTAATATTTTAACCGTTGATTAATGAATTTGATTTGCAAAAATAATAACCGAGAGTTAAGATATTGATGGTAAAAAGTTAGGTTCTAAGTATAATTTTTTCTACTATCCGATTTATTATTCTTTTTCAAGCAAATAAACACTACTTTCAATACTCAATTTATTAATCTTTTATGATGCCAATATTTTACTTGCAGTCTTATTTATTTATTTATTTGTGTGTGTCCTGAAAATCCTGAATCAAGTACTGAACCATTTCCGAGATTATCTTAGACTTGACCACGATAAACATTGCATGCTTGCCATGTGTAAGGACTTTCTACACTACCAAGGGCTAACAGAATTAAAAATATCTAAATCATTTTCTGTACTAAAAAATATATATATATATCTAAATCGTATGTACCAATTTTTATTTTTATTTTATCTAAATCATGATTTCATCACAACACAAAATTTATAACATGACCAATAAGATAAAGCTAAGGAGAAATCCACAAATAATAAATAATAATAACAAGAACATAACATGAATATCAGTGTTCCCTTGTACACAAGGCATAAAACAAGATCAAATCTAATTAATGGGCATAAAAATTACAGAATTTGCACAAACTTAAACAAATTCAGAAAGTAATGAACTCAAAAACAATAATTAACAATAACAACAACAGAAAGCCAAAAAGATAAGTTGCTCCCACTATTTACACTTAGTAAATCATCATCATCAATTCATCATCATATATCATCATATATAATTAACACCAACCATCACCACCACCACCATTTTGGTCATCATCTCTACATCAGCAAGTCATTAACCCACCCGAGATCCGGGGCAGTGACATCATCAACAACAACCCTTTTCTCCTCCCTCAAGAACTTGCAGCTTGTTGAATATTTCCCATTAGAAAAGTTTCCAGAAGCCACTGTTGTTGGCAAAACAATGAACTTCTGCTGTTGATCCTCACAACCAAAAGAAGCAGCTTTAGCAGAAGGAGAAGAAAGAACAAACTGATGCTGATCCTCAGAGTTGAAAGATACATCAACCCAATTAGACACAGGCGAATTAGAAGCCTCACCAAAACTCAGTTTCTCTAAGGAGCACATAAACTCTGTGAGCACATCCTTATAGCTCACAACACCATGATGGTTCATTCCACCACCACCACATGTTTCAGACCCTACAAACCTAGAAACAGAAGGTGAATGGCAAGTTGAAGAAGGGGAATTAGAAGAAGGTGACAATGGTGGAGAAGAAAAATGTGACATGCCAAACAAAGTAGAAGTTGGTGAATAAGTAGAACTAGCATTAACACTAGCACTAGTAGTGGAATTAGAGCAATGACAAAACAAACAACAATGGTTTGAACCCGAAGAAGGGTTCAAAAACTTGCTCTTGTTGTTGTTGTTGTTATTGTTGTTGCATGAGAACATGTCATGTGAATTATTCACTGGCAAAACCCTGAGTTGGCGAGTGGTGTGTGCAAAGAAACAAACTTTTCGCTTGCAATTTTTCCCATCTTTGCAAGCTTCTGTTCTATACCTAGCAGGGTGCAACCAGCACTCAAAAACACCGTGGGAGAACTCACAGGAATCACCGCGGCTGCACCCGCCGCGGCGATACTCCGGGCACACCGTGCCGGAGTAGTGGTACCGCCGGGGGTCACGGCGGCGAGCCTTCTCGCCGGGGTGAGCAAAAGGGCAGTCGGTCCAGTCATGGCTCCGGCTGCGGGTGCATCGCCGGACCTTGAACTCATACATGCGGAAGTGGTCGGAGGAATAAGGGTCGTCGGAATCTTCATCGGAGTCCACCGGATTGTTGTGGGGGAGGTATTTCTGCATGAGGGTCTCATCGGAAAAAATGTCGCCGGCGCCGGCGACGTCGTGTACGGCGGCGGCGCGGCGGGTGAGGAGCTTCCTCGGTGGGATGTCAATGTCTCTTAGTGATTTCTTAAGGGAGAGGAGTTGGTGGGTATGTTGAAACTTGTGATGCTGTTCTGCACAGACATTGCTCATTTTTGGGGTAACCTTAATTGGGAGATTCTCACTCACTATTTTGTGTATGAAAGAGTGGGTGGGTACTAATGACAAGGGGAGAGTGAAGAGTGGGTAGAGAGAAACAAAACAAAGGGGTGAGTTATATAAGATGGTTGAGGAGAGAGAAAGAAAAAAAAGGGTGTGTGAGAGTGTGACAAGGATCCCTTCTAGGGATGGGCTTTAGGGGCAGCGTGGCTGCATAGCTTTTGGGATGAACATGCAAAATAGGGTATGTGGCAGTTTGATAATTCGCTGCAGTCATTGGTGTTGCTTATGTGTAACTCTGCTACAAATTTGTTTAGTGAATTATGCTATGGGGGATTTTGAATGTTACTTCATGTTTTGGGTTATGTTGGCATCATCGCATACGCAGCGTGAAATTTCTAGACCATACTAACTGTGTGTCAAAGTTGCTGAGCATTTTCTATTAGAAAAAATTCTTTAATTTAACAAGATAGGTTACATTTAGTGAGCATTTGTTTCAGGAAATTTTTTTGAAATACTAGAGAAATGAGATAGATAGAGAAATGATTGGAAAGATAGATAAAGTGAGATAGGTAAAAAAATATATAAAAAAATTGTTTGGTGGGGAAAAACTTTACTGAGAAAATTAGGTAACTTTATGAAATCAACAGTGCATTAAAAGTCAGATAATCGGTTTTCCGAAAAATCTCACCTTCAAATTAGGTTTCTAAACAGTGCGGATATCTATGTTTCTCATAAATCCAGACAAATTGGATAGATGGGTTTTTGGTGAAAAACATTGAAACAAACATGGTGTTTCTAAAAGCCATACTTGAGAAAGATAGATATCCGCTGAAAAGCTCCCAACCACACACCACCTCAACTTTACTTTATACTCTTTCATTTTGTATTTTCCTTTACTTTTATGATGTGTTTATACAGAAAATTTTGACTGATTGACTAAGTTAAAATCTTTAATGAAATCTGAGAGGAATATTTTTTCCTGTTTTTTCGCTTTTCAAAACCAATGTTAACAGGAACCGGTTAAATTTATTATTATTTTTTTTTTTTTACCACTTCTTACTATTATTTTTGTTATCAATCAAATTAATAACTCTCACTTGATATTATTTTATAATCATTGATTTAATTTTGATTCAATGATGATAAAAGTGGTAATAAAAAATGATCAGAAAAAAATAATAACTATAACATCCCATGTTAATATTATAAAAGGTAATGTTTTTCTTCTTGCACGCGACACAAAAATTTTTTCTACCAAGACACAAAAGTAGGCCCATCAATTTTTTTATTTTTTTATTTTAAAAATGATAGACCTCACAATTGATTATATCTATGACATGATCTAACATTTTTTTCTACGATATAATATTTGTTTTTCCTATGCATGGTTATATGGTTATGACTTAAGAATCTAAAATCGAGGCAAGAAAGGATTAAGAAAATGGAAAAATTTTAAAAATCCCCCCATGAATACTCTTATAATTGCTTATCCCTTTATGGTTATTTATTATTATTTATCATCTATGATTTTTTCCATCAACTCCACCTTTTTTTTTTTTGGTAAATAACTCCACCTTTTAACTCTGTTAAAAATTAAATTAAACTGTCTATTTTATCATTGTAAAGAGAATTATTGTAGAGATAATAATTTTATACTACAACGTTATTTTTTTCATCCAACTCGGATTGTTTTTTAAAATGTATACCAAATTATCTAAAAAACTTTTCTTCCCAATAACATTGAGAGAAAAATTACAATGAAAATTGCAAGTTAACAACTAAGTTCGATATTCCAATAAGATTATATTCACAACATTGTTAGAAAGAATGAACACTTAGAACTATTATTTTTCTTCTTACAAATTTATATATCTTTAATAAAATTGGATTTTATTTTATTCACAACTATTGTTAACAAGAGTTCAATTTAATTCATGTTATTTTATTTTAACTCAATTGGCTCCTCATTTAACTCAATTAATATAAATGAGGAGCCGATTTAACTCTTTTTATTTTAACTTATTGACTCCTTATTTATTTGAATTTTTCTAGATTTTCATGTTTTATTCATGGTCAATTCGCTTTTCATTTGTATGTATTTGCTCGTAGCTTTGAGCATAATACATGTGAGTATTGAACATCAATAGACTAATCTACTTCTTAATATATTAGTATTTTTTTCAATATTTGTTTTTCTTTGTTACCTATCTCTGACTCTATTTTTCATTTTCATTTTTGAACTCAGAATAAAAAATATATTTACATATAAATTGATTACTTAAATAATTTTTAATTTTATTTATTAAATTTAAGATAGTAATATATTTATCAAACTCAAGTGATGTTAGTTTTATTAAAAATATATAAAATTTGTAAGAAGAAAAATAATAGTTCTAAGTGTTCCTTCTTGTTAACAATGAGCTAAACAAGTGGGGGTGAGAGCATGTGTTTGATCTCTCAAGTAACATATTTGGGAGGAATTTAAAGGCTTTAATTATGATCTCATCCCGAACAGAATTACCTCCCCTGAATGATACTTATGGTTTGTCCCAAAAAAAATATTGAAATTAGTTGCTAACTTGTTGTTTGAATTATTATTTTTCTCTCGATATTGTAAGAATGAGTTTTTTTTTTTTTTTTTACAATTTATTAGTATAAATTTTAAAAACAATCAAAGTTGGATGAAAAAAACAATATAGTAGTATAAAATTTTATAAAGGTAAAGTGGACAAATTAATTTAATTTTTAACAAGGTTAGAAGGTCGACTGGATAGAAAAAAATCATACGAAATAAATGATAAAAAAAATAATCATGAGAGGGTAAAAGATTCTAAAAGAAATCATAAGAGGGTTTTTAAACTTTTCCCTTTAAGAATAATTATATTCTTTTCTTTATACAATAATAATGATGGTTTAACTGTAAGAAGTGAAACCCAAAATAGATGTAATGATAGATTTAGTATCTGTTTGGATCATCTCTTTTTTTAGCTTCTCTTATGCTTATAAGCATAAGTTAGGTCAAACGTATTTTTACAAAACTTCTTATAATAAAAAAAAACTTTTTTATAATGAAAACAAAATCAAAAGTCAAAAGCTCTAAGCAGGAGTTTCTTTTCAAGCTCTTATCAGCTTTTCTTGAAATGTGTGCTTTCGAAAATGACCAAATTTTAAATAACTTTTAAGCTAAAAAATTTATATAACTATAGTAATCACCAAATTTTTTATTTTTTTTTAAGTTTTAATTTAAAAATAATTTTTAGCTTAAAAAAAAAATTCAAACAAACTTTTGGGATACCAAAACATGAATTGTGCTGGCTAAGCCGCTCTGTAACATAATTGCAGTAATAATTGAAAATGAGAACAGACTAAAATTTTCAAAAAACTTAAAATAGGATATTTGGTGGGGTATTGGAGCAAGAATCTTGTTAAGTTAAATCTTATTCTTTTCAACAAAATCTCGCCAAGTGGATTGTTTTCTTTTCAAAGAAAAATCAAATCCAACATCAAATGTTAATCAATTGTTGATGAGCTCGTAATTTTGAATTCGGTTTTTGTTATGGAATTGTATTAAGATTTAATAAGAACTAAGAAAAAGTTTTCTCGTTATTGTGTTTTACCTAGAGCTGGTAAAACGGGCTCAGCTCGGTGAGCCAACTCGCCCCATCAGTTAAACGGAGTGAAAAGACTGAGTTTTTTCAACCCATTTCAAAAGCGATGCAGGCTCGTTTTTTGATGGGTTGATGACGGACATAGGTGCATCAAGATCAATCAGTGTAAAATAAGTTCGGGCTGACGGATCGAGTTTTTCAATCCACTTTCGAAAATGGGATGGAGTGGGCTGATTCATTTTTTAGCGAGTTGATGATTGGGTGAGACTGAGGGGGACGAACCGCCTACTTTTCAACCTCTAATTTTACCCGACTCAAATTTGAATTAATCTATATCCATTGATGACTGAATACCAGGTGATTTGTATTAAAAAAAAATTAAATAAAAAAGTTGAAGCAAACGCTTATCTCTTCATTTCATACTGTTTAGATTGTTGACTAAATCTTAACAATTATAATAAATAGGAAAAGGATTGTAAAATGGAATAATGTTATATTATATTATTAGATAAATAATGGTGGTATGCACTTTGATCCAACATTTGATATTAGGATGGAAGTTATGCGTTACATAACGACATTGTGGAGAAAAGATGTTAGGGGATTATTGGTCGGTGAAATCAATATCCAATCTTAATAAGATTTGGCATATGTCAAACTCATATCAAACCATGATACTTAAAATAATAAAAATAAGTAGAAAGTATTGTGTCTTAATTAACCACTGTTAATAGTGACCTAATTATAAACGCTGCATCCCAGCAATAATAAATTGTATAATTTAGAAATTGGCCACTTATTCCTCGATAAGCACTGGGCGGATCTGGAACTCACATGAAAAGGAAATTGGAAATATAAGTAAAGATTTATTATTTCCTGAGCTTTTTCCTAAAATGAAAAATAAAATAAAAAATTATGTGTGTAATTGTTGACTTGGTTAACAGAGTGAATTCACGATCATTAAAAAAGAAAGAAAAAAAAAAAGAAAAGAATGGATTCACCTGTTAAGATGAAGCATTTGTCTTCCGTAGCATCATGGTAATATCATATTCAAGATCATCCTTTAAAAAAGTCCAAGCCCGTTTATTTCATTTGACAAATAGTGCTAAGCCCATTAAAGCAAAATTTCCCTAGGCATCAATCATGATGACCCAGACCAAACTTTTTAGGACCATCACTGATTCAAAAGCTTTTTTAGTGTAGTTTCTTTCCCTAGAGAGAATAATCAATCAACATAATGGAGTGGCAACAATGACACTTGTTCAATATCTAATGGAGTGGCTGCTCAATTCCATGTGAGAAGAGAAGGTGAGAAGTTTTTGTCTTCTTGATTCCACTCCACCCCAATCCCAAAGTTAAGAGGGACACATGTTTCTTTCTTTGGTGGACTTGTGTAAAGGTTGAATGAATTAATGCATCTCCATTTTTGGACATAATTTTAAACTATGTAAAAAAGTAACTTAGCAATAGTAATGGTTAAGCAGTTTAAATCAAGGAAATCATTATCTCATTTTACATGAGATAACTCTTTTATGTTGTCTCACATCAAAAATTATGTCATCATTTTTTTTTTTAATAAATGGTGGGTCCCACCACATCATATGTCTATAGTAGGAGATAACTATCTCCAACAACATGAAAAAATAGAATCCCTTAAATCAATTGTATGATTATTTTTAGCGATAGGCTATTATATCTACTTTTTATGTTTATTTTATTTATTTCTCTCTAATATTATTATATCATAATTTTTAAGAGGAGAGGGAAAGGGAGAAAGTCATTTAAAATTGTAAGGTAACGTTCTTAAAGTAGAATCGATAGAGTAAGTATGAAAAAAAAGTATACATAATATCATAACTCTTATTTTTATTATAGAATATGAGTATACATAATATCATAACCCTTATTTTTATTATAGAATATGATTATTTGTATGGTAAATGTAATTATTCAATTCTACACTAAAATGTAATTTCTAATGTAATTATAAATGAGGAAGGTTATAATTACTATCTCTTTTTCTTATTACTTGTGACTACTAAATCATAACCATTGATTTCTGTCAGTCTAACGGTTATAATTTATTGAAAATTAATAATTAATTAATAAGTATGACCCAATAAATTATAACCGTTAGATTGACAGAAATCCACGGTTATGATTTAATAGTAACATGTAATAAGAAAAAGAGGTACTAACTATAACCTCTCCCGTTATAAATAAGTAAAATTGTTCAACAATTTTTTTTTTTGTATACAATTGTTCAACAATTTATTAATGCACCATATGTTCCTTAGTTTTTTGTTGAGTCTAAAATCAAGGGGTATCTTTTTAGGCAAAGGATTCAAGGTATATTTGAACAAATTTGTGGAATTGATCATGCAAGAGAAACGGATAAACAAATTTCTAAAGTAGAAATGGATCCTGATGCAGATTTGGATGATAACAAAGAAGATGAATTAAGAACAAGGGAAAAATATGAAACTCTAAATTTTGCTCCTTTTGAAGAACAATTGACCTAATCATTATGTCAAACAAATTTGTGTTCTCTGAAAACTCCAATTCAACGGTAATAGATGTTGCTTGGTTAGTTTTCTCGGTTCATGAACATCTATCTATAAGGGACAAGAAAAATCATTTACCCTGAATTCTTTTTTTAATTTTTTTAATCAATCAAAAATATTTTTGAGACAAATAAAGATTCCTCTATGCATTGATATTATTTAACTTTTCGTTATTAATTTTTCTATATTGGAACACAAATAATTTGATTGTTTATGATAATTTAAAATAATTTGAAAACAAATTCAACATAGATGGAGCAGAACCAGTATAGTGGTGGCCAACTATTCATTAAGACACAATCGGTTTAAAAAATCTCATAAAAGAAGTAAAAGTTTGATTGGCCATTTATACATGCAATCAGTTCTTACGAATTTCTACAAGCATTTAGCTTAGAAAAGAACAACAAATTCAACTTATACAGACACACACACATATCAGCTTGTGCTTAGGAAAAGATTGCTCCTCTTATCCATAAGCATGTCATTGTTGGAACTTGACAACTATGCAGGATATGTCATCCTTACTTTTCTTGGAAACAGCCTCTTCTATCAAGTGCTTTGCTGCAGCCTGAGCATCCTTTATTTGTCTAATAGAATCCACTGCTTCTTGGTTTGACATAACCTGTAAACATAATGTGGAACAAAAATTGTCAGTTAAGGGTGCTACTCAACAAAGGTAGAAAATGCAAAAAATCTGTTTCATTTTGTCACTGAGATTTGATAAATTGTTAGTAGTAAAGTGTATAATGAAATGGAAGAGAAAGAAAATGGTAAAAAAAAGTTAACCTTCCATATTCCATCACTAGCCAGAATAAGAAACTCTGTATGTTGGTCTACCTCCTGTACAACCACATCAGGTTCTGAACTAAGATGCATCTTCAGACTCTTGTCACCAAAAGCCCTTGCTACTGCCAGTTGTCCATCCACACGAGGGACATCTCCTACAAGAAACAGAAATTCAGAACTAGTAGTAACTTTGATATTATTGCCTAGTTCTTTTCATAATTTCTAATTGAAATCTATTTATAACCAAAATGAATGTATAGATTATAATACATTTCTTCAATACTATTTTTTAAGTCAAAATGAACAACAAATGTCAATCATACTCGGGCATAATGTCCTTCTAAATAAGAGTTATAGAAAGTACAAAAGACAAATGATTTTTATGAGAAAATCCAACATATTAAATTATTAATCCAAGCACATGTTGAACTTTCTGTGTTTTACAAAACTCAATTTCACTGAAGACCAAGGGGAACATCTCAAAACACTGGCTACCTGGAATATTTGATACAAAACCACCACGGCTCTCAATATATATTTTTTCCTTGCTTGGTTCATGATCAACAGATAGTTGCTTAGCCTTTCCATTCTCAGAAATAACAGCTCGAGAATCACCAACATTTGCTATTACAAGCTTCTGACCATCAATTAGTATTGCAGTCACTGCTGTTGATCCTCCTCGTCCCAAGACAAGTGCTTGTTCCAATATTTCCTCATCTGTTTCAAGATAAGCTCTCTTTACTGCACTTTTTGTTTCAATCCAGAAGTCATGCTGCTTACAGCATACACAAAAATGAGTTAAAGAAGAACCACTTGAAGCAGGTTTAGAATAAAGGGTATGCATTAGATATTGTGGAAAGTGGAAACTATCAATCATTCGAGCTTCCAATTAACCATTTTTCGTGAAAATGTAACCAAACTGAAGTTATATGAAAGTTACATTACCTGTTTCAAGATGTTTTCAAAAAGGTGGTTCTGCAAATAGCTTGCAACATCATGGCCTAAGTGGCCATCAAATATAGCAAACAAACCTAATTCTTTGTCCTTTTCTTGCTTAAATTCTGAAACCAAATAATCTTCCATAGGATGGCTTGATTTTCCCTTCACCAAGTGAAAGCCATGTGTAATATGATTTGATATTTTGCTTTTTCCTTTCCCTGTGTCTGATGCTGATGTTCCAAACCCTGCTTTCGCCTAGACACATGATTTAAGTAAATCTCAGTCTCATTAACTAAGTTGAAATAAAAAAAAAAGTGGAGTTCTAATTTCAATTAAAAAAAAAAAAAAAAAACTGAATTGACATATTGTACACTATCATATCATAGTTTTGAACAAGAATAGGGATCTAAAACAAAAGTTCATGGTCTGTTTCCCAATTGGAAAGTCAACACATCAATATCTTTATACAATGGGTATCTTGACCATACCAGTTTCTACAATCATCAGTTTTAGATGCTATTAAGCACACTTACATATATGATGTAATGCATAAAATATTATTATATATGTATACTTCCTATATAAACAAAAAAAAAAATGTAAGCCACAACATATCAATTAGTGTTCAGAAAACTAGTTGAAAGAACAAACAAAACAAATCCATAACTTCAAGAGAACTCCACAGTATTGTAAGAATTTGCATTTGCAAAATACATTCATGAATTCACAAGTGAAATATTTAATTAAAATGGCATGTCAAAGTTGCATAAGAAAAATCAGGCATTTTTTTTTTTTCTAGTTACCTTCATGATCTTATGGAGGATTTCTCTGCCAGTCATGGATGTTAAAATGCTAGAAAGATATGTGAAGAGTTTAAGAGTAGAGAGAGAGAGAGAGAGAGAGGTATATAAATAAGGCAACTTTGACTTTGAGCACGTGACATGGCTGCAACTTTATTTTATAGACCGCGTTATTTGACAAGAACGCGTTCTTGCCGACGACCTTTCTTTTCTTTAGTTGTGTCCTCTCTCTCTCTCTCAAATTTATCTTTCATATCATTTATCATTTTGTGTTCATACTTCTTACTTTTCTACTAGTTCTTTTTTCCCATTTGCATCATTGGAAAAAGAAAAAGAAATTCATGACATGAAAGGAAAATCTGTAACATTATGTTTTACTAAGTCATGGAGTAACAATTAAAACTACGGCTTAGAATAAGAGCTTCAAAATTTGATTGATATATGTGATGATAATTTTTTGAAACTTTTAGCACTTTTTTTTTTTATTATTTGGCTTGGAAATGTTAAGGCAATTAAAAGGGGTGTATACATTGTGATGAATATGAGCAGAGAAGGAGCTGTTTTGGTAGGTATGTAAAGAATTTTATAATGGGAAATGGAAATTTTTATTGAATTATTACATAAGGTGGTTGTAATTTGCATCATGCATGTTCAATGCATGATTTGATATGAATGCAACTGAGTCAATCAAAAGCAGCCATCTGGTTTGGAATTGATCAAAAGGGTAGCTTTAATAAAGAAAAAGAAAAATCACTGCCTGCTGATTGATGTGCTTGAACTATATATAAAGTGGATTAAGTAGATTGATTAAAGCATGGATATTCTATAATAGTGTTGTATGAATGTTTGGTATGGAGCCAGGTGTCCACTATAAGTTTTTTTTTTTTTTTTTCTTGATAAGGAATGCATTGCAATTATATCACATTCCCACTTTTCTAGTAATTAAATTAAATAATGTCATTCCTTATTAAATGAAATGGAAAAAGCTATTTTAAAATCAATTCTTTCATAAAATATATAAGTAAATCTATATCTATTATTAAAAAAATTTATGAATAAAAGTTGCGAAATATTTTAAATTAAATTGAAAAGAAATATATAATTTTTTATTTTATAATCTTCTTTTATTTTTTGGGAAAATATTCTAATTAAAATGTGGTGTCACGGACTTAAAGTAGCTTACATGATAAGTAATAACGACCAACGAAATTTTCTATTGCAGTTTACGTGTTGATAAATGAATAAACTTTTAACCATGAACACAGAGGCTTTGTCAACACCGAGAAGTTGAATGTCCAAAAAAAAAAAAAAAACACCGAGAAGTTGTTCTCATTTATTAGTTTTAAAAACTAAAAAATCATTTTTAGTTTTAAAAACTAAAAAATCATTTTTAGAAATTGAAATCAAACAATGACCACTCTGAATGCCTTAGCACAATATAACTCAAATTCAAAGGATAATCATTGCCACACTTTCAACCAGTGTTATTAAAATTGAATTGGACCCACCGATCCGATCGATTAGCCGGTACATCGGTCCAATTCAAACATTGGACCATTTATGCAATCAATCCAGTGATGAAACGTGACTCAACCTCAACCGGTATTAATTGGTACCCATTTCCCCCTTAAATCGAGCTTTTAAAATTGGTACAAAATATTCCACTTAAGTTACGGCTAGTAGGGATCAAACTCTTGTCCTGGGCATGTATATCATAATACTTACCATTAGACAATATTGGATTGTTGTTTAAATTTTATCATTTAAAATATTTATTATATAATTAAGTATAAAATATAAATTTATATATATTTATCCGAGTTATGCAGTTTAACCAGTGACCCATTGACCCGATATTCTAACGAAGCCAATGACCGATTTGAATTTAATAACATTGCCTCCAACACTATAAAAGGCAATCAATATAAATCCGAAAATTTTACAAGTCTCTCTTTATATATATATATATATATATATATATATATATATATATGAGAAGAAATATTCTCACTATCAAAATTTTTCACTATCAACTTACTATCTATCTAATCACCATTAGAATAACATTTTCTCTCTCTTCAAAAACTTTTTAACATTCTCTCTCTTTGATCCAATGGTGATGTGATGGGTAGTAAGTTAGTAGTAAAAAAATTTGGTAGTTAGAATATCTTTACTATATATATATATATATATATATATATATATATATATATATATATATATATATAGGTAGGGTTGGCAAAATAGGTCAACCCGGCCCAACCCAATTGCAACCCGAGAAAAAAAAAAATGAGCCGGTTAGAATTCGCTCGCGGGTTGGCTCGAAAAATTAGAAGAAAAAAATGAGCGGTACGTTCAGGTAATGTCATCAAGTTAGGACTCAATGCCTTCTACTCCATCCTATAGAACCTTGTGCTTCTAAAATATCAACTATGGCTTCCCCCACCACATGATACACAAACGATGCCATCAAATTTCAAAAAGGTGTTCGGATTCACAAGAAAGATTGAATTTTTTTTTCACAGAAAAATTATATAAAAAAAACACTACAAATGATACAGAAAAAGTCACAATTTTTTGTTTACGTGAAACCAAAGTGATAGCACGAGGGTATGAAGGAAGATGAGTATAAGATCAAGAGCTATAATGTGTGAAACAAAAGTGATAGCTTCGCTTCCTTATCTCGATCTTTGTCAGGTACTTGTTTGCTCGTTTCTTTGTAATATCGCAAGAGCTTGCTTGTTTGGTTTTGTTTTTCTTGCTCTCACAGGAGATGCCAGTGAGGAACTAGACCGTGAAGCTGTAAAAAAGGAAAAGAAGTAAAGAAGAAAGAGGAAGGATGAAAGTAACCGCGTTCTTTTATTTATTTTTTTAATAATAAAAAAAACAACTCATGTGTTGACTCGTTTGACTCGCAAGTTGGTTCGATTTTTTTAAGCTGGCTCGGATCGGGCTGATTTGAGTTGTCAGCTCATTTTTACCAACCCAGCCCAGCTCATTTTATGCGAGTTACTTGGCTCTTTTTTGCCATCCCTAATAATAGGTTATTCTTACATTATTGTAATAAGTGTTATATCAAATCTTAACTATTGATTTTCTTGCATCTAATAACTCACATATTTAATAAATTAAAATTGTTATCCATGAAAAAAAAGAAAATTAGAGCCATTAAATATAAATACGATTAATAATTGTTCTAAGTTAGTTAACCTGGCTACGTCCATTCAGTTATAGCCCAATGCTGAACCCAAGACCTTATAACCGGATTAACCTGTCTGGCTACCTTCTTAAGTCGTAAGCTCGGGTTATGAGGTTATACAATAAGGGCATGTTTGGTACATAGTATAAGATAATGCCTGATAGTATAAGACCTGATAGTATAAGGCATGATTGTATAAGACCTGATTAAATTTTAATACTATCCAACGTTTGGCATGGTACTGTATAAGATAATGTATTGTATAAGATAATACTATCCAGTGTTTGGTAATGCACTGTATAATACTAGATAGGATAAAAATAAATATTTTTGACAAAACTACCCTTTAATAAAAAAATTTATATAATTCTTTTAAATATGTCATATGATATTTTTTTATAAAAAGTTTATCGATTAGTATATGAAACGTTTAAGGCCTAGCTTCCTATCTCCCAATATACAAGAGAGTAATGCAGACAACAACCTCATGAGTGCAATAATGCTCTGGTTTCAATCATGAAAGACATAACAACACTCATTATTAAAATATTTGTACCAAACGAGATTGACTTTGAATCTGATGAAGATCAACAACGATGTACAACCAACAACATTGAATACATATCAGCTTGAAAGTAGGACAAATACCTCATCATGCTGATTAAAATCTAGTTAAGTTTCACATAATGACACCATAAACCATATCATTTCATTCATGTGGTAGTCGCATAAAGTAGTGACATGAAGTTTCCAATATAAAAGTGCACAACTTGAAGGTACAATTTTTTAAATACAAAAGATAAAATAAAAGACCACATATAGGCTCAATGAGCAACCCAATCATTATACATTTCATTAGCCAATGCATCTCTCCAAGCACTCCACGTTTCACTTGTATCAATGGTGTCTATGTTATCATGTAGCTCTTCATCCACCTCCTCGTCAATAGACATGCTACCTAGCTCTATCTCTAAAGGATCTGTATCCATTTCCCTTCTGATCAAATTGTGCAATAAGCAACAAGCAATAATAATTCGGTTGTGAGTCTTAACAGGATAAAAACTTGGACTTCTAAGAATTGCCCAACGCATCTTCAACAACCCAAATGTCCTTTCTATGACATTTCTAGCTTGAGCATGTCGCTTATTGAAAACTTCTTGAGGAGTTGTCGGGACATATCCATGTCTCCACTCACTTAGATGGTACCTTGTCCCCCTATAAGGGGCAAGAAACCCGTCCCCATTAGTATATCCAGCACCAACCAAATAGTAGTATCCTATTTAATAAAACAAGTAAGGTTCATTATATAATTTTCAATTTAATAGAATAAGTAAGGTTCAATATGCCATATATTGTAATAAAATGACTAAATTGAATGTAATTTCACGTTCTTACCTGTTGGAACCTTAAGGCCATTTCTCCTATTAATTGCATCACGTAATACCCTAGCATCTGAAGCTGAACCCTCCCAACCCGGCAACACATATACAAATTTCATGTCTCGTGAGCACACTCCTAACACATTCGTGGCAATTTCACCTTTTCGACTTCTATATCTTGGCTTGTCAGCCTCAGGAACATTAACAGTAATATAAGTTCCATCTAAAGCTCCAAGACAACCCTATAAAACCTTTAACAATTTAATTCACATGAAATAAGTACAAACAATCCAAAATTGAAAAAGAATATAATACATACCTTAAACCATTTCCACCTATCATCAGTGCAATTCTCAGGAACTGGATCCGGTACCTTCAATAAATTTTCTTGCAACCTCAACACAGACTTTAAAACTAAATTGAAGTATCTACTAACAGTTTCCCCTGACCGTTGGAATTTAAACTTGATGACACGATTCTTAGCATGGTGAGCTAATATATGTAAAAACATAGCTACTTGTTCTTCTATTGATACTAACCCATCTTCCTTTAGCTTACCCTCAACACGTACAAGAGAACATAATACTCGAAATGTGTAAGTATTCATTCGGAGTTGTTCTACACAAGAAACATCATCATTTATTAGCCTCCTAATGAATGCTACCCTTGATTCTTCCCTTATCCTTGGTATTTCTCGTTGCCTTAGTAATAATCTCTCACGTCGTCTTTGAGCCGCACAAAACATGCGTAGGTAAGACACAATACATACAATCACTATCTCCAAAAAGGCTTGTTCCTTCATCAACCACATTGACATGATATTAAGGAGCTCAGTTATATCATTAAGCCATCCATTTGGGTCATTTTGCCATCGATTTGGATCAAACCTTTCATTAGGATCCATATCATTCAAATCACAAAAAAAAAGATAAGTTTTATCTTTTTCTTGCTACTTCTCCTGCATAAAAAGGAAGCAGAGTAAATAAACAAGATACCATTGTGAGGTAAATTTGAAGCCTGACAAATTCACATGAATAACTTATACTTATATGATGATGGAAGCAGCCTATTACCATAAATCTTATATTTTCCCAATGAATATGATAAGGAGATACAGTAAAAAAATCTACTAGATTTTAAAACCTCAATAAGGACTACAAATGTGTCAATGATGTTATTCTCTACCCTGGTTACATTCGGGTTACATAAATTCTAACAATCATGGATAAACAAGTGCCACAACTTGGTAATTTTGGCCAATCAGATGTACATTTCATATATATATATACAATAGACAATAATTATTGACATTTGAATGCAGCCCACTTTTCTTCCTCCTAGTGCTTATCTTTAGGCCATATCAGTTTGCTGCTTAATGGGCATTGGCAAAAAATTGACTTCTCTAGAGTAGAGTAGGTTCAAATCTATTGGTATATTTATTACATTATCACTAGAATTAACGTTTAAATAATTGGTAATTTCAGATCCCATATACTTAAAGGAAGCTGATTGAAATTCTTTGTCTTCATCATTCCATACACTATAATGAAACTAACCAGCCTACAAAGGAAGCTGATTGAAATTCTTTGTCTTCATCATTCTTTTTTCAAATTTGTCTAAACTTACACAAAAATGCTATAAACTTAACCCATTACCCATCAAAACAACACACAGTTCCTTATTTTTAATTATGAAACCACACATTCTAAGCCAAATACATTTGAAATTTTCTACATCTTAATGGAAAGCTGATTGAATCAACGCCGTTTCATTATTGTGAACTTTATAAACAAATTAGATGAACAAGTAAAACAGAAGGGTACAACTTTTACTAAAGATAAAAACAAAAGAGTCACAATTTTTTTTAAAAGTAATCTTCACCTTCAATTCACATGGAAAAGCTATCACCAAGTCTATCCTTTGAAGATCCAGAATGCAGACTTTGTTTGCATAAATGTTTATGCAACATTTGTTATTATTATTATTGGTACATAATGTATCTCAAAACATTCTCAAAAATTAAAATTGACCTTTAACCCCTTTTTATTCACTTCCCCATATCCTTTTTCGCTTTATAATGACTACCATGATTTATATAACTGTCATTATCGTCAATAGTAAAACTGTTCCTCACCCATTATCTTCATCACTAACTACCTATGAGAAACTTTTCTCCAAAAAAGCTATCTATGAGAAACATTATAAGTACAAGGATAATACTAAAGGAAAGGGATTCAGACTGATTCACACGTACCAAACAAATATACTTAGAGCCTGTTTGTTTGGACTTATCAAGAAAGTAACTTTTATCTCTTCTTTATTTTAGAAGTGATTTTTATAAAAGTTAAAGCTATTTATATTTTTATAAAAATATTTAGTTTTTGAAAAAAAAATTTAGCTTTTGACTTCTGCTTTTCTTGGAAGTTAAAATTTTTAGCTTCTGAAAAAAAGTAGGTTTTTGGTTTTTTTTGTAACTTCTGCTTTTTTTAAAAGCAAGCATTCAAACGAACTAAGAATGAAAAGTGCTTTTTTTCTTGAAAAAAAACAACTTTTAAAGAAAAAAAGCTCATCCAAACGGGCTCTTAAACCGGAACCGACACTTGGTGTTCATACAGAACAGTAACCAAGATTGAAAGTATAATTTATACCGATATAAAATAATCCTGATATATATATATATATATATAGGAAAAATTATTTTTACAGCAACTTTAGATAAGGTTATCTGCAGCTACCATTTATAACTATGTTCTCTTAGGAGAACAATTATTATAACATTAAAGTTGTTTTTTTATCTCTCTTCACGTCAGCAAACAAGTTCTGAAAAGTAACTTAGGAGAGAGATAAAAAAGTAACTTTAATGTTATAATTATGTTTTCTCATGAGAACATAGTTATAAATGGTAGCTGTAAACAACCTTATCTAAAGTGTACGTAGAAATGTTTACCCCATATATATATATATATATATATATATATATATATATATATATGACATGATCATCTTACACCGGTGTAAGAATAATAAGTTTTACACCAAATCTTAACCATTGATTTTTTGCATCTAACGGTTAAGATTTATTAGGTCTCGCTTATTAATTAATTTTTAATTCCCAATAAATCTCAACCATTGGATGCACGAAAATCAATGGTTAAGATTTGGTGTAAGATTTATTATTCTTACACCGGTGTAAGTTGATCCTATCCCTATATATATAGAGAGAGAGGTAGGATCATTTGACACCGGTGTCAAATTTTAAATTTGACACCTCATCTTATAGCCGTTAGATCAAAAAAGATCAATGGAGTCACATGTTTACAAATCAGAGTCGTTGATCTTTTTTGATCTAACAACTATAAGATGAGGTGTCAAATTTGACCTTTGTCACCGATGTCAAAGGATACTACCTCATATATATATATATATATATATATATATATATATATATATGTGTGAAAAAATATTTCTCAAGCAGCTTGAGATAAGTTTATCTCCGGCTACCCCAAAATTACGTCGTTTTGTTTATTAATTTTCTTATATTAATTGATTAACCTTTGAATGATTATGATTTCCTTTTTCTCTCTCTTCCTTCATCACCATCGATCTATCTTTATACGGTTATGATTTAGAATCCAAAATTACGTCGTTATATATATATATATATATATATATATATATATATATATATATATATATTTAATAAATTTAATTCAGTTAACAATTATATGAAAAGTCAAAATTATTAACTGATATGACAACACATTATTTCACGAGTGAGAATATTCCTTTGACTATTAAAACTCTAGGTTATTGTGCCTACTCTTATTTTACCTACTTTTGCCTACTCCTTTCGTTACCGTTCGATTACTATCTCATCCAACAATCCATATTTGTGATATAAAATAAATCTTTTTTTCCCTTTTTTTCTTCTCACTTTCTCCCATACCCTTTCTCTCTTCCTCTGCCATATACCTAATTTTTCCCCTTTATCGTTAATCTCTGCCCAGGTGAACGGTGCGGAAGCATTTGAAATCAATTACCACAGCATTTGAAATCATCGTCAATATACATTAGTCTCTGTTTTTATTATTGTAATATAAATTTTCTCCTTCTGAATCAGTTTCTATCAAATTACCAGTGTCAATGGATTGAAAAATCACAAAAAAATTTAGATCTGAAGAACAACATAAATTTTATAAATTAATAAGATTGAATCGATGACTAACAAAGAAGTTTTAATGTGATTCAAAAGATCTGTGAAGAGTTGGAAAAAATTCAAAATAAATAAAAAAATTAAAGAATAAAAAAAATTGATATTGGAAAAATCCGGAAAGAGGGTTAATTGGTGCCATTCCAGCAATTATGTTGATATGGATAGCCAATTAATTATTAGAAATTAAGAGTATCTATCATGTGGAAGAACAGATCGACATATTGAAGCAGAGACAAGGAGGATTCTGTGAACAGATCGACCTTGTGTGGCACCACCGCTTTGAATCACATCAAAACTTCTTTGTTAGTCATCGATTCAATCGTATTAATTTATAAAGATTAAAAATATCATTAGAATTGAACAGTTTGTCAGGAGATTGAGGTCCACGGCGGCAGAAGGGAAAAAAAATTAGGTATGGCGTAGAGGAAGAGAGAAAGGAGAGGAGAGAGAAAGCATCATTAACTACACATAATTTTTTTTACACTAATCACATATTTACATTAAATTCTGTGATTATTTTACCCTAGGAGGGTGAAACGACAACGTTTGAAGGCGTCTTTTCTCTTTATAAAGTCATGAGAAATAGCCGTTAGGGTTGGAAACATGCTCAGTCGGTTCATTTCATAATACAGTTCAAAATATCCGACCGTTAGAGAACTAACCGTTAGACTTCGACGACATTACACACACTCTCCTTGTCCCTCTCCCTTCTCAGTAAGTTGTAAACGCTCTCTCTCTCTCTCTCTCTCTCTCAGTCTCTAACTTATCATATCAAATTCATAGCAATCAAATTAGAAACCCTAATCGGAAACTGGAAATGGCCGTGGCGGAGGAAACCGGAGGCGGCGGCGGCGGCGCCACCGTCGTCACTGTGATCGACGAGATGTATGAGTTCTCGGCGCCGCGCTTCTTTGATTTCGTCAAAGGGGAATCCGACGATGACGCGCGAAGGGCCGAGCTCTGGTTCGACACCGCTCTCTCCTATGCACCTTCTCGTAAGTTCCTCTCTCCATAAACATTCTTTCATTCTCGTTCAAGATTAACCCGTTGCTTTAGGGTCTGAGTGATAATAAGAGTTTTTTTGGTTGATTCAGTTAGAAATTAGAATCGAAGGAAGGTGGTTTCTGCTTGAGTCAGATTCGAAATTCTTCTATCTCTTGTGATTCGCGTGTAATGTTTTGTTGGATTGGTTGATTTTTTGTAGATGGATAGGGTTGATATCATTCTTGTGATTATTTTTCCCGGAGATTTTGGTATAATGAAATCTTGAAATGAAATGGAGAAATTAGGTTTTCTTCTTGATTGATGCGTGTGTTCTTGATCAATGTGAAATCTCTGTTTTGATCTTGCAATTGAGCAATAATCTTTTTTGTATTAGTTTTCGTTGTGGTTCCTCTTGGTGGCTAGTAAAGGACCCTGCCGTTGAAATGACACAATTAATGCTTACTATGGTGGAATTTTTTCTTTTTTCGTTCAGTAGTTCAATTTATCCTGTACAGTATGGTGCAGTGGTATTGTTTTAAATAGGTTTTGAGCTTTTAGTTGCGTATGGTTCTATGCTGTTTGCTTAAGCTAATGTTTTTCGTATAATGCTTGGGCTTCAAACTCTATAATTCATTTTATAGAAAAATGAAATTCAATTAAGTTTAATTAGGTGCTTGGGTTTATATCCTCTTGCGAAGTTACGATTCTTTCAACAGAAAAGTGAATGGATTCAAATTCAATAATTCATTTTATAGGAAATTCGAATTCAGTTCAATTAGGTGTCTAGGGTAGGGTTGTGTATCATCTCGGGAATTTACATTTCTTTCTACAGAAAGGATTTTGCAGCCTCAAAAACTGCTTAGTTTTTATATATGTTGTGTCACAGAACTTATTGGTCTTACTTGAGCTTGAGACCCAGCTTTAATTGTTTGTATGTTGTATGAAAGAATTACTTGGTTGATCTTTCTTGGGTTTCGAAATTGTTGCAGCATTCATGCCTAAAATCAAGACTGGTAGATCTATTACTGTAGATAGCTTGTGTGATTTTAGTGAAGCTGACACAATGCCGAAGGTACAGTTACTTAAATTTTGATTAATATATATATATATCTACTTTGAATTTGATTCCCTTAACTGATTATCTCTATTGTTTTGCTAGACGTCAGCAAATGTTGATGATAATATTCTGAAAACCAATATACAACCAGAGTGCATGACTACCAAAATAAAGGAAGATGATGCACCTTGCACTGAAGCCAAGGAAGAAAATAATACAATTGCTTCTCATGTGGTAATAAGTGGCGAAAATTTTGTATCTCATGGGGTAATTAGTGGTTATTATTACTACCTTCTCAGAAATCAATTATCTATTTTTCAGGTTTCTGCTGATAAGGAAGATGATGCACCTTGCATCCAAGCCAAAAAAGATAATAATTCAACTACTTCTCATGCGGTAATTAATGCTGTAATTTTTGTATCCGCATAACAATTTGTTTCCTGGTTGTTATTACTAATCAATTATCTATCTTTAAGGATTCTGCTGCGAAGGAAAGAAGTGAGAATGATGATTATAAAGGGGATAGTGCATGCTTAAGAGTTTCATCATCCAGTGGAGCATCTGTTGAAGTAGGAAAAGATGCTTGCACACCAAATCCAACATTGCAGAAAAAAGTCACAGCCACGAATTCCAAGAAGCAACAGAACACTAAAAAGATAGCCATGAATACAAAACCTCAGTTACAGTCAGCCGCCATGAAGAGCACTGCTGGGACTCCACACTTGGTCCAAGAGAATCAAGCTATTAAGAAGCAAAAATTGGAAGGAGGAAAAACTAGACAGGTAATTTTCACCATTTTTGTCTTAACTGTTTAGATTAGTTTATTTATTTATTTATTTTGGATCTTAATTGAAATATAGTCTTATTTATTTATTTTTTAACTTTCCAGATTCTGAATGTCAAACATCAAACTTTGCCTCATAGTAAGTCAAAATTGGGTTTAACCACTAGCAATGCCAACGTCTCTTCAAGTACTAGTAAAACTATAAGAGAGGACAGAAAGGTTTGTTTTGTTCATTAATTTCATATATGAAATCAAATCCCTTTTGTTTAAAAATTTTAGCTTATCTTTTTGTATTAAATTTGTTGAATTTTGCATTTAAAGGTTTATGTTCGTGAAACACCAACACCAGCACCTATGCCATTTGTATCAATGGCAGAAATGATGAAGAGATTCCAGTCTAGTACGAGAGACCTGTCATTACCCAGCGCTCCTCCTTCTCATGTAATACATGGATCCATTACATTCTCTTCTTTTCTCCCACTCTCTCCCTCTTCATCTTCTTATTGCACCATGGGGTGGATGTTCAAAATGCTTTTCGATTAATTATTCTTGATGGTGCTTCCTTGATCCAGACAAAACCGAAACTCACATTGACCAGGCCAAAGGAACCTGAATTTGAGACAAATCAGCGGGTTCGCCCAACTAAGGTGAAGAGTACTGCCGAACTTGAGGAAGAAATGATGGCTAAAATGCCAAAATTTAAGGCTCGGCCACTGAATAAGAAGGTACTGTTTAATTCTTCTCTCATACCTGATTGTTTGCTCTTTTTGTACTTAAATTCATTTATTTATTTACTTATTTATTTTCATTATAGATTTTGCAAACAACTTTGCCTCCCATGCCAAGAAGTACACCACAACCACCAGAATTTAAGGTAAACCACACCAAAGGATAGAAGATTTAAATTAGAAAATATGAGTGCCAAACGTGATGTGTTGAGTTAACATTTTCATTTTCTTCAGGAATTTCATCTGGAAACTTTGGCTAGGGCCCATCAAAATGCAGATTCAGCTTCAATAGCTTCAACAGAGGTGTCTCATAAGGTATTTTTGAGCAGCAGAAGAATCCATTAATCTTTTTTATTCACTTCGATCTATTAGTCACTTTTTGTTTTATTTGGAACAGCAGAATTCTAGGAAGCATCATCTTACAGAACCTAAAACACCAGTACTTCAAACGTCACTAAGGGCCCGCCCACCCAAGATAAAAAGCACATTAGAAATAGAGCAAGAGGAGCTTGAAAAAATCCCTAAATTCAAGGCAAGACCTCTAAATAAGAAGGTATGATAACTGAGATGTTATCTAATCTTAAATTTTTTATTTTATCATTTAGCTAACTGATAAGTATCCTTCTTTCTCAGATCTTTGAAAGTAAAGGAGATATTGGAATATTCTGCCATACCAAGAAACATGTTACCGAACCTCAAGAATTTCACTTTGCAACAAATGAGAGGATTCCACCACCTGCGGCAGTGGCACCTGCGGCAGTGGCTGATATGTTTGCCAAGGTAGTCTAGGGTGAGATTGTAAGATTGTACAATCTGCTCACAAAGATCTAGTTAATTCTAGAGAATATAAGAGAAGATTGTATAATCTGTAATCATTATTTTTTCCTGGTAGTCTAGAATGAAAAAGCTAAGCTGTTAATCATTTATTTTCTGGTTTTGCAGCTTTGTTTAAAGTCTGAACAATCTGCTCACAATGATCTAGTTTATTCTAGAATATAAGAGAAAATTGTATAATCTGTAATCATTATTTTTTCCTGGTAGTCTAGAATGAAAAAGCTAAGCTGTTAATCATTTATTTTCTGGTTTTGCAGCTTTGTTTAAAGTCTGAACCACGTAACCACAACCCAATTCCTAAAAACACGACTCCAAGTCCATTTCATCTCCACACAGAGGTTCATTACTCCCTCCCTTTGTTGAAAGGGTTAATGCCCTCCCTTTGTTGAAAGGGTTAATGCAACTCAATTACGCACCGCTAATAAAAACATTTTTAATCATATGACAGGAAAGAGGCGCTGAGAAAGAGAAGAAACTGTTCATGGAACTTCTGCATAAACAGTGGGAAGAGGAAACAGCAAGGATTCCCAAGGCTAATCCATACCCTTATACCACTGACTACCCCGTGGTACATAAGATTGTCAATTTGGTGGCTCGTTTGTCTCTAGTTACTCATTGATAATATTATTAAAATTACTGATATCAATCATATGCAGATCCCTTCAAAACCAGAACCCAAGCAATGCACAAGACCAGAGCCATTCCAATTGGAGAGCCTAGTGAGACATGAGGAAGAAATGCAAAGGGAACAGGAAGAAAGAGAGAGAATGGAAAGAGAAGAGGCGCAGATGAAAACGTTTAAGGCACAACCAATCTTAAAAGAGTGAGCAAACAATTAAGACTTTTTTTAGCGTGTGCATATATATATCTTAGATGAAGAAATACAAATGAACCATATTCTTTATTTTTTTCATGGATGTTATTGCACACAGGGACCCTATCCCAGTTCCAGAGAAGGTCCGCAAACCCCTTACTCAAGTTCAGGAGTTTGATTTACACGTAAATCATCGGGCTGTGGATAGAGCAGAATTTGATGAAAGGGTAATGAAACAATCCCTATTTGTTTTCTATTTGTAGAAATGAATCATTGATAACCTGAAGAAAAATCAGATGAGTGAGTATTTATGGTTTTACAACAGTACTCAAATAGCTTATTTTACAGATAAAAGAGAAAGAAAAGATGTACAAACGATACAGAGACGAGAGTGAAGCAGCAAGAATGGTATGATATACCTTGTCTACCATTTGATAGTGATGATATATTAGTTGCATGAATGACAGTGATGATATAATGTGAACATGAACATGCAGATAGAGGAAGAGAAGGCACTGAAACAGTTGCGAAGGACAATGGTTCCTCATGCTAGACCAGTTCCAAAATTTGATCATCCGTTTTGTCCCCAAAAGTAATGCTCCCCTAAACCATTTTTTTTTTTTCAGTTTTCTAAATTTTAATATTTTAAACACTTATAAAGTTGCACATCATGTTGTTGCATTTAGGTCTGCTAAGGACACAACAAAACCCAAGTCACCAAATTTGCGCGTACTCCATAGAAAGGAGAGACGAAAGATATTCAATGGAACTGTACTCTCGAGTCCTGCTGCTAACATGAGATGATTGAAGCATCAATTTGTTAATCACTGTTCAAGAACTCTTATCACAATTTGTTAATCAGTGGTTCAAGTACTCTTGAATTCTTGACATCTCCATAGGTGTGTGTGTAATAGCTCATTATTAAATTTCAATTCTTTTATGTAAATTTTTCTAAAAATGAACTTAATGCCCATCTGCATTACTTTAAACCATACCAGTTCGTGACTGTATCATATTAATAATGCTAATTTTAAATCCACAGCTCATTATCAACTCTTGAATTCTTGACATCTCCGTGGGTGTGTGTGTAATAGCTCATTATTAAATTTCAATTCTTTGATGTAAATTTTTCTAAAAATGAACTTAATGGCATCTGCATTGCTTTAAACCATACCAGTTCGTGACTATATCATATTAATAATGCTAATTCCACAGCTCATTATCTCAATTTTTGATATAAATTTTTCTGAAGCTGAACTTAATGGCATCAGTTCAAATGCGAATTTTAAATCACAGCTTATTATCTTTTCTCAATTCTTTGATGTAATTTGTTCTAAAACTGAAAGTAAATGGCATCAATTCGTGATATATCATCATTAATAATGATAATCAAATCATTTGATTAATTTTTTCTAAAAATTGAACAAGGTGACGGGTTGTTTTTCTAAATCCACAGCTCATTATCAAATCTCAATTTTTTATATAAATTTTTCTAAAGCTGAACTTAATGGCATCAGTTCAAATGCGAATTCTAAATCACAGCTTATCATCTCTTCTCAATTCTTTGATGTAATTTGTTCTAAAACTGAAAGTAAATGGCATCAATTCGTGATATGTCATCATTAATAATGATAGTCAAATCATTTGATTAAATTTTTCTAAAACTTGAACAATGGCGTCACGGTTGTTTTTTTTCATTGTTTCATCAATTGATTACCGATTAATTCGGTTAAGTCGAAAAGAATGACAAAGCTCTCTCTACCAAAAATTTGAGACCATCGGTTAAGCTTTGATACATCAATTCATAGCAATACGTTCCTAATATATCAATTCATAATGCTAATTTTAAAATTATAACTATAACGTCCGGCCGCTTCAAGAATCAAGGACTATCCCCATATACTAACACGAGACTTTTCAGTGTGCTTTTTCCTCACTCGCACACTTCTCGAGAAAACTTCCTAGGAGGTCACCCATCCTATAATTGCTCCAAGTCAAGTACGCTTAACTGTGGAGTTCTTCCGATCCAGGCTACCAAAAAGCAGATGCATCTTGTTAGCATAGGTAGTACCAATTAATTCTTATAAGCTATCCCCCCTCTTTTTCGGGTGTCAATTCGATTCATTCATGCATGTAAACCCCCGCTGGAAGCCTGTCAGGAGCCGCTCCTTGTCCATGCCCTTTCACACCAGCGATCATTCCCCGCCCTCGTCAGTGCTCGGGATGTTACATGCCCACCAGCTTCTGCCTGGTTCGTCCTCGAACCACACCGTACTGGATGAGAGGCCCTGCTCTGATACCACTTGTAACGTCCGGCCGCTTCAAGAATCAACGACTATCCCCACATACTAACATGAGACTTTTCAGTGTGCTTTTTTCTCACTCGCACACTTCCCGAGAAAACTTCCCAAGAGGTCACCCATCCCAGAATTGCTCCAAGTCAAGCACGCTTAACTGTGGAGTTATTCCGATCCGGACTACCGAAAAGCAGATGCATCTTGTTAGCATAGGTAGTACCAATTAATTCTTATAAGCTATCCCAAACTGTGCAGTCTCATACCTGCACAGTCTTTGGAATCCCTCTTTTTCGGGTGTCGATTCAATTCATTCATGCATGTAACCCCCCACTGGAAGCCTGTCAGGAGTCGCTCCTTGTCCGTGCCTCTTTGCACCAGCGATCACTCCCCACCCTCGTCAGTGCTCGGGATGTTACATGCCACACCGTACTGGAAGAGAGGCTTGCTCTGATACCACTTGTAATGCCCGGCTGCCTCAAGAATTAACGACTATCCTCACATACTAACACGAGACTTTTCAGTGTGCTTTTTCCTCACTCGCACACTTCTCGGGAAAACTTTCCAGGAGGTCACCCATCCCAGAATTGCTCCAAGTCAAGCACGCTTAACTGTGGAGTTCTTCTGACCCGGGCTACCGAAAAGTAGATGGATCTTGTTAGTATAGGTAATACCAATTAATTCTTATAAGTCATTCCTAACTGTACCGTCTCATACCAGCATAGTCTCCGGAATCCCTCTCTTACGGGTGTTGATTCGATTCATTCATGAACCCTCAAGCTGCAAGATTTGGCATGAGCCGCTCATTGTCCGCGCCCTTTCGCACCGGCGATTACTTCCTGCCCTTGCCAGCTCTTGGGATGTTACAATGAATCCTTTCATAATTTTAAAATTAGCATTATCAATTCATTAAAAAGAAGTTGGATGAATATCTGCCCAGAAAATATTGCTTCCTTTTATTTTATCATAAATTAGAAATCCATGCAGCCTAAAGCAAGACCAAAAATTACACTCTCTTCATATATGCCTAAATTAGCCCTCTCTTAATGATATCTGCTCGGAAAATGTTTCTCTCACTAGGCCACTGTTGCTGATATGTACTTCCTTTTAAGCAAGACTAAAAATTAAAGGATAAAATTACACACCCATAAAAGTTGTTTTAAATTAGAGATTCCTCTCTTAATTTGAAAAATTACATTCCCCTCAAAGATTAAAATGTGCTACACACTTTAATACATTTCTCTCTCTCTCTCTCTCTACTTTAGGATTTTAAAATATGAAATAAAAAATTTAGATGAAGTAATCAGATTCATTTCATCTTGTAAAGTCCAAAAATCAGATAGCAGCATTGTTTGAAATTTTGTCCGTGATAGTTTGGGAATTTAAAAATAATAATAAAAAGCTGGATAAAATTCCAACAATAAAAATATTCAAAACTTTATTTCATAGTCTAAAGTTCCAAAATTGTACAGTACTGTGTTTGAAATAGATTGCTAGGGACACTGAAACCTCAAAATATGAAATAAAAAATTGGGTTCGTTTTTTCTGAAGTCAATGTAAATAATCGTTTTGGGACGAAAATCAAGATATTTTTGTAATTATAATTTATCTCAAGGTTATAATAGTCTTTCTCATTATAATTTTTTAATTTTTCAATCCAAAACGACATCATTTTAGGAGTGGATGTAAACAACTTATCTACATTCACTGTAGAAACATTAAATTACAAAAAATGGAAGAAGTTCCCATAATAAAAGTTTTCAGAAGTCAGAACTTCATTTTATCTTCTAAAATCCCAAAATCAAATAATATTGTGTTTAAAATTAGTTGTCGAAGATACTAAGAGTTAGCCATGGAAGCCTCTAGTTCATAGTTAAACCCTCTCAGCTATAAATACTACGAAAAGGTTCATTCGCGTTAAAATGAACTAAAATATAACACATTTTTAGCTTTAAACGAATAGAAAGGATGACATAATTTGAGCATCTTAATCTTTTAGTGAAAAGAGTGTAATTTAACCAAAATCAAATAAAATTGAAACTGTAACTAAAATTATAGGAGGTTACATACATTTTTTGTATATATGTACTTCCTTTTATATTGTATCATATATAAGACCTCTCTGCACAGTGCTTGATAGTTAAGCATGATACAAAGTTAAATAAAATAGATACTATACCGAATTTCAAAGAACCCAAAACTTACTTGAAAGTTGAAACAAACCTTGTATATATAATAACCAAATTTTAAAGAACCCCAAACTATACCATATTATTTAGTTTATTTAATTGAAAATTTTCCTATGTACATACAGAATAAGTCCTGGCATTGGTAGATATCAAAACTGTATAACGCTCACTCCTTCCGCCTGTATGCCAGAATCTGAAGCAGCAGAAAAAGGATAAAATTTAGTTATTACTTGAACTACCAATAATATTGGGAAAAAGACCCGGTTTAAAACTCACCAAATGCTCCCTTTTAGACATGCATTTTGATTTAAGCTCTGCCAGAGATTCATGCCCTTGCAAAGTTTCCAGTTCATCTTTGCTAGGATCTATAACCAGCGTTGATAGCTCACCAGAGGATGAAGTCTCATCACCTGACTTATCACAAAATGTACTGCAGCATCCTTTAACTGCCAATATCTCAACTTCTTCAACTGTCAAAGGTATCTGACAAGCAACATACTATGCAGAAATAATGCACAAAAATATTAGAAAATCATCATTACGCTTGAAATCAGCTCATCCACATGAGAATATTATGTAATCATTTTCATCAATAATAAAGGATTAGGAAAGCAAAGAGTTGCTTCTACGTATTTAATAAAGCATCATTTTATTGCCTAAATATCAACAATTTAAGCTGGCAAAGGTGAACCAACAAAGTCATATACTGTTGTCACAACATAGTTAAAATCAACTTGGCCACAAACTAACATTGCAAGAAACAAGTGATCAAAGAGAATCTCACTTCACAAAGGTGCTTCACAAACAACGTTGGCGGACAGCTAAGGTGTGGCTGCTGCAAACTTGGTGTACTTTGTTTGTCCAAAGAAAAAAGCATGAGATGGACATCTAACTGCAAAGAAGAACATAGCATCTATTATTCGAATTGAACTGAAAAAGGAATAGAATCATGATTAAAGAAGCATTGAGTAGTAACCTATACCTCGGAGTTTTCATCCAAGCTATGGAGATGATCAACCAACTTAGCCAAGCGACCCTTGCGGGAACTTTTGCTATTGCTACCACTGCCACTGCCATGCCGTGTGTGACTCCTAAAACCACCCCTTCCCCAAGTAAGTTTTTGAGGTTTTGACACCTGCCTTGACGAAATTCCTCGATTATCTCTGCTTATATCCATATCACTTTCTGCACATCCACCATCAGGACTTGCTGTCGATGATGTTGGCTGACACGGGCGAGCTCTGTTCCGCCTCTTCCGCTTTCTCTGCCTGAGTTCTGTGCATCCCTCATCGGCGGAAGATGAGTCCTTTTCATTTTTGTCATTTTCCTCATTATTTTCAGATCCTTGAATATCAATCACTTGGTTTTGTCTCCTAGAAAGAACATTCCTTTGATTGCGCTGTGATCTTGTTACAAATGTACCTGGTGTATCTTTACGTCTCTTAACCAGTGCTTCAGATTGCCGTTGAACTACTTTTGCAATTGAAGCTTGAATCTGTCAGAAAAGCTATTAAATGACAAACCAGGAACAGAAGTACTATTTATGCTAAGATTTGATAATTTAGAGAATGATGAAGACTAATAAAATTAAAAATTAATAAGGATAAGCCTGAGCAGTAAGTAAATATAAATTTGATAGGGTAGGAATTTTGGACTTGGCTTGCCATGGAGATAGTCAACAAAAGGTGATTTATGATTCTAGCCTTCATTACTCAGGAGGAGTGATACAGTCAGTAACACATTGTCGATGAAGCCTTCCTTACTGGTGTAACTATTATACAAATCTGAAATCTGAAAGCATACTTAAAAATGTTTACTAACGAAATATTCACCAGCTTATTGCGGTTCTTGTCCTCTTCACGAAATTCAAGCTCCTGTAATAACACAGTATGAGGTATCACTAGTTATATTTTGTGAATGTTTTTGTAAACTCAGTTAAATATTAAGTACTGAACAGGTTGGCTTATACCTCTTCCTCATACTTCTCAATATCTGAATATAAAGCTGCAATTAGGGCATCGAAGTTTGGATCATCTCTCAAAGAACGACGACTGGCACAGTGCGTGCGACAAGCAGGGCATTCATTGTTCCTGAGATTATAAATATATGATAAATCTAGCTACATATAGACATTATATTTTTTGTTATTCTGATAAACATAAAAATAGGCAAGATGAAGGATCTAGTTTACAATTATCAGCAGCACATTAATTAAATAAAAGAGAAAGCCAGGAACAGCTTCATTTGACCTACCCTAGTCGCATCGACTTGTCAATGCATTCTCTGCAAAACCGGTGCAAGCATTCCATAACAGTTCGTGTCTTCTTAATAATACCTGTTTAAGAACAAGAAATATTTGGTTATTTCTTCACCGAACAGGATATGTTGGTTAGAATTGAAGCATAACTTGAACTGCAGCTTTAAAAAATGTTGAAATTATAAGGATTTATGTGTAGAGGGAGAAAAAAGGAAAAGACTGAATAATAATATATATTGATGTGTTATGAAGTGACTACAAAAAATAGAGCACTAATCCCTATTTGTAATAAATAGAAGACTCCTACAATAAGGAAACAAATCATGAAATATAAGGAAATAAGCAAACTAATCTTAAGAGATCCTCTAGGGTACTCTAAACAATATTAAGACATGATCTAAAATTATATGGTATCATCTAGATATTCTAGACATGATCTAAGCTTTAAGCTTGTTATAAATGAACCCTTTAAAAAAGGAAAAATAACCAAATAAAGCAATTCGAGGTCCACAAAACATGGTTGGCATCGCTGTGTGGCTGGGCTGGGCTTGATGGCATGACTGATGGTTAACTGGCTAGAGATCTCAACAAAAAACGTTTCCACCAGTGGAGGTGGCCTGACATGTGGCTGAAGACAATAAACTACTGAGAAAAGGTTGACAGAAAAGTAGTTGACAAAGAGTTCCGAATTCTAGGGAACTCAACAGCAGAAAAGTGACGGACAAGTAACGAAGGATGTTATCGCTCTGATACCATGTTGAAATTATAGGGATTTAGGTATATAGGGAGAAAAAAGGGAGAAGACTGAATAATATTGTATTTTAAACCGGTGCAAGCATTCTATAAACATTTGAAACTTAAGTTGCCGAAGAACTCCATCCTAGAGGAGCACTATAGGCTTGTTTATCAAGAGAGTACCCTGCCAAGAGAAGTTCTCTTGGTTGACGTTTGTTAGTCAAGTGTACTCTTGAAATGTCCTACATCAGTTGTAGTTTGTTATGGATAGCAACAATTAAAGAGATAATTAAATCAATCAAGTAGCAAATCACTAGCTAATTGACAACAATCAAACAAATACAGTTGACTAAATACCAATATTCTAAATATAAATGCTAATATTCTCACATACATAAATATTAGTTAATTGCCATTGTACATCAATACTTGATAGTTGATAAATCATGATTTCTAATTTCCAAATGAGAGCAATGACACAGAATTGACAAATATCAGTAAATCTACCCAACCCTCCAGCACTGGACACATTTCAACCAGGAAAAAACAAATTACATATAATTTAATTGTGCAGCTATACCATGAACCATCCAACAAGGTAAAACAAACACATACCAAGGCAAATTGGACATTGGACATCTTTACGAATTTCCTGAAGTTCTACAAACACAAATCTGCAAACAAAACAAGAGCATAAGCTTTTATTTATATAATGTTGATAGGAAAAACAAAATTAATGTCCCAAAACAAAAATAATGCAGATAAACCCTTGTTTCCTAGTGTTGGTCTCTAAAGAAGTGCGCGATTTATAACTTGTATCTATCAGTTGGGTAGTCACAATATCTTGACTCACTTAACGGCTAAAAGTGAAATATTAAATTCAGTGGCTTCTTAATAGTTTAATACACAGTCAATATGACAATAACCACTGTTACTACCCTCCTTGATCATCAAAAATCTCTAAGTTGCTGTATGCCTGTCAGAAAGAAATTTTACGTACAGTAGCCATTTAAAAAGCCAGAAGGAGCAGAAGTGCAGTTTTCAAACTTAAGTTGAAGTCTTGCAGATAACCACAGCGTCAACTTTTCATTTTAGATATTTCATTTACTTCCTATTATTGTAAATTATTAGTGATATTTAATTTACTTACCTCATGTGTATCAGGACCTAGACAGATAAATTAAAATATCTAATAGCTTGTTGATGGATCTATCCAGTGATTCAAATTTTTCTTCACCCAATTAAAAGGGGAGGCTGATAAAATCATTATTCAATTGTTTGCTGTAAAAGCTAGGAGATCATGATGGATGTAACCTTAACCATTCCAGTGATGATAAGAGTATAAGCTGCTATAAGAATAAATACTAAATCACTCCCTATACAAGTGTGACCACTTATTTTTGTTATCAAGTGAAGTTACTCAAGTCATCAATCCAGAACATCATGCCAACTGCCTAATGATATTTTTTCCTTAAGATACAAAAAACACAGTCCAAAGAACTCATCCTATCATCATCCACACCATGAATGAGATCTTCAGTGCTAAATGATGTTTAATCTGATCCGAACGCTAAAATATGTAGGATTCAGAATTAGGACCAAATGGGGGGTCCACTAAAAAAGGCTTCCAACATTATGGAGCATGGTACGCACAGCATTACCTCGATAAGACTACAACCTATGACCTTGAACTAGGGGTCATCCTCTAGTATTCATACTTTAGGACCCAATAACAAAAATCTATACCCAAAAGAAAAAAGTTTTTTTTTTTTTTTTTGCTCAAGTTAATAAACGAACGTGTTACAAACATGAACAAGACGAAAATCCAAACATGCAAGCGACCCATTACGAATCAAATCGGGGAAATTCAGAAAACACGGACATCCCAGCTCAAACGACACGAAACTCTGAACATCGCCCTTCAAGAGAGGAAGAGACAATTCAATCAAAACCCATTACAGATACAGATAATCAAAACGCGAAACTCGAGAGAAACAAAACAGAAAGTAGAACATCATAAATAATGCGTATCATCAAAGAGAAAGAAAGAGAGAGAGAGAGAGAGAGAGAGAGAGAGAGAGAGAGAGAGAGGGAGAGTACTCGGAATTTTCATCAGAGGCAGAAGATGGGGTGTGGTCAGAATCTGAAAACACAAATGAAAAAAACATGAAGATGAAGAAGAAGAATCTAGAAGCATAAGGAGTAATAATAAAAGGTAAGTAACTAACCATCTCCATCGGATTGATTATGTTGTTGTTCCTCATCTTGTTGGTTGTTGGATTGCTTGGCATGGCGGTGGTGATCGTTCGGAGAGTCGGTGAGGGAACGCTTCTGAGCAGGCATTGTTGGTTCAGAAAGATACACTGTTTTCTCTGTGTATTTGTTGTTATTGTTGTTGTCTTGTAAAAGCTGATGAGAACAACAGCAAGAGAAGAAGAAGCACGAATGCGAAGCAAAAGCAGAATCAGATTTTGGTTGGCTATTTTCATTGCTGTAATAGTCAAATGCCATTATATAGACTCCATCAATTTACAATAAATTTAACGGTGATGATTTCCTTATTTAATAATTTATATTTATTTTTATATTTGTAGAATTATGATTATGATTTTTCATATTTAATGCTTTCATTTTAAATATGGGGAATCATGACCATACAAATATGAAAATAAATATAACCGTTAGATCAACATAATCGATCTAACAATAAGATTGATTGGTAGTCACTTGGTAGTAACACAACTTGATTGTCACAATATCATTCCCCTATCTATTTATATTAGATTAGATGATACAAATCAGATCAATATTTAAGATTTTTTTTAATTACGGTGATTTATGTTGATCTTGCCTACCCCTCTTTCTTTATAATATATATAGGTTTAATGTTTTCACACGTAGTAGAAAATAAAATTAGTTTCTACACACATAACTATGGGTAAGGTTTATATATTTTTTTTCTCACATAATTTTATATGATGCTCACACACTTTTTTAATCTGTAAATAAGAGACAATTTTATCTCCTATAATATAAGAGACATTGAATAATGTATATATGTAGGTTTTATAAAATCTCGTTATTGCCCTTATGCTACTTAGATAATGATATGCTTGTATCGCGAATTTCTAATTTGTTGGTGGTTAGAAGAATATTACCATTTTGTATCGAAAGAGAATTTCAATAAACATAATATTAGAAATGTTAATAGAAACTTTCGAATTTCGTGATACGTGTTTTTCATTGTTATAATTGATGAATATTTAATTATTTCTTGCCCCGCCAGTGTTTAAAAAGGATTAGTAAAAGTATTAAGGGTTGTTTAGGTAAGTTTTTTTTTCTCCAAAAGTTGTTTTTTTTTTTATGAAACAAAAGCCGTGTTTAAAAACTCGGCCCGGTCATCGACCCGGCCGAGGTCCGGGGTCATGGGTTCAACCGGGGAGTCACGAGGTCACTATGCTGACCTGATTTTATATATTAAAAAAATATAAATATATATCCTATATGAAAATATTAAAAAACAAATCACCAATCATTAAAGATTCAAAATATATTTAATATAATTCATCAATTATAATCACAAGTCAATATTACACAACCTAATTAAAGTATCAAGATACCAAAGTATAATGATACCAAACTATCAATATACTATAAGTCTAGGTCGCTGGGAGAGAAGAGAACGATTAGATTTAGGTTTGCAAGCATTTTTATTTTATTTTCTTAATAAAATGATGTTGTTTCATGGAATTTTCTTCAAAAAAAAAAAACATGCAGTGACCCCCTTTGACCCCTCTGTCCCGAGAGTCACTGAAACTCGGCCGGATTTTGGGGGTCGGAGGGGTCGATGTGCATATTGGGTCCAACTTGTGACCCCAACCCTCAGAGGGGAGGGGTCAGGGTTGACTCGGGTCAACCCGGGGGTGGGGTGGAGTTTTAAAACACTGAACAAAAGCACTTATCACTTTAAATTCGTTTGGATGTCTGCTTTTAAAAAAAGCAAAAATCACAAAAAAGCTAAAATTCTGCTTTTTAAGAAGCTAAAAATTTTAGCTTCTAAAAAAAGCAGAAGTTAAAAGTCAATTTTTTTTTTCAAAAACTAAATATTTTTATAAAAATATAAATAACTTCAACTTTTATAAAATACACTTCTAAAATAAGGAAGAGATAAAAGCTACTTTTTTTATAAGCCCAAACAAAACAGACTCTAAGTAGAGACGATAAAATGGTCTAAACCATTGAGCCAAAATTGGCTTAACTCGATGCGAGGTAGGTTGAAAATAATTTTAGATTGTTACTAGAAACTTATGAATGAGTAATTTTGTCATAGGGTTTCTATGTTCTTGGTTTCGTGATATGTTTTTTTCATTGTTAGAAATTGTTAGAAAATAATATAAACCATTAAAAAGCTCTCAACCCACTAGGATTAAGCTTTTGGGTTTAATTGGTTCTTTACATAGTATCACCCTAAAGAGAGGAATCTTTATCCGCCTTTCCTTACTCTTTTTCATAATTTTAATATGGTAGTAGAGAGATATCACCCATCGAGAGGGATTGGCTTTCCCGTATGCTCTCTTTCTTTCTTTTCTCTTTGCTTATCTTTTTTTCTATATTCGATCCATTCTTTTTCCGGTGAACCCACTGTTCATCATCTTTCAAATTTTTTTTTCCAGATATTGTCTCCTTGTCAGTTTTAGGATGTCTTTTTCATTCTTATACTGTATTTTCATCGTTGCTGGACTGAAACATTGATTCAGATAATTCGTTCTTCTGTTCCTTGCATTCGTAGTTCTCTTTCTCTAAGGGAGTATTAGCCAAGACCCTGTTTTCTGACATTTTGAAATCAAGAGCTTACTTTAGCGGATTGCTAAAGGTAACAAGGCCACTGGCGGCCTCATTTTCGTCGCTAAGGTTTTTGGGATTGCCGACTGCATCAAGTTTCTCGAGTCCTATTATTTGATTCTCGTTACTAAGCGCAGACAAATTTTATACGTGCATCACTAATTCACAACGCGTTCACTGGTTAAGAAGAAAAAATGGGGGTTGGTGGTAATTTCTGGGATCTGCTTAAACCCTAAGGACGCATCGAAGGTATTGATATCTTGAGGAACAAGAAAGTTGTTGTGGACCTGTTTTTCTGGATTATTCAGCACATTAAGGCCAGCTTGAACAACAATGTCAAAAAAAACCCATCTTAGAAACATGTTCTTACGCACCGTCAAAATCTTCTCCAAGTTTGGAGCATATCTGGTGTTCATTGCTGATGGTACTTCGTCGCCGTTGAAATCAGAGGCTAGGATTTTGAGATATTGCAAGTTTATTAGCATTGATCTAACTAGCTTTCCAGGGCTTAAAGAGGGTGTTTCAGTTGAAAGGAATAAAACATTTTTAAGTTGGGTTCGAGAATGTGTGAAACTTTTTAAGCTACTTGGAGTGCCTGTATTAGAGGCTAAATGAGAGGCTGAAGCACTCTGTGCTGAATTAAATAGAGAAGGTCATGTATATGATTGCATCACACCAAACAGTGATGCATTCCTCTGCGGGGCCAAACGTGTTATAAGACGTTTCAGTTGTTCAAAGTCCAAAGAACCATTTGAATGCTACTATATGTCAGAAATTGAAGCTGGCCTTGGGTTGAAGAGGAGACATCTAATAGTTATCTCTCTGTTGGTTGGAAATGATCATGATATAAATGGTGTTCGAGGGATTGAGCTTGATTCTGCTTTTCAGTTTTTTTGAGCTTTTATTGAAAATAATAATAAATTGGTTATTTACATGGTATCAGAGCCTCAATGTCTCGGGTTCGATCCTCGCCCCCCCTAATTTTCTTTGTGGAATTTCTTAGCATAGGTAGGCTGGGCCTAATGGATTGTTCGCCCTTCAAGCCCAGTGGGCTCTCGTGGATGGGTATTAAAGAATAATATAAGCCAATGTTATTAAAATTGACCCGATTATTGACCCGATCGAGGTACTGGGTTAGTGGGTCACTGGTTGAACTGCATGACCCGGTGAGTATATTTAAATTTATAATTTATATAAAAAATTATAAATATATTTAAGTACTTATAAAAAATAATTTCAATTTCAAATATTCTCTCTTTTTTTGGTAAATAAATATTCTAACTTTATTAGTAATGAATATTACATTTTATATTCCAAAACAAAAAATATTACATTTCAATTACAATTTAATATAATAAAATTTTCAAAAAGCCATAGCTTTGCAAAAGAGTCGTTACATTTGACAATATAATAAACTACTTCTTTCACTTTAACAATACAATAAATGCAATTCAGTACATTCTGTTTTCTAATACAATGTAACAAATGCAAAGTACAAAAGCATTGGCCGGTTAAGAGAAAGAAACAGCTATTTCACAGCCCTATTTCACAGCAAACTCATCATATTCCCAATTTCATTTTTATCTGCTATTTCACAGTTATTTCACAACTATCTATCGTCTTTTTTATTTTCGAAAACAGCTATAGTCTCTCTTTCTTTTTTTTCTTGCGAAAACAACTATCGTCTCTTTATCTGCTTCTTCTTCTTTGCCATAGGTGCCACAGTGGCCACGGTCTTACCAAGTTCAAGCTTCTTCTTCTTCTTCTTCGTCTGTTTATCTCCTCCATCGCCTCTGCCCCGGCCAGATCCGGCCAAGTCATCTCCACCATCCCCGGCGGCCACCGTTCCATTTTCTCTGACGTTTTTCCTTCCTTTTTGTTGTTTATATTTTACCCGGCGGGTCACCGATTTTAGTAAAACCGGCCGATTTATTCTGGTTCACATCGGGTCACACCAGTTTGTTTGTATGTCCGATCCATTACTTTACCCGGACCGGTCAGATGGCCGGTTTACCGATTTTCGGTTCGACCCGGCCGGTCCGATTTTTATAACACTGATATAAATCATTAAAAAGTCCTTACCCACCAACTTAAACATTTGGGTGAATTGGTTCTTTATAGAAATGATGATCACTTAATTGATTCTTGCCCCTAATTGCTTAAAATGGATTAGTGTAGAGGCGCTAAAATGGTCCAAACCGTCAAGCCAAAATGGGTTTAACTCGATGCGAGGTAGGTTGAACAAAATTTTAGATTGTTACTAGAAGCTTATGAATGAGTAATTTTTTAATAGGGTTTCTATGGTCTTGGTTTCGTGTTATGTCTTTTTTGTTAGAAATTGTTAGAGAATAATATAAATCATTAAAAAGCCCTCAACCCACTAGGATTAAGCTTTTGGGTTGAATTGGTTTTCTTACATGGTATCATCCTAAAGAGAGCAATCTTTATCCGCCTTTCCTTACTCTTTTTCATAATTTTGATATAGTAGTAGAGAGATATCACCCACCGAGAGAGATTGGCTTTTCCGTCTGTTTTCTTTCTTTCTTTCTCTCTTTACTTCTCTTTTTCTCTCTCTTTGATCCATTCTTTTTCCGGTGAACCCACTGTTCATCATCTTTTAATTTTTTTTTCTGGATATTGTCTCCTTGTCATTTTTCGGACGTCTTTTTTGTTCTTATATTGTATTTTCGTCGTTGCTGGATTGAAACATTGATTCAGATAATTCTTTCTTTCTGTCCCTTGCATTCAAAGTTCTCTTTCTCTAAGGAAATATTAGCCAAGACCCTGTTTTCTGACATTTTGAAATTGCTTCAGCAGATTGCTGAAGGTAACAAGGCCACTGGCGGCCTCACTTTCGTCGCTAAGGTTTTTGGGATTGCCGACTGCATCAAGTTTCTCGAGTCCTATTATTTGATTCTCGTTACTAAGCGCATACAAATTTTATACGTGCATCACTAACACACAACACGTTCACTGGTTAAGAAGAAAAAATGGGGGTTGGTGGTAATTTCTGGGATCTGCTTAAACCCTATGGACGCATCGAAGGTGTTGATTTCTTGAGGAACAAGAAAGTTGTTGTGGACCTGTCCTTCTAGATTATTCAGCACATTAAGGCCAGCAAGAACAACAATGTCAAAAAACCCCATCTTAGAAACATGTTCTTATGCACTGTCAAAATCTTCTCCAAGTTTAGAGCATATCCGGTGTTCATTGCTGATGGTACTCCATCGCCGTTGAAATCAGAGGTTAGGATTTTGAGATATTGCAAGTTTTGTGGCATTGATCTGACTAGCTTTCCAGGGCTTAAAGAGGGTGTTTCAATTGAAAGGAATAAAACGTTTTTAAGTTGGGTTCAAGAATGTGTGAAATTTTTTAAGCTACTTGGAGTGCCTGTATTAGAGGCTGAAGCACTCTGTGCTGAATTAAATAGAGAAAGTCATGTATATGCTTACATCACACCAAACAGTGATACATTCCTTTGTGGGGCCAAACATGTTATAAGACGTTTCAATTGTTCCAAGTTCAAAGAACCATTTGAATGCTACCATATGTCAGAAATTGAAGCTGGTCTTGGGTTGAAGAGGAGACACTTAATAGCTATCTCTCTGTTGGTTGGATATGATCATGATATAAATGGTGTTCAAGGGATTGAGCTTGACTCTGCTTTTCAATTTGTTCGAGCTTTTAGTGAAGATGATAATAAATTGGTTATTTACATGGTATCAGAGCGTCAATGTCTCAGGTTCAATCCTCACCCCCTCCCCCCCAATTTTCTTTGTGGAATTTCTTAGCATAGGTAGGCTTGGCCTAATGTATTGTCCACCCTTCAAGCCTTGTGGGCTCTCGTGTGAGGAAGGTGTTAGAGAATAATATAAATCCTTAAAAAGCCTCCACCCACCTGCTTAAACTTTTGAGTTGAATTGGTTCTTTATAGAAATGGTGATCACTTAATTATTTCTTGCCCCTAATTCCTTAAAATGGATTAGTGAAAGAAATAAGGAATCCCCTAGCTTTGCTATTCAAAGTCAGATGACAACTAATGTTAACTTTGGTGAATGCGACAACTAACAAAGCTTTTGGATATACAAATATTATAGATTTAATCTTGGACAGAAATTTAATTAAAAAATGAACGAATTTAAGTTTTTTACCTGATAAAATCATTTAAAATAAAATAAAAGACACATCTTAAAAAATTATTTTTATTTAATATATGACATGAAAAGATTTTGACCAAACCACAAAGAATTGGGTCTAATCACACATGATTAAGTCTAATCCAAGTTGATATATTTTGGTGATGAAACTTGCTATCTTTAGCAACATGGGTTGTTGTGAGGGATGATGTTTCAGTATGAAGTTTGGATGCAACAAGAAGTTGATTTGATTGGAGCAAATGGGGGTGAGTACCTTCAAATTTGATGCTCAATTTAGTATGTGAGTAACGAGCTTATGTAATATGGAGAAGATGAATATACTTTGGTCTTTGTCTCTCTATTCATAGTGTGTATATGAACTGCTTGTAAAATCAGTAGATAAGTATTGTAGTTTGGTTGATATGTTCACATAAGCGGCCTATATGACCTACCTCTGAAGGTGGATATCTTTCGATGTCTTATATTGCTGAGATTTAGCTAGATGAATGTCTATGTCATTCGATTATTGACTTAGTGAGGTGGTGATCAACTTTGAGCTCTTAACTAATTTATGGGATAACATCCACACTGTTGAAATGAGATAATATTTGCTGAGTTGTACAGTTATTGAAATTTTAATTATTGATTACACAATTACATAATCATAGGAGATTTGTATTAAATAGATTAATTTTCTTATTTGCAGTTGATTGACATAATCATAGGAGTTTTGTATTAAATAGAAATAGTAACAGATTATTTCATTTCCTTATTCATAGTTGATTGTCAGCTAATTTATAATGGACCTAGAGTCCTCATTTATGTATATAATTACTCCAGTAGAGGAAGAATAAACACACAGAAATATTCATAATATGACACCATTGTTTTCACACACACATCCAACACATTTTTTTTCTGAATCATTTATGATCGATACATAATAGGTTGTTGCCCTAACTCAATGGGATTTAGTGGCTGATATTTCTTAAAAACTTAGTTCAACACTTCTTTTATTGAAACCTAACTCAATGGGATTTAGTGGCTGTATACCAAAGGCCTAAACATCAGAAGTCGGTTATTTATTAGAATAAAATCTGGGACAATGACCATGTTGTCACTTTTTAGGCAAAATTTTACCTGATTGCCACTTTTGAAATTTTTTTTGCCAAAATGCCACGCCTGAATCCCGCTGGTCTGACAAGCGGGAATAGACTGGACATGTGTCAGCGTCTGAATGGTCAACCATTCTCGCTGGGCTGCCCAGCTAGAATGACAGAATGCTGACACGTGGCAAAAGCACAGGCATTCTCTGGATGTCTGTACTTTTGCCACGTGTCAGCATTCTGTCATTCTAGCTGGGCAGCCCAGCGAGAATGATTGACCATTCAGACGCTGACACATGTCCAGTCTATTCCCGCTTGTCAGACCAGCGGGATTCAGGCGTGACATTTTGGCAAATTTTTTTTCAGAAGTGGCAATCAGGTAAATTTTTATTAAAGGAGTGGCAATATGGTCAATGTCCCATAAAATCTTGTATAAAAAATAGTGCATTATAATTTTTGATATTTGATTTATTACTACATTAATTGATTCAATAATTAAAATATCTGTGCGAGGAAAAAGTTGACTTCTCGCCGGGATATTTTTTTTTAAGTTAAACTTCCAATAAATATTTGATCCTTTTGTCCTTAATTAAATAAAAAATAATTACTTTATCCATATCCCAGAACTATACACTCATGTTTAATCGATTAAATGATATATGTAATTGATTAAGTGTGAAAATTTTATTTTAATTGATTAACTGGTTGCAATACACACAAATGCTAGAATCATTGAAACTCAAAGGCAACCCTTCAATCAAATGGACTTGGAGAGAAAAACTACAATCAAACTACAATAAGACAAGAAAGTGATCACAAGATGACAAGTTCAATTCTTACCGCTTCACTTTCGAGTAGAACTAAAATAAGATGGGTAAAGGATTTCTCCAGTCAATGGAGATAAGTTATCTCCAGTGAGCCTAAAATGACGTTGTTTTGGAGCGAAAATCAAGGTGTTTTTGTAATTATAATATGGGGGAGGATCCACTTACCACCAAAAAAGTTTACAACTCTTACAACCATATTTAATCACTGTTGATTTCTATCAATCTAACGGTTATAATTTATTGAGAATTTATAAATGTGACACAATAAATGTTATTAATTTATAATCGTTAGATTGACGGAAATCAACGGTGATTAAATTGGTTGTAAGAGTTGTAAACTTTTTTGGTGATAAGTTGATCCGTTCCCTTATAATATATTGCAGGGTTATATTAGTCTTTATCGTTATAATTTTTTTAATCTTATAATTCAAAACGACGTCATTTTGAGCATACTTGAGATAACTCAAAAAATAGTAAATCCAAAAAATTAGGACTATGCAATATCCACACTCTTTAAATCCAAAGGACTATTGTGTGACGGGACGTGTTAGAGAAAATACTATAAACTATTAAAAAAATACTCATCTAACATCTTAAGATTTTGGGTTAAAATATTTATTTAGACACGTGAATGAAACGGCCTTGAATCCCTTCCAATTCCATATAGATTTCTTATCCTTGCGCAAGTCATCTTCTTCACTGGCTTTAGGCTTTGATTTAGGATCAGGTGACCGGGTTTTCTCGGTGGATTTTGATCCAAATTTTTTCCCAGTTGATGACTTGATGTTGAATTCCTGAAAGAGCTCTTTTCCATGTATAGATCTTTGCTTATAGCTTCAACATCTTTTAATAACAACTTGGTCTCTTCGTCACTGCTCTTTTTACCACATTCACCTTTCGACAACATTATCTTTTGTCGAGAAACCAAACAAAATTTAAATTAAACAAAACACAGCCCAGAATTCAAAATGATAAATAAATAAATAAATAAACCCATTCATCTTATAGTAGATTAATAAATTATGGATTCACTTTTTCGATAGTAAATGTAGATAATTTATTTATATTGAGTCCAAAATGATGTTTTGAGACAAAAATCAAGATATTTTTACAAGAAAAAAGTATTTGTCATTTTAAATGACATAAAATTATGTCATCTTAAGAGAAAGATAGACACAAAATAAATTTTTTTATTTAAAAATTAAATTAAAAAAACCGTCCACTTTCTCTCTCCCATGATTTCTATTTTTTGTGTCTATCTTTTTCCTAAAATGACATAACTTATGTCATTTAAAATGACAAACATCATGTTATAAAAATAAAATAAAATGACAAACATCAAACCTTTTTTATAATTATAATGAGAGAAATTCTAAGATATTTAGAGAATAATATTTCGAGCAATTTTATAATTATTCAGATTTAATTTATAATTTTAATTTTTGATAGACCAAACGGCATATATAATTACTCGAAAATGGGCATATATAATTACTAGCATTGCGTATTATATTATTGCTGAAGTAGTGTAATATTAACAAAAAAAAAAAAAAAAAAAAAAGTGTAATATTTCCTAGACTGTGTAAGAATCTCTCACTAAACCAGTCCCTAAGTTGGGTCTCTACTCTAACATGGTTTTCTAATCATGGCCACAATTTTAATTAGCAAGTTGGTAAAACAGAAAAAAAAAATAATTTATTGAAAAATATTTCTCAAATAACCTGAGATAAAATTATTTTTTTAACCCAAAACATTATTATTTTAGAATTTGAAACAAAAAATGCATAATATTTTAATAAAATTCGTCACGTAAGAAGAAAGTACAATTTTTAAAATATCTTATATTTTGTTTTTGGTTTTAACGTTTCTACACTAAATGGCAGATAAATTATCTACATTCGTTCCCAAAACGACGTCGTTTTAAGTTGAAAAATTAAAAAATTATAATGAAAAAGACTATTATAACCCTGAAATAAATTATATTACAAAAATATCTTGATTTCTGCCTCAAAACGACGTCATTTTAGGCTCAATGTAACTAAATTATCTACATTGATTGTAGAAAAAACGAACTCTTTGTTTTTAATCCAAAATAATTGATGGAAATAACTTTGTATGTCATCTATGAAGCACCGACACCGGACACGGTACGACACGACACTCCGACACGTTAATTGTAAAAAATGTTAGATTTCGACACGTTTTGATATTGAATAATATTTTTAATTTATGTTGCTATATTATATTTAATATTCAATAATTTAACAAAAAAAGGATAAACTTATAATACCCATTAATTTGACAAAGAAACATAAGATATTACAAATATTTATATTAAATTTAATAAAATCGTAATAGTAATCCAACAAATCTAATAGTTACAACTAAAAACGCAACATAACGTAACCTTTGAACCTTTTTTATTTTGAGTTTCTACAACGCGCATTAAAGTGTCGGGGAGTGAGAATATCAGAAAGTGTTGGATACGACACGTCGAGATTTTTAAGTGTCGTACTTCATAGTATGTCATTACCGGACAAATATTTTTTCTTTTTTTTAATTGCTAATCCTTAATTTATAAATGTTTATTTAAAAAAAAAAAAATCTGGTAGATTCAAATTGTTGCAATTTCCGCGCTTCACTTCTCAGATTCAGTTCGCATGTCACACACAAATTTTCAAGTCTCAACTCAATGGCCACGCTCCAGAGCTTCCCCAGTTTCAGAATCGCTCAACATGATCCTCTCTTACCTTTCCTCTGGTTCTTCTCTCTCTCTCTCTCACACACACACACACACACGAAATTTCACAATCTCTTAAACTTTCGGCATTTGCGAATTTAGGTCTATCAGGAAAGCTCTAGAAGATTCCAACAATTCAGGTCAGAATCTCATTAAGTTACTCAGCGATTGCATCAGAAACTTCAAGGACAGTGACCGGTACCGAAACGACGTCAGATTTCTCAAGATTTGGCTCCTCTATGTAATCCAACTAACCCTCCCTGTTTCTATGTGAATAATGATTTCATTGATGCTAATTACCGCAGCTAAACCTAACCGATACTACAACTAATTTAACAGAAACCGTTGTGTTGTTGGAACGGTTTGCTAGCCATGATGTGATATAGAATGTTGTTGGTTTGAGGCGCTTTGGAAGGGCTTAACTAAGTTCTGTTGATTTTTTTTATGCAGATGGGAGTTAGTGCAGATTTTGATAGTGTATTCAAAGAAATGCTGGATAGTGATGTATGTGCCAATAATTCTTCACTTTATGTGTGGTCTGCGTGTTTTTTTGAATTGAAGGGAAGATTGCGCGATGCCCTCACCGTCTATCAGCTCGGCATTTCAAGGTCAGTGTTGTTGGGTCTGATTTTGTTACTTCCTAGTTTTGATATTGCAAAGTTTAGCATAAAAAAAAGGCCAACATGATGCTATGGGAAAGGGTAAAACTCATTGTGCTTTAGTAGGTGGCTTTCATTTACAAGAAGTTGATTACGACTTTGTGGTCACATGCTAACAACACCAACTCTTGTGCCAAGGTTTCCCTTTATTGCAAGTTGTAGCATAATGATTGTAATTTTAATTTTATGTTGGGTCAATGTTCGATAGGAATGCGGAGCCAGTTGAGTGGTTGAAGAAGGCGCACACCTTATTTCTCAAAAGGATTTCTGAAATATCGAATGCGGCTTCAAGTCAGAAGGTACGCATTTTGGAAAAGTCCCTCATAGTTAAAAAAATTGAGCCAAGTTTTATATACTACTATACATTTTGGTCTCTGTCAATTAGTTCCTCAACATTGTATCAGTTCAAATTTGAGATTTCTAAACACTAATTAAAGAATTCTTATGTGGTTTTTGACCAGGTTGATTATAAAGAATCCAAGAAATTGGAACATAGTGCCATTAATCCATGGGGCACCTCCACAATGGATGACCTGCTGAAGAAGATATATCCATTATTTACAAAATTTGACGTGAGACGTTTTAATCATTTGTTATTTACATTCTTTGATTTAATATATCTGACAAAGATTCAATACCCTTATACTTCTTTAAATACATTTCAGGGGTATTATTCGAGCACTAAACCTTACGCAGGAAAAGTGGCCTTATCTACTTTGAAGAGTTCATCGAGGAATAAAGTTATAGAGATAGGTTACACTCTTTAAGTCATGATAATGGTTATAATCTTAATATAGTTGTCTGATTGCTTTCCAATTTTCTGTATATGTAAGATCAGCCTGAAGAATTCATTTTTATATGAATTTAATTGTTTATATTTTCTGCAGCATGCCTATATTTATGAAGAATTTGGAACACTATCATCACTGAGTAAACTAATACCATAAATTTGTTAGGAGATCCAGTGCTTCTCTCCCTCTCCCCCCAAGAAAAAATATTATTAAATATAACAATTTGTCAATAGCCTTTTCCTTGTAATGTTTTGCATGTGAAGTTCATATCTAAATGCAAAACAACATGTATAGCTCTCTGATCATGCCAATAAAACTTTAGCATGCAATGCCTGATCATTTGAGTTTATACTTCGTAAAATTTCATGGGCTGAATGACTTGTTTTATATTCATTAGTCATTACCTTAATATCTTACAATGTCTGTGTTACAAGTCTATATTTTTCAACCTATGTAACCGTAGGCTCAAGTTGTTTGGAGTAGGAAATGCTAAAAAATTAACCTTAATTTGAAGTTGCAATCTTTGTTGAGTATGAATTTAGTACATCTCCCCGGATTTTTTTTAGTAACTTATCATCTAAAGAAAATCATGTTTCAGAACAGTTTATACAAGAACTAGGTTTATTTATTTATTTCTCTTTAGGCTACTTCCTCATATGGAAGCTTAAATTTATTTTACTGACAGCACTATTGCTCCTTTTTGTCCTTATCATGACATCTAAAGGTGGAAAGAAGTACCATATCAAGGGTTGTGCTGGACAGGGTGGTTTTGCTCAAGTATATAAGGCATATGTCAACAGTGATCCTGACAATGTTGTTGCACTAAAGGTGATCATGGCCTTTCAAATCATTTATCCTCCGAACGTAAACCTATTGTCTCATCAGATTGTATTTTAAAACCTTAAATGCAGATACAAAAGCCAGCTTTCCCTTGGGAGTTTTACATGTATCGTCAGCTTGATCAGCGCATCTTAGGCAGAGAAGTAAGTCAATATCAATTATGCCATTAACCTGCTTTTCCATGAACATCTACTTATTCTGAATTCTCTGACTTTATCAGAGGTCAAGCTATGGTTTTGCTCATAGAATTCATCTCTATTCTGACTATAGCATACTTATCTGTGACTATTTAGCTCATGGGACGCTACAGGTCAGTTATTTCCTTTGACTTCCCTTGTTATCTTTTCCAACATTCTGTGGTATTAATTTTCAGCTGAAAATACTATGCAGGATGTCATAAACTCATACGCGGTCATAGGAAAATCCATGGAAGAAGTCTTATGCATTTATTACACAACAGAAATGTTACACATGGTTGAAACTTTGCATGATGTTGGCTTGATTCATGGGGATTTCAAGCCTGATAATCTGCTTATTCGCTATGCTAGGTAAAATTATGCTTGTGTAACTTATTTTAATGAACTTCATGCTTGTACAATCGGAATTCTATTACTTCAATTTTTTCCCTATCTTTTCCAGTTATCCATTTGTCCCTTTCGTTGATTTGTTTGTACATTTTAAGACTGTGATTGTAAAGTTGTTTCCCAATTCTTAATTAATAAGGGTTCTGACTAAAGTATCTAAATCAAAGAGATTTTCAATCTATTAGCCGTGTCCTGTTGTTATTATATACTTTTGTATCTAAGGATGTGGGGTTTACAAAGGTCTGTATCTTGTAAAGCATCGTCTGTTGGAGTGAAAATTAAAAGCATCATTGATATAATCATATAACATGCCTTGTCATAGATAATGACAGAAAGATTTACATCGTGTTTTAAGATATTTGATTGAGATAAAACCTACTGGCAAATGCTTAAATTTTTTTTGTTTTAATGAGCAGTTTATATGGTGTGCAATGCATGTTCTAATAGTCATGCATTGTGTGAAGTTGCTTATATGATTTGCATTTGTGGATGGTGCTCATTACATTTCTTGCTATTTTGCAGGGGTGACCTTACAGAAGATGGGCTCTTGGACCGAAGTGGTCCTTGGTGTGATCAGGTCAGTTTTTCTCCGGAAGATACAATCAAATATTTTTGTTTTTTACATTCTTACGCAGTACACATTGTTTTACTTTGCAGGGTCTTTGCCTTGTTGACTGGGGAAGAGGGATTGATCTGCATCTCTTTCCAGATAACACAATATTTAACGGAGATTGCAGAACTTCTGGTTTTCGCTGCATTGAGATGCAAGAGGATAAACCGTGGAAATTTCAGGCAAGTCACTTCTTAAATTACACTAGAAATGCAATGAAGCTCATTATTGACTGCCTTTAAAGTTTCCCTGCTCTTTCACTTGCCAACAGGTAGACGCATATGGCCTATGTGCTGTTGTCCATACGATGTTGCATAACAAATATATGGATATCGTCAAAAAAGAATCATCTGATAGGGGCTACGAGTATCTTCCTAGACTACCCTTTAAACGGTATTCCTCATTTTATAGTTGAATGCAATTGTTACTTCTGTTTAGCTTTGTGGTTTGTTTTAAAGGGATCATTGTGTGAAATTTGGTCATTTTCCAGTTTCCCAGCTGCTAAAGTCAATTTGAAAACTTTAATGCCACAATGGAAGCACTTTTTACCCTTCCGTGTGTTTTCAACTTCCTATTTGATTATGATATTTTGCTTATTGAATCAAACAGTTACTGGAATGTTGAACTCTGGAAGACTTTCTTCACTAAGATGCTAAATCAATACCCCGGGAATGATGATAGAAGGTTGCTACAGGACTTGAAGAAGTCCTTCCAGGACTATATGAGCTCCAATCCCCAGCTTATAAAGAAACTAAAAGATTTACTCGCGAAACAAAGGGCTTCCTTGTGTTCTGCTTAGTGTTTATAAGATCATTCCACATCCACTTTTGTTTTAACCAGCTTGCAATGGCTGAGTGCTTAATATATTCTTTTTTTAAAATATATATATATATATATATTAATATATTCTTTTTATAAACGAAGAAAAATAAACAAATACACAATGCAAGCAATCGAAGACAGATTTAGAAGGTAAACTTCCTCTTTTTTTTTTTTTTTTACTAACACGTTCTTTAATTAGGTACAAGGCTCTTCTAAAGTATGCAACTAAGGGTGTATTCATTCTTAATTAAGTTTAGATTAGAATGCACTTTAAATTAAACCAAGAGCGGATATACTCTTGTTTAATTTAGATATACACTTACTTTAAAGGAGTTTTTAAGTACCCTACATTAGCATTTGTAATGCATTTTTTTTTTATTTCTTGTCTTCTGTAGTTTGAGTAATGGTCTGGAATTTTACCTTCTTAAGTGTGTACATACATGTATAAATGCAGAGTGTTGCAAACAGGTATGACAGTTGTATATGCTATTATGTTTATTGTATAGAACGTGTATGCTGTGCAAATCATCTATGGTTCTGAGTTCTTTAAAATCTCTAAATATTTTATTTAAGTTCTTTGTACTTGATTTTCTTTTATATGCATACTACGGTGTTGGATAAGTTACGTGATATATTGCTACTGGACAGAGTTTTGAGAAGGTTCTTCAGATATAATGAAGTCTCAATTACTGCCTCTGCTAAAGCTTACTTCAAATTCGAATGTTCCCTCCTACTGCGAAGGGCTTTTCATGGATATGGATCAATTCAACACGTCAATACTTAAAAGAATTTAGATTCTTGCATAAATTTGGTGCATCTAACTGTGATGATAAATTATTAATACGTAATTAATTAATGCTTAACCACCATATCAATTAATGATGAATCAATCAAATGGCATATGACCTTGCCAGTTGCCATGCTGTCAGGAGTCAGGATTGTGGGAACCGATGTGAGGACTTGAGAGTTGAGAACGCTTTTGTACACGTTTCTCCATCCCTTTCGATTTTTCCATGCATGTTATGAGGGGTGATTTATACCTACTACACGCGAGATAGAGACCCAATTCCTAAATGTCTAAAGGACCCAAAAAAAACCCCACTGACTTGGCCACAAAGGCAACCCATCCCGCATAATAAGCGTGAGATCTCGCTTACTTGACTAGTAAGCTACCGTGACTTAACCTGAAAAGAATCATCATTGTTGAGATCAATAGTTCAGGCAAGTTGGCTAGCACATGAATCCAATGAATGAAAGGCAACTCTTGCGTGCCACCACATCTATTGAATAGTCTTGCCAATCAAGGAATAGCCTGAGAGAGGTCACCCCTATCCATCAATGAAAGTGAACATCGTCCTATGAAAGACAGTATGAAACAAGACGCTCAACACTAAATACAGAGACATTTGGCCCATGTGTGATATCTCTCTTTGAATACTTGAATCTCCTTGAATACTGAACTGACTTGAGCATCGGAGTGTCTTGCAAGTACCCCCCAGTCGCTCACAAACTACCGAGATATGCAAAGTGCTGACCAACCATCTCGCCAATCATCCCAGCATCTCAGCAAGCTAACTTTCCATCTCTCCTTCTCTTCATCAACATCTTTCACATACAACTGTGTGTGATCAACCCAGCCCAATATCTGTTGGACCGATCATTGGCGTCGTTTGTGAGGATGATAAATTTCGACTCCCACTCCATACAAATAAAAACACATGTTTGATACCAGGAGCAAGATGTCAAAATCTCAGAACCTATCTAGAGGCAAAAAGAAAGGAGGCCAGACATCTCACCAGAAAATGACCTCATTTGTAGCTCTAATTTCTCCTCAGCAAGATAATCCACCACCAACAAATCAACAAATCCTGGATCTCCTCAGGCAACAAAATAAAAAGATTGAGGAACAACAAAAGGAATCACTGAAATTGAAAAAATCACAAGCTAAGCATGAAAAAAATCCAACGCAGATGAAAAATTTGATGAAAAAATGAGCATGGACCAGAACACTCTAAAAAAGACCATGGTCCATCGAAAAAAGATAAACAAAAGATAGACATTCATCAACCTCATGTTAATCATGATGCTGACGATCATATGGATCACAATTCCCATCAGAAATCAAGAACAATCTCCAAGGTAGCACATCCTTTTACCTCGCAGATCATGGACCTGCCCATTCCCAAAGATATCAAAATCACAATAGAAAAATACAAAGGGAAAGGAAATCCCTAAGAACATCTGAACAATTCTAGATGAATATGATAGCTTAGGGCATACCAGATGCCATAGGTTGTCGTCTCTTCCCAACCATGTTGAAAGAAGTTGCTCTAAGGTAGTATTCAACTTTGCCACCTAACTCCATCAATGATGGGGAGGATCTCGCCAGTCAATTCTTGGTGAGATTTGCGACTAGCAAAGCTCAGTACAAATCCATGCATTCATAGAAAATTGTTAAGCAAGGTGCTAGAGAAACCCTGCGAGATTTCCTCAACAAATTTTTCTTGACCCACAAGTCTCTTTATATCTTATTACTGACGGTCTACAAGATAGACCATTTTCCACATCTTTGGTAAAACAAAGGCCAAAGACCATTGAAGAATTATGAGGGAAATCCGAGAAAATTCATAAATCTTGAAGATTATCAACGATCTCGTGAAGGCCCAAGTGAAAAGTCTCGGGCTAATGAATTTAAGCGAGATTTCCAAAGGAGGTTCAAGGAGAGAAAAAAGTTTGAAAACTTTAAGTTTTTGAACATATCTCAATCTCGCAAAATGAAGGAAGTCTTCCAAACTGGCTTTGTCAATGTAGCCAGGCCAGCTCCAATAAAAAAAAAAGGCATGTTGGATGACACTAAATTTTGTGAATTTCATGAAGACGTAAGACATTCTACAAAAGATTGTTTTGACCTCAAAAATACTATTGAAGCTTTGATTAGAGAAGGAAAACTCAAATAGTTTGTTGCTAATTCCAAACAAGAAAAAATTCAAAGAAAGTGATATAGGAGTCCAGATCAAGATAGAAACCTTCATCGCAGAATCAATCAAGATAGGAGGAATTACAAGTAAACCAATTATAGGCGAGATGACAGGCTTAGGGAGGGATCCCCACGTGAAAGAAGAGGACAGAGAGAACAACTTGCAGCATGAGAGCACAACAACCTCAACTACCCAACAATGTCGCTAGGGACTATCACTAGAAGTGCCACAGGTGGGGGAGAAACCTACTCCCAAAGAAAGAGGCATTTGAAGGCCATAATGATTGTCACTAACCGTCCAAGGGTTCAATCTCACCCAGGAAGGAAAATTCCAACAAGTTTTGATGAAGAAGACTATGGCGACATAGTCCCTGAACATGATGATCCTTTGGTTATCTCTACTTACATGGCAAATTTGCAAGTGAAAAGAATCTTCATTGATAATGGCAATTTTGCCGACATAATATTTTGGGAAGCCTTTAAAGGAATGAACATCCCAAAACAACAAATGACACCTAGCCAGACTGACCTGCTAGGATTCTCAGGAGAATGTGTGCAGGCCAAAGGATCCATTGAATTACAAGTCACCTTTGGAATCTTGCCCAGAGCAAAAGCTATTAAGGTACGCTTCTACGTTATTGACTGTCCATCTGCTTACAATATTATAGTAGGAAGACCAACCATAGTTAGCTAGAGGAAATTATCTCCATGCCGCACTTGCTTATTAAGTTTAAAGACCCACAAGGTAGGGTAGTGGCAATAAGAGGCGATCAGAAGTTGGTTCGAAGTTGTTATAATGTAAGCCTAAAAAATGGTGTTGAACCAGAACCGAGATACTATATCATAGCCACTGAAAAAGGTAAAGCATCCATAAATATGACTGATTTAGATGTACGAGAAGAGCTGCGAGATGTGCGTCCCCAATTTGATGGGGAATTAGAAGAAATTCAGGTTGGTCCTCAACCTGAGAACACCACAAAAATTGGGCGACATATGCCCAGAGATGAAAAGGAAAGAATAATTGAAGTCCTTATGAAAAATAAGGATCTTTTTGCTTGGATAGCTGCCGACATGCCAATAATTGACCCCAATTTCTGTTGCCACCATCTCTCCTTAGATCAAAAAGCCAAACTCGTGGCTTAGAAGAAACAAAAAATTACTCTTGAAAAGCAAGAAGTTGTTGACGAAGTTAGAAAACTTCTTGAAGCAGGAGTAATTAGATAAATTAATTACTTCACCTGGCTGTCTAATGTGGTCTTAGTGAAAAAAGCTAACTAGAAGTGGAGAATGTGTACTGACTACAGAAACCTAAACAAGCATTGTCCAAATGATTCTTACCCACTTCCTAACATTGACAAATTAATTGACAATTCATCAGATATCAAATTCTGGCTTTTATGGATGCATATTCAAGTTATAATCAAATCCCTATACACCAATCACATGAGGAGGCCACAACTTTTATAACAGACAACTTTTATATGCTCAACACTATAAATAAAGAGGCATTTGGCTCATGTATGATACCTTTTTTTGAATACTTGAACCTCCTTGAATACTAAATTGACTTGAGCGTCGTAATGCTTTGCAGGTGGCCCAGTCACTCACAAATTGCCTAGATACGCAAAGTGCTGACCAACCATCTCACCAAGCATCCCAGCATTTTGGCAAGCTAACTTGCCATCTCTCATTCTCTTCATCAACATCCTTCACATTCAATTGTGTGTGATCAAGTCCAGCCAATATCCATTGGACCGATCAAGTGGTCATTTAGCAATCTTCTCACGTTTTGGCTGCAACGTTTTTGTACTCACTGGTTATGTTGAAGTTGAGATCTTGTCAATTATCAAGCATAATTTGAGGAAAATAAGAATGATTTTTCTTTTCAAAGAATACTGAGTCCGTGAGCCATTTTAGCATTAGGCATTTCAAGTGAATTTCTATATTTTATATTCAACACTAGGCACTTTCATAGTACTTGAAATCAAATACATATTTCGCAGTTTAAATGGAGGGATTTATTTATCTCACTTTCAAGTGAATTCTTTCATGCAACAGAGATAAGATGATAAGATTTATTATTTTTTTTTTAAAGAAAAAGAAAAATTAATGAACCCCACTACTTTATCTCTGTTATATGCATCATGATATAATTATTTCCATCATCTGAACACAATTTTTAAAAAGTTCTTAATGATTTAAAGTATCGAAGTATACACAAATGACCACTACGTTTTTACATTGTCCGATAATATAGAAGTCACCGACAAAGTGTAGGTTGTACTTAGAGAAATAAAGTTTAACTCGTGTTTGATTTGTGTTAAATATGATGCCATTTTTCTTAGTAGAGAAATAAGATGTAATTTTTAAAGGTATGTGAAATCGGGAAATTCCATTGTGCTTATCAATTTAGCATATTTTCATATAAAAAAATGAAATAGGTAAATCTATAGAATTTTTTTTAGCAATGATCTATATTAATTATGCTTAATTTCTTTAAAAATAGAATTTTTGTAACATCTATTATTGTCCAATCTATTTTGTTTTTCCTTTCCCATGCAAACAAAAAAATATATATACAAGAAGTTTAGTGCACAGCATTTGGTATATACGATTTCAAACCAATAAATTTGATTTTACTATTTATTAATTAATAAGGTATACAGATTAAATAATAGACTAATAACTTATTTTTACATCATACTTTGACAGTTAATTAATTAAAAAATTATAAAAATAATTGAGTATAAATAATTATATTTTGTTGAACTATGTTCAAACATTAATTAATGGGAAAAATATTTGTATTTTTAAAGAACTGTCATTTTAATTAAAATTAATGCTTTTTTATTTAATATTTAAATTTTAATAAAAAACCTCTCATCTAAAATAATTCCTGTTTCTCTCGTTATATAATATAATAATTTTAACTAAAATGAGATAATTTTATATCTGGACAAACATTAATCTCTTACAGGCGGTTTGGTATGCGACTTTTTTATGAAATCACAGGAAAACATGGTAGGGAACCAAGTATTCAACGTTTGGTAGCTCAATTCTCAAAACTTCCCGGACCAAATATGCTTCCTGGAAAATATTTATGTGGTGATAAATTTAGCAAATGAGAGATTCATAAAATAGGTAGAATTGTTGACTGTTTGGGGAAACCAAAATTAAAGCGCGAAAATGTGGACTAAATTGACCTTCAATTTGTACGATATGTAGATAAAGGTGGGGTTACTTTGATAAAATAACTTCACTTTCCACTAATCTTTCATAACCAATCAAATATAAACTCGATAAAATTAACTTAATTTATTGGGAATATATAAGTATACCAAATAATTTTTTAGTAACATTTAAGTAAAATATATTTCTAACTACATTTCGATAATAATTATTTTTCAAAATTTTTTTTTATCCTGTCTGTTAGATGTAAACGAAAGTCGCAAATTAGAGGATTGAAAACTACATGACCTTTGGCGGACCCAATACCCATTGGGCTGCAGACAAATTTACTAAAATTTCTGTAAGGAATGCGCGTACAGACAACCCTTCAGTTTTTTCTGCCGGAAAAAAAATAAAATGTTGAGGTCAATTGGGAAGGGTAATATCGTCATTACAAATTAAAACCCTAAATTCCTCCATTCGGTTCTCCCATTTATATCCTCGCTATCATTTCCTTCCCTCCCCTCGCGATCTGAACTGAGGTGATTCCCTCTTTCTTCTCAACACATCCACTTTCTGCTCTTTCCTTCTCAATAATTTTGCTTCTGTTTTTGGTGTTCTGTTTTACGTTCTGTTCTGTATTTAGTTCCTGTGGTATTCGATTTTCCGATTCGATCGTCTCTTTGTAGTAATGGTTGCTTAGTCAAATTTTTCATTCTGCTACTGTTAAAGTTGAGGACTTTTTATCAATTCCCTTTTTTAAGTAGCGATGTGAATTTATGCTTGCTTACTTAGGCAAAGTGTATGATGTATTGTAATTGCAGTGTTATTACAAAGAAGAAAATGTTTGACTGAGTGATTTAAGACACTATATTGAAGAATAGGTTATCTGTGTTTTGTGTTTCTACTTGTGTTCACTATGTGTGTTTATATAGATCGTTTGTTTTGTTGATATGTGTTTCAATTTAACAAGAGTTGCCAATTATAGATTAGATTTGGGGTGTATAAGGATATAAATGTATTTGATTTTCTTTCAAGATGATGTTTTTTTTTTACTTTTCTGTCATGGATCTGTGACTTAATTGTTGTGGTTGAATGTTTTCAGGTTATATCATCTAGATTGCAATCATGGCTGATGGATCGCAGCATCCATCAGTTGTTCAGAAGTTAGCTGGAAAGTCTTATCTTATGTCCAGTCTTAGCCCCAACTTTCGCACCCGAAATTATTCCACGTCTGGTGCTTACTTCAATGGGGGAGTGCAGTCTTCTGGTTTGGCCATGGTGTCACCTGTACCTTCGATTACTGTTCCCGCTCCGGCAGAGAAAGGATTCTCTGGATTTATGGTGGATTTTCTGATGGGAGGAGTGTCTGCTGCAGTATCGAAGACTGCTGCTGCTCCAATTGAGCGAGTCAAATTACTTATCCAAAATCAGGATGAAATGATCAAAACTGGTCGGTTATCTGAGCCATATAAGGGCATTGGTGATTGTTTTGCTCGAACCATGAAGGATGAGGGTGTAATTGCTCTTTGGAGAGGCAATACTGCTAATGTTATCAGATACTTCCCCACTCAGGTGATGATCTGACTTTTTCTTTGTATAATGATTTTAAAGAGTTTCACAGATGGCTGGATTCATTATACTTTTTCCTATAGAAATTATACATGTGGTCACTTTTGTTTCCTAAAAATAGCAACATTGTTAAAAAGAAGAAAATTTGTGGTCAAGTTATATTGTTTAAACGTGTGACATCTGATTTTATTGTTTTAACAGTCATAGTTTCTGAAAATGCTTGAGTATTCTTTTGTATTGCTTCAATTTCTTTGTACATTACCCATATATAAACTCAGTCTCACTCCTATTTCTGTACCATGGGATTTTCCTCTAGATCTGTGCAGTGTTACATCAAAACTTTTTTTTTAAACAAAAATGCACATGCGGTCTAATGACTCTGCACATTTGTTGTCTCTTTTAGGTGCTGTTCATGTTGCATTATTCCATTTTCTGATTCCCTTATATTTTTGAAGGGCAAGGATTTAAGATAATATCTAGTCATAGCTTTCTTGCTATGTACATCCCTTCACAAGAGACACTTTCTCTCTTTTATTTGACTGTGATAAATGTAAATGTATTTCTGGTGTTTCCTCCTTTTCCTTCCAGGCTCTGAACTTTGCTTTTAAGGATTACTTCAAGAGGCTTTTCAATTTTAAAAAAGACAAAGATGGTTACTGGAAATGGTTTGCTGGGAATTTGGCGTCTGGTGGTGCTGCTGGGGCTTCCTCCCTCTTATTTGTCTATTCTTTGGATTTTGCCCGTACTCGTTTGGCAAATGATGCAAAGGCTGCAAAGAAGGGTGGTGAGAGGCAGTTTAATGGCTTGGTTGATGTCTACAAGAAAACCATTGCGTCTGATGGCGTTGCTGGTCTTTATCGAGGATTCAACATCTCATGTGTTGGAATTATAGTGTATCGCGGTCTTTACTTCGGAATGTATGATTCTCTGAAACCAGTTGTTTTGGTTGGTGGGCTGCAGGTATCTACAAAATATTAATCTGAAATATGTTTTTTCTAAATTTGTATTGTGTTAGATTAATCCTACTCATCTTGGGCTCATTTTACTTTGGATTTATGTTTGTTAGGCATTATTTTGTTGAGTATAAATAATTTGTTTAAAAACTATACTTTTAGAACACTAGTCTTGATTAAATATATATAATTGTTGAATATAAATACCACCTTTTGTGATTGTATCGGTTGAAGTTTTTTGATGGGTTTAACATAGTTTAAAAATAGGGTGCATATTTTCTTATGTTGTAGGATAGTAGGAGAGAAAAAAAGTAGAGATAAATTAAATGTGGGTCCCACATTTTAAATTAAAAAAGAAAAGAAAAATTAATTGGCACGGAAAACGAATTTGTGTAGGAAAAAGTTCTTATCTCATGTAGAAGGAGATAATGATTTCCCTTAAAAATAATACTTTTAGAATACTAGTCCAGATTTATTAGCATATTTAGCACGTGTTAGCATATTAACATTTGTCAACTGTTTTTAGAAATGCCTATACACAACACAATTTCTCTTAAACATTATCATAATTGATAGATGCTATCCATTATGACTACCAAACTTTGGAATTTGTGCTAATATTTTTGCTCTATCTCCCCCCCCCCCCCCCACATTATCGTGATTTTATGTTTTTGTTTTCTTACCTACGGCACTCTTCTTGTTAACAGGATAGTTTCTTTGCTAGTTTCCTTTTGGGATGGGCAATCACAATTGGTGCTGGTTTGGCTTCTTATCCCATTGACACTGTGCGTAGAAGAATGATGATGACTTCTGGAGAAGCTGTGAAGTACAACAGCTCTCTTCATGCATTCCAAACTATCGTCGCTAAAGAGGGTACAAAGTCACTCTTCAAAGGTGCTGGTGCAAACATATTACGTGCTGTTGCTGGTGCTGGTGTGCTTGCTGGTTATGACAAGCTGCAGCTCATCATGTTTGGAAAGAAATATGGTTCTGGCGGCGGCTAAATGATGACGACAATTACGCGCAATAATTATGCTGATTCCTTTTTCATTTGAATAATTTTGGATGCAAGACACTGATACTGCTGTTTTCCCGAATTTTGCGAACATGAATTTTAATTGTTCGTCACATGTCATGGGCTTATTATAGTCCGTGCAGTTTGAGACCCCCTTTTTGATTGAATTTAAGACTATCGTTTTGACTACTCATGTTTGGTTGAAATTCGATTCTGTCTAATGAAAGTTTTATTTCGTTCAAGCCCGTTTATTAAAAATTTTATTATGTGGTGGACGGTTCCGATTTTAGTTGTCCTGAAGTTTGAATGAAGAATTTTAATTGTCACACTCGCTTCAAGCTTAGTTATGATGTTTGTTTACTACGAACGTTGTTGCATGATTGATTTTTCCTTTTCTTTGTTAGGGAATGTCTGCTATGTGTGTGTGTGTTTTTAAAGAGGTATTGTTTTTTTAATTTTAAATTGTTGAAAAGTTTTATAGTAATTAAATAAGTTTTTGCAAAAAAAAAAGCTTAAAATGAGCATTTTTCCTATTTTAAGCGTCTATGCTTGAAACCATGCGCAAGTTTCAACTGGCATTTGGGCGTCTTAAATTAATGGCTTATAAGTAATAGTTTTAAACTTAATTTAGAGAAATAAGTCCCTTTTGATAGTCTCAAACTTAATTCTAGTTGGGAAGAGTTGGGGTGGAAGTTGTAGAAGTGGGGTTGTGATAAGTAAATCTACGAATAGAATGATTACTATAATCGGCTGTGAGCCAAGATTAGTTTAAATCTTCAGTTATATTTTGTTATTAGTCTTTCACTTTTTTAAAATGCAACTCATTTGAGTTTAAAGCCTTTAGTATTTCAAATTCGAGTTGGTTTTGTGTTTGTTGTGACAAAGTTGGTTTCCATAGGAAACCAATGGAAGTCAAGTCTATGTAAGTTAACGCCAAAAAAAAAAAAAAAGGTTTAAGCTTCATATACCAAATAGATGCAAAATACCTCTGATTTCATAATCAGTGACAATATCATAATAATAAGTAACTCAACGTATTCCAAATTTCCTTAATATAAAAAAAAATGATGCAATGCCATTTGTTGCTTGAGAATGTTGCTAATATTTTCATCTAAAATAATACATACAACTAGTTCAAGCATTTGTTAATATAACGTAGGGTTTCTCTTTTCTCATGTAACATGATATAACATCTCTCATGCTATAGATACAGACACACAACAAGTGGTAGGTCTCACCACTTATTAAAAAATTAAAAAATGAAAAGAAGATAACACAAATTTCGATAGCTCACAATAAGATAAAACAATCTCCAAAAAAATTGGAATTGTTGGTTTATTTTTATTTTTTTTGAACACAAAATATTTTTGTCACTTCAACCTTTGAACTGGAAAGAACAAGAGAAAATGATTTCTGTGTAACACACTAGAATAGTCAAAGTAATCAATTTCTTTCTCCATGAGTTAAAGACCCACCAATATAAAATCTTCAATCAGGGGTCGTCGCCATATAAGACTATGATATGAATATTTGAAGCTAATTGGTGCACTTTCAAAATTCCTTGTTATTCCTTTGGTCTAAAGAAACCTATTTTCTCAAAAGAGTTTCTGCTGCTGTCCTTCTCTAGGACCACTCAAACTACTATGAAAATTACATGGAAGGAGATAAGTCCTTGTAATGCGCATGGTCCTCCTCTTCAAGTTTTCTAGTTCAAGTACAAACAAAATCATGAACACTGTGGACTTTGTAATTACAAGCCATATCTTTCATCCCTGTCATGATGCTTGGCATCTAGAAACTCATTGGTTAGAGAAGAAACCTATAACCCCAGCTTTTTTTTCGTAGGTTTTTGTTAACCATCCCTATAACGGGTTGTTGTGATAATGCTTCAGCTTTGGATGCTTATCATCTTGTAACCATTTTGGGTTGTACTAATCTGAACATGAACAAGACAACATGATTAAACAAAAGACTATGCCCTTCTCTCTTGATAGTGAAAGTGCTTACTCTTTTTACATATATTGATTGATTCACTCATTCATTAGTCATTACCATAATCTCACAATGGCTTCAGCTTCATCTTCTTATTCCTTTACCACTTTTGTGCTATTCCTCCTTTTTCTGCATTTGTCTTGTTTCTTCAACAACCTTAATGCAAAGCACATTATGGCCAACACTCACAACCGCCAGCACCAGCACAAGCACCATAACAGGAACCACAACACCCAAAATCCTCCTTTAAACCCAAGGCTTCACCGTGCTTTTCTTGGACTCCAAGCATGGAAACGTGTGATTTACTCAGACCCAAATAACTTCACTACCAATTGGGTAGGTCCTTCAGTTTGCAACTATACTGGTGTATACTGTGCTCCATCTCTAGATGACCCTAAAGTAACAGTTGTAGCTGGCATTGACCTTAACTTCGGAGACATAGCTGGGTTCCTACCTAATGAGTTAGGCCTACTCTCTGACCTTGCACTCATCCACCTTAATAGCAACCGTTTTTGTGGCATCCTTCCATTGACCTTAAGCAATCTTACTCTACTCTATGAGCTTGATCTTAGCAACAACAGATTTGTTGGACCTTTTCCTTTTGTTGTTCTTTCCCTTCCTAGCCTCCAATATCTTGACCTTCGTTACAATGAATTTGAAGGGCCATTGCCTCCTCAACTTTTCAACAAAACTTTTGATGCTATTTTTGTTAATAACAACCGCTTCACAAATTCTATTCCAACAAATCTAGGCCAAAGCTCAGCTTCTGTTGTGGTCTTTGCTAATAACAAATTTGGAGGATGTTTGCCTGAAAGCATTGTAAACTTTGCTGACACTTTGGAAGAACTTGTCTTAATCAACAACAGTTTGTCAGGTTGTTTGCCACAGCAAGTTGGTTTTCTCTACAAATTAAGAGTATTGGATGTGAGTTTCAACAACATTGTTGGTCCCATACCTTATAGCCTTGCAGGGTTGTCACATTTAGAGCAGCTTAATTTTGGCCATAACATGATGAGTGGCATAGTCCCTATGGGAATTTGTGAGTTGCCAAGCTTGGCAAACTTCACATTTTCTTATAACTTCTTCTGTGAAGAAGAGGGTATTTGTCAGAACTTGACATCAAAGCATATAGTGTTTGATGATCGTAGAAACTGTTTGCCAGAGAAGCCATTGCAAAGGAGCAAAAAGGAATGTGATGCCAAACTTGAGCACCCTGTTGACTGCTATGAACTTTGCTGTCCTAAGGATGGTTTTGGAACCAATATCAGTGCTGGTTCCGTGGCTATCCCACCTGCATCAATGCCTGTTTCTGCACCTCTTCTTGCACCAAGCTACCCATGATCACATGAGCATGCATTTATGTTGATATAAATAGGAAAAATAAAGTCCATATTTGAGTTAGGCAATCAATTACCTTGTACATACTTTATTTTTAAAGTGGTGTGTTAAATCCATATGTCTATTTTATGTATTATGATACGTCCTATTCCTTGGAAAGTGTTTTTTGGATTATCTTCAGCCACCCTAAAATGATATTGTTTCAGAGAAAAAAAATCATGGTATTTTAGGAAATTTTATATTATAAAGAGAAAAGTAACATTTCCAAAACTTCATATATATGTTTCCCAAACCCTAAAATGACATACCATCATTCTCCAGGAGAAAACCTAAAACCCTTTTTCCATTTTTAAATTGGTAAGTCTATATCTATATTCATGCAGCTGGTGGCTCCAGGTAAACCACTGATAGAAAAACGCCTTCTTTGATTGAATTCCAATGAGAAATCTTCAACTTTCTTCCCTTTGAACTTTATGACTTAATTATGATCCAGAAGTAAAAATTTATAATATCAATAAATTATTTGAAGTTATGCGAATAAAAAATAGTTAAAGGTGATATTGTACTTATTTCAATTGTTTAATATAACATTTAATTACAGGAGATTAAATTTTGGTTAAATTACTTTTAGTTCCGTGTCCTTTTGAAAAAAAAAAAAATTCAAATATATCTGTAAAATTTAAAATTTATAATTGATTTCCCTTAGTTTCAACTTTTTTATTTGGACCTCTATAGTGCTAAATAGTAAGGTAGGTTTAGGGAACCAATTAATTTAAAAAAAAAATAATAATTATAAGAATCTATTTAAATTTACTCAGAAAGTTCTTGAACCTACGCAAGAGTGATTTAAACTAAAACTTCATACTGACATCATAGCATATGTAAAATAAAGAGATGCACTTGTTTATCAAAAAAAAGAAAAAAGAGATGCACTTAACGCTAAGGATGGAATTTAAAAGATTATCTTATTGGAATTTCTAATATACAGCGTTTTTGATACATAATCAGCTAAAAAAAAAAATCCTAAAATAATAAGTTGATGTTGATGTTGAATCAGCTACAAACCAATGCCGCATGATACAATTATGAGAAGTATAGTGTTTCAGCCTTGTACTGAAGGTGCAATTATACTGAATATGGATTCTATCCCAACCTGTTAAGCATAAGAAAAAAATTTGTAAAATGCAAACTAAACACTCAAACCATGTTACTGATTGGCATTAGACTCAAGATAAGGCAAGCAAAGAGTAGAAAACTAAGAAATAATTTTTAATTTCAGTTTTGAACGGGAATCACAAGGGGTAGAAGTAATAATAATATATTAGGTTCAATAAACATACACTGGTATGAGAATAACAAATCTTATATCCAATCTTAGCCGCTCATTTTATTTGCATCTAACGACTCTAATTTACTAGTTACACGAGCCGGTAGATGGAATTGAAATTAATGATTAATAACGAGTGTAAATTTGTTATTTTTATATCAGTGTAAGTTGATCATTCCATTATTTCATATTTAAAAAAGAAAAAAAAATGGTTATGTTCATTGCATTTCAAAATTATATATATTCTTAACATCTGGAATCAGGAGGAAAAATCAAATTATAAAATTGCATAATGTACATTAGACAAAAGATAGAATAAAAAATAATGTACATCTTGGATGCCACTAAGCATATTACCGAAAATTATCAAGTTGGGCAGTGTCAGTTGATCCTACTGATATGAACAAAGTGGAAATCTCTTCATGCAGGTGGAAGTGGGCGCCGGCAAGTTGGGCACTCCATCTTTACATCCATCCATCTTTGCAAACAGCCAGAATGAAAAAAATGATCACAAGGAGTCACCTGTGTTAAGATAACAGCTTGATGTATTAGACTTTGTTAGACATATAGTAAAAGGGGAATATGTTTTTCATGTTACATGAGATAATTTTATCTCATGCAATACACAAAAAAGTGGATAGAACCCACTAAGTAAAAGAGAGTGAAAGAAAAAAGTGGGTCACATCCACTTTTGTGTGTGTGTGTGTGCATGAGACAATTTTGTCTGATGCAATATGAGAAACATATTTTCCATAATAAAACCATTCCTCAACAACTTAAATATTTGGGAGAGTTGGTTCGTGACAAAATCCAGATTTTATTGTAAAGATTAATTAGAAAAGACAAAGTTTATATTGACATGCCATGCAATCATTGGATCGCGGAGCAAGATCAATGGCTGTCATGCAAATAACACAGTCTGTGGCATGACTTGTATCTTGAGCAAACCTCCTATGATAGCTGTATCTTTCAGGTAGAATCTGCATATCATGAAGATAGAAGTTAGACTGTATTAGAAATATAACATAAAACCATTCATGTGCCTTCACCCGTTAGTTCAAGCTTTTAGGAGAATTGATTCATGACATGATATTGCAGCATTATGCAAAATAGTAAAAAAGATAACATGCAACCACATTGTCATGCATGTTCAGTTAATGAGGAATGAACCAACCTGATGAGGAATGAACCATCGGGACCCAAGATGGTGCTGAAGTAGGAGAATTGCAGCTTGAAGTACAACAAATACAGCTAAACAAACACACCAGCTCTGATCAGGCTCTATCCGAACGAAGTTGTTAGGACAACCAAAAATATATAATGGGATTGCTAGCCGAGTAACAGTTATGCCCAAGATGTAATGAGGATGCAATGGTTTGCGCGAATCGCGAACAACATTGGTGATTATCTGAGGTATCCAAAAGGAGTATACAAGAAGAAGAATAGGTCTCAAATAATTATGGAACTCATACATGAGCAGAATGCCTCCCAACAGGATCCCATCTGCAAGAAGTTAAACAGTTAGATCTGAGCCATGAATCATACAAGGAAATCTTTGCACAGGCTGAAGCAACTGGAAACATATAACTAGAGTTATATTGTATGCATGCACACTAGAGTGGAATAGAAAATATTTGAATAGGACATTCTAAGGTACAAAGGCGGGCTAGCCCAAATGAAAACAGATAATTAATATACGATGAGATATTTGTCATTAAATTGTGCTTATTTTAACATGGCTACCCTTGGCTCATGCATCCTTGAAGTTCATAGGTTCATGTTGACAGTAAGTGAAATTCAAAGATGTCAAAACAGCAGGGTCCTTAGAAGTAGAGTGACTATTACAGTTCAACAGTAAAGGAAATAACATAACATGATTATGGATCCTATGGAACCAATGATTCAAGGGAAAACTCACGGTGGTGAGATCACAAAATCAGATTGCCTGACAGAAACTTTAATTCTGAATGAGTACTTACAGAAACGGCTGTATAAAACTGAAAGCTCGCGCCTCATTATCTCCCAACCTTCACCGTTACTCGAAGGCCTATTTGCCTTCCAGATGGCAAGGAGATATCTCATCTCAAATATTGAGAAAACCACAAACTTGAAAAATGCAGCAGTTGCAAAAGCGTTGAACAAGGATTCTGCATGAAAGGAAGTAACAACAATTACTAATCATACAATCTTAGTAAAAGAGAATAACCAACCAATCAAGTCACGTCTATTGTAACAATGATAACAAAATAATGCAATTACTGTGAACAAAATATAATTCTAATCTTCTTTTGTGGTTACGATGAGCGCACAGAAGTTTGAACATATAACTTACTGCAAACTAATTTATAATCTTCTTAACCTATTATGAGCCAAAAGAAAACAATTGATCTCTTGACATGGCACAGATTTGAAGAACCCGTGCATTATAATTTTCTTGTGCACTCTAGGAATTAAAAGTTGCAAATTATAGAGTTTAGAACAGAACAAAGTTTGATTTTAAGGATTAATTACAGGTAAAAAAGATTAGGCTTGAACTTTGAAGGTGCAAGGTGGTAATGAAAGTGTAGACAATTTCTGAGCATTCAAGTATCAATCTCCAATGAATATTGGGTTCAATATCAAGATTGATATCTTCTTTTTATGGGTCATGCTCCTTTGTTTCTGTGTGTGTGGGCATGCTTATACAAATTTGTATACACATAGCTTAGATAAACTACCGTTATAGCCTGCTGGCCAAAAAACAAAATTAAGGGTACAGAAAAATACTTTAGGCCCTCTTCCAATTAGAAAGGATCCTTTAATAGTTTATCTCACCCCAAAACTGGTATCTCAAACTATACAAGGATACAAGAGATAAGTTTAGGAGGATAGAGAGAGAACTGATCATAGAGAAATCTCAAGTGAGTATATGAAAATTCCTAGAAAACTTACCAACTAGTATTCCTGCTGTCAGATGTAAAAGGCAAAGATAAGCATCCATTATAGCTTGTTGACCAATCATTAATATTGAGACCTTAGCAGCCCCCTGCAAAGGTATATATGAATCATATTTGTTTTCTATAATCATATATTTATAAACTATAATAAAATAAATATTGTCCAGTACATTCATTCAAATATTGAATCAGTTATATTAATTCAATTTATTAAATCTACAACATGTAAAACTTCAAATTAAATTCTGAAGTAAATTCTTACAGATTGGGTGTTGCTATGCTCCATTTGCCGAATCAATAGAAGAACTTGCAAGAATGAGACCTGGTATATGTACATTAAGGAGCTCACAGAGTAATGGACAATAAAAGAGTCCTAGGTAGAGTTTGGTACACATATTAGAACAGAACGGAACATAATATATGAGTTTTATTCTATGTTTGTGCATTTTAAAAACATAACTGGACATAGAGGATATAGTTTGGTTCCATTAAAAGGGGTGGAATCAAGGAGAAGAGAACAAAACATTCCATTCTGTTCTTTCCATGTGCCAAACGCTACTTTAAAGTTGAAAGAGTGTTGGTGATTGAAGGATACAAAAGTAACCATCAAGGTATAGTTCACTGCTTTATTATAGTAGACTTCAATGTTAATAGATGTTGCATTTAATTGTAAAGGTGAGAAGCAGTCCCCATCGTCATCCACCGATGGACTCTCCATTAACCCTTCTAGCCGAAAAGAATCATGCTCCCCTTTTATAAGAAAGTATATAACAAGTTGGTAAATCACATAATAATGCTCTAAAAGGATCTTAAAAAAAAAAAGAAAAAAAAGAGAGAGCAAGAATTCATATGTAATCAGCCAGTGTTTTAAAATATAGACAGCATCACATGATGCCACCGCAACATCTCAGTTGCATGGCCGCCTCAATGCATCTGGCCATGAATATGGATTGCATCGGCCGCAATTGGCCACAACAGCCCGCAACAACCGTAACACAGCCACAATTTAAAACCTTGTAATCAGCAATTGTAATATTAAATGTGATCAGAAGTTTCCTATTGTCATTGCAACATGGTCATTCAAACTTTATTTTTTTAACTAAATAAGTCATTTTATTAGAAAGAAGAGAGAAAGAATGCAAGAGAGGAGGATAAGCAACCCCTCTAAACAAGAAAATAAATAAATAAATAAATTCATCAATGCAGAAGAACTCTTTGAAAGGGTAGTATTCATACACTGATAAAAAAACAAGAAGGAATAGAAAGTATTCATACGCTGAGAAAACTCAAGTACCATGTTTTGATGATGACAAGCGTGAAACCTGTGCAGCAATTTCTACATTACAATGTTTCTCCATGCCATGCAATGGAGCTGCATTAAGGGCAAAAAAAACATAGCAAGTCAGTAGTACAACATGAACAAAGAAAAAAAAGGAAAAAATCTCTTCAAAGTATACTAGTAAAGCAGAAAAATTACAATGCTTTCTTTTCCACAACTTGTGCCGCGAAGATTCTTGGAATACTTGAGATGAGAAAACTCCAAGCTGTGTACAGAAGCCATATATATAGCAATTAAGAACTTTGAATGTTCATTGTACTCCCAAGAAAAACAAAGATCATATTGTTTTGCAATCACATATCCTTTATGAGAAACTGCTAGCTATTACTCTCCTCAAATGATCTTTTTGAAATAATACACCATACCCTATTCTAAAGAACCCACATGTGGTCTTACTCAAGCAAGTTCTTGAGGAGATAAGAAAGATTCTAACATTTGGATATTTATAATATAGTCAGTTCTTAGATAGATAGCTGCAATAATACACTTCAAACAACGAAATCTTATTAGAGAACAAACCACAGGCCCTGGTAGAAGTGTATTACAGCAGAATTCAGAATTCAAATAATTTTAAAGAAAATATGATAGCCACCAAAACAAAGACCAGCATTAACTGGCAAGCTTATGATGCCAAATAAAATCAAGCCCATGAAAAGGAAACACAAATTTTCATAGCAGCATTCTTACTGAAATTCTAGGACTCCATGCAATAAGAATTATACTGAATAACAAACATGTTTTTGTTTATCATTAAAATCAGACGTGTTGCTAAAGATTATTGTTGATCAGTAACAAATGTGAACAAAAAATAAAACATCAAGAAAGATGCAATACCAGATGATATGGGTTGGATAAAATATAATCTTCATCCTGATTCAGGCCTCCCTCTTTTCCACTGCAATAGGAAAGTGCAGTATTGTAAAGAGCATTTGAATATTAAAGGCTTATTATCACTATTTCAATTGTAAAGACCATTAAAAAAACTGATTCAAGATACAACACCAAAATAGGATGAAAAGAAATTTAAAAAATTTAAACAATCATGATAACAAATCTGAACTTGTCAGCAAAAGTATGCTCAACAGGGTATACTGAGAAAAGTAAAGCAAGCTCTGCTAGAACATAAATAAGATTAAATCAGAACTATTTCATAATCTACCGCATTAGAATACAAAACAGAGTGTATTAAGATCCTTCAGGCTGCTGATAACTTCTACAAGTCAGAATGTATCTGACAGAGAGGGAATGAAAATTAATTAAAAACCGCTGAATCCTAGATTAGTGAAATGAGGCATGTTTTTAGTACTACCGGGGTTTCCTTCTGTCATTTATTATGTTAAAAAAAAAAAAACACTCCCCGTTAAACCCGACTAGCGAGTGTGGGGTGGAGGAAATTCTTGTACGCAGCCTTACCCTTGCATAATTGCAAAGAGGCTGTTTCTTAGATTCGAACCCATGACCTTTCACTCATGAAGGAACAGTTTTACCACTGTTCCAGTTCGCCCCCTTTTTTCATTTACTATGTTACTTTAAAAAAAATGAGCTTTCTTAGTTAATTTCATGTGTCACTCTTTGTTTTACTAGCAGTCAATCACAATCAGTTTTATTCTAGACCAATGTTCTCAAATACTAGCTATTGCCAAGTTCTGAATGCAGAAATAGCACTTTATACTTAATAAGCTATTTCATTATAATTGCCAGATGCATATTTGTTAATCAGTACGCCTATTTCATTTTAAAATTCCAAGGCCTCTAGCTAAAAACAGTGCTGCACGAGGAAGAGAAAAAAAAAGGCATTATTTATCATATATAAACTTGCAAAATGTTATGCATAAAAGGATTTATCCCAAAAAAGAGTAAAAAGAGATCCTTCTCACAGTCTCAATGCAATAAGGAATCTGACTGAAATAAGGTATCACATAAACTTAAATTGTACTGGTGTTCACCTGTTGGCTACCAGTCGAAGCTGTCTAAAAGGCCATATATATACACCTTCTACTTTGATTTGAGCACCACCAACATTGTATTCGTTGTCAAACACATCATGGAATATAACTACCCCCTGATAAAAAAGCATGAAAAGAGAAATATTTTTTTTCAGAAGAATAAGCATTTGACATGACTGAAAAGATTATAAATTTTCACTAAAACAACATATTATTGTTTAGTGTGACAAAAGGGTAATGTATTTGGTTTTATGATCTCAAAAATATAGTGTTCAGCCCTAGATTGAATTATGATAAAATGCATACATATACACATACACTAGAAGCATGAAAAACAGACATTCAAAATACACTTGATTCAGAAACAGTGACAGAGACTATATAAAATATGATCCCCAGCAGCTCTAGGATCTGTATAGATTATCATCCTCTCTACCCCTGAAATATGAATACGTATACTCATACAAATATGTATAAAAGCTCACTATACCAATACAAAAGTTTTTTACTACACTGCATAAGGCCCATTAGATGGGTTTGACTGGTTGATTTACAAGAAAACACCCAACTATTTAATGCATTCCATTGTATACTGTGTTAGAATATTAGAGTTATTCATGTGTTAGGAGAATTGTTATGTTAGAACTTTTATTGGGCTGGGCTTGTACTGGTAGTACAACACTTAACCCTAAATTGACATCTTGAAAATGAATACTGAACTAAATTGAGATGGAATAACATATGCAGCAAGGAAAAACAGAATGAAAGCAGATATTTTGCTTAATTCTTCAGTACATTAAGAGCACAAGTTCCATTGGAATTTCACTAACTTAATAGAACCACTGAATCCATTGATATTGCAATAAATATTCACAATATTAATATAAATAAATAAAATTTAATCACTCAAGTTAGAACTTAGAAGCATCTCTATCAGAAGGAGAGATGATATTAAAATACATAATAGAACAAAGAAGAAATTGTATTAATATGAAAGCTGACTTCCTTCTGAAAGTAGCTATATAGTTCAACATCTCACCTGCACATAATGTACACCAGTTATTTTTGTGGGCGCACTAACTAATTCAATTACAGAATTTCCATTTGTTTTTCTGATATCTGGAATTTTGGCAGAGCCATTTGTGATATCTAAAAACTTCCAAGCCCCTACATTGAAAGAGGACAACATACATATATCATCGCACTGAGACAAACTTACAAACTCATTCCAAAATAAATTTGTGAACAAAGTTTGTTTAAAGATAACATGCATTCATTTACACATGAAGCATATTTCAATAAATTGCACAAAGCTCCTTTTAATTTTACATGATTAGTCCAAATACCATAAGTTTATTTAGTTAAAAAGTGTCCTACTTTACATCTAGATGCTGCCCCTTTACCATTATGTTTTCTGTCCAGTGGTAGTCAATTAAGAATGCTTATAAACTTAATTAAAAAGGAAAGAATCATAGCAACATGTTTTGTCCTCAAGAAAGACAATTTGATTCATGAAAAACATTAACTCATTCAAAAATTCAAGAAGGCACAGAAAAGACAATTTTCATCAAGTGATAATATTATGAAGGAGTAATTTTGTGATATCTCAGATTTAGTTTATTATCCAATCATATATCCTCATAACAGACATCAAACCATGCGTGAAGCAGAAGCTTAACAGTATAAAAACCATCAAATTATGCATCTGATTACATCAAACATTTGCACAACAGATCAAAATTATACCTCAAAGCAGTTAATCTAAACATATACTTCCGTAAGTAAAGAATACCAACCTTTGTAAGTTCCAGTTATGTTCCATTGTGAAAATGGACCTAAGTCACTTTCGTCTTTTCTTGTAAAAAGCCACTGAAAAAAGTAATGTCAATACATGCAAATGAATATATTGTGCCTCAAGAATTAAAATATCAGTTATCAAGGAAATTAATGTTTGATTTTAGATGATAAGCCACACTGTTTAGGCAAGTTAAATAAAAGTTAACACAAAAGGCTAATGTCTTGAAGTAAAATGAAAGTCCTTGGGGAAATGCTAAGGGTCTTGCAAAAGAGCGACACCCCCCCCCCCCCCCCCACCCCCCGGGTGCACAAGGTTTCCCAACTTTGCTAGCATAGGGGTGAGAGTCGATTATACACAGTCTTATCCTCGTATTTTTGCAAAAGGATTGTTTCCAAACCTGAGTCCGTGACCTTCCGGCCACAAAAGAGGAAAATTACCACTGCTCTAATGCTCGCTCGATCTTACAGCTAAACCACAGAAGAGAATTGAATGGACCATAACAACAAACTTAATTGTAAATATTTTAATTTGTTTTCTTATTTTAAGATTTAATATAAGGGTGAGGGCGAGCCTAAGAGCAGTGGTGAGATAGTTCCTTTGTGACCCAAAGGTCATAGGTTCAAGTCTGGGAAAAAATACAAAGATAAGACTATGTACTATCAACCCTCATCTCTACCCTCGCAAAGTTGGGGAGCCTTGTGCACCAAAGTTTGCCCTTTTAAGATTCAATGTGTTTCAGCTATTTCTAAATACACCTTCTGCAAATGTGGGCAACTACAAAAATTGGAAGCCAAGAATTGTTTGAAAACAAAGTAATGTTGTTTACAAGTGCCAATTATGATTGTCAATTGTGTGAAATTCCAATTAACATATCTACAGCAGATTAAGATAGTGATAATTGGTTACGTGGTCTTGTGAAATTTGTCTACCCTTCAGCAATTTCACGGTGAAACATGAAGGATAAATTTAAATGTATAGCTCTTCGTTAAGAGGGGGTACTAAGTCACTCCAAATATAACTATATTTTTTTACACATAAGTTTATAAAGAATATACACAATAACACAAGTACTATTTCATTGCAGTTTCTTATTGTTCTTCACTACTCTACAACAAGGTGTGTCTCCACTGTTATTCTGTCATCAAGGAAGCTAAGGGTTAATTTGATATCGCTTCTAGACATTCTAAACATATTAACTTAACACCTATCTCTCCTCAACCTATGCACAAACGCCTTTGGTCCTTTGTTCAAACAATATTGTTTTATTTTATTCTAACCTGACATTAAACACCAAATTTCATGCTTCCACTTTCACAAAAAAAAGAAAAGAAAAATGTAACACCTAAAGCAATCCCTCACACCTTTAACTAATCAAAAATTAAACTGGAAGCAAGATATGATCAAAATTGAGGCCAAAACCCCAAAAAAAGTTCAAATTTACACTCTGCACCCACAAATTATCACAGTCAAGAAAATAAATAATAAATAAAACAACAACAAAGAACACTGAAATAAATTACAAATTGATTAACAAACCTCATCGCCCCACGAGCTAGTTCTATCCCTTAAGGGTCTCAGACTTGCCACTGGATTAAGAAACAACAGAAACACACACCACCCAAATGCAATCCTCAACAAAATCCCCATTCTACTCCTGATAACCAACCAAAGCTCCAATCTTTCAGTGCCAACCTCAACCATATGAAACCCCAAACAAACCATATCTAAAAAATAAAATAAAAAAAATTCAACAACTAAGTTCCAGTCATCCAACAGAATAATCCAAACCCATCACAGGAAATAACTTAAGAAACAAAAGGGTTGCTTCAAAAGGACTCAAGCAAACGAATTTCGGGTCAAAATAACGAGTCACAGAGGTTGATGAGATAGAAAGACAGTGAAAGCCCAACGACTTGATACTAAATTCCCTTCACCAGCACGGTTTTTCACCAAATGTAGCTAACGTTGTTCTAATTAAAAAAATTATAATTATTATAACAAAAATATTATATCTTTGGATTAAAAAAATTGTGGGTTTTGAAGGACTAGGAAGCAGAAGTTGACGAGGTTCGGTATGGTGTAGGTCGTGCTGGCTTTGGTCTGCTACAGTATAGATGTTATATACGCGCCATGTGGGAGGTGTTCTCACGCACCAATCAGAATAAATATTTTTTAAAAACAATTTTATTTCTTATACTCATAAAATTATACGCCACTATCTCTAAGGATTAGTTTCACCATTTCTCATGTGATAGTAATCCAAATGCACTCTCAGGTTATACTCCAAAAACAAGGTGATAGAAGAAAATTGAGTAGAAATGCCTCCAAGTTATATTTAAAAAAAATGTGTGAGAATTTATTTTATTTTTCTTTTTTCTTCTTACGTAGGCCCCTTGTTGTGAGCCTCGAGCCCCATGTAAAAGATAAATTTAATTTTTATAACGGATAAATATTAAACATTTAAACCCATAATATAATGTGATTTTTATTTTTTTTTAAGACTCTGGCTTTTACTTTCGTGATTAATGTGGTTTTTGAAAAAAATAAAAAACCAACAAATTTTTTTTGGTAAGTAATAAAAAACTACTTTATCCAATCATCTTGGACGGGAACTGGATATGTGTTACATTTTTTAGATATATCTATAGAAAATCTAAGGAAATATTTAAAGTTGTTACTATACATCACACTCATACTGGTTATGCGGGAACTTTTATCCAAAAATATTAATTTTGTAGACAATATAATTATAAAAAAGCCTGGACCTGAAGATGGGTTAAAAAATGACAACCTAAAATTACAATTCGAATTTCTTTTAGTAAACATTTGTTAGAAAACTGCAATTAAATCTCTTACGCAAAAAAGGTTGAAAAAGTTCATAGTTTTATTTTAGGGAAAAATAAATATTATGTTGTAGGAAAAATTCTTAAGTCATGTCATAGAAATAACCAATTGTGGGATCCACTATTTTTAAAATAATATAAAACGTAAAAGAATTGATGGGTCCACTTTTGTATTTGTGTAGGAAAATTGCATATGTCATATAAAAGGAGGAAAACATTACCCTTTATTTTAATGCCATATAAAGAGAAAAACATATTCTTTTTTCTGAAAACACTTGAGAAATCGTTTTGCGTGCGATATTTTTTTTATATTTTATTTTTATTTATGGTGAGACCCATTTGAATTATGTATGTGTAGGAATTTTTCTAATCTCATGTTAAATGAGAAATACAAAACCCTTTTTTTTCACACTGAAATCTAATAGAAAGTAGAAACGAAGAAAACTGCAAAACAGGACTTTCAAATTAATAATCCTGACTTTGCAACCTCCTTTTGGCCCTTTTTTTTAAAGGAAATATGTTTCTTCAGCAGTAAGAAAGATATTGTTCCGTACAACAATCACATTTTTTTCAAGATACGGTTTCGTATCTTGAGATTTTTTTTTTTTTAAAAAAAAAAAACCAGGATACGATTCATTCCATGCATGTGAAAAATAAGTGATTCACATATTACTAGTGAAACACATCGAGTCATTATTGCATAATCGATAACAACGAAGTTTACGGTGCCAAAAATAAGAAATAGCTACAAGTGAAAAATTACAACTATTTAATATGATTATAAGCTATCAAATGTATGATGGTATGTTAGTTGATGCATGAGAGCTGAGCAGGTGGTATGAGAGCATGTATTCGATCCTTTCTAATATCACTTTCGGAATGAATTTAAAATCTTAATCTTGAACTCGTCCCGAATCGGACTAGTCACGAAACGCTAATCTGGTAAAAAAAAAAAAAAAAAGATTATAAGCTTCTAGTTATTACTATAGCCAAAGATATATTTCTCATGTATACAAAAAAAAGGATATATTTCTTAATAAATTTCAAGTGACTGACATGCACAATGCATAGTTAAATTAAATTTATCAGCAATTATTAATTTTTGAATTCGAATCTTGAAAATAAAAAAAAAATTATTGAAAAGTCAACCCAATATAGATCTGATAAATCTTGTATAGAATTAAATAGGCTTGGATAAAAAAAATACTTACTGAAAACTTTTTTTTTTTGGAGGTTACAAGGAATTGAACACAACACCCTACACTACACATACTCCTAACACACACTCCTAACACACACACCCCACACCACTTACTGAAAACTTAAATAAACAATGTAGGGATACAAAATCTAAAAGAATAAGATATATTTTGGGTGAGATAAAGAGCTTTAAATATATTTACAAAAAAAAAAAAAGAGCTTTAAATATAACTAAGTTCTTACTTATGATTAGTCCACAACCAATTCAAAAAATTGAAACTTATTAAATTATCCTAGAGAAGCCAACTTTGTTAGAGAGATATAAAATATACAAAATCATTAATTAAGCTTCATCTATAAAATCGTAAGATTTTGAATTAAAGTGACACTAGCTTATCAAACTCGCCTCAAAGATAATTAAAATCATAACTAAGTTCAGACTTATAATTAGTCCATAACCAGTTCAAAGAAAGATAATATATATGTGTGTGTGTGATATGAGAGAAATTTTGTCTTCTACTCTCACTTCGATTTTTGTGTTATGTTTTTCTTTTTTTTTTAAGCAAAGTGTGTGGGTTTCACTATTTGGTTTATGGGAAAAAAGTTTCCGATGTTACTTTAGATAACTTTATCTAATGTTCATCGAAACGACGTCGTTTTGGGGTTGAAAAATTAAAAAATTAGAGTGATAAAGACAATTATAACCCTGAAATAAATTAAAATTACAGAAATACCATGATTTCCGTCCCAAAACGACGTTGTTTTGATGAACATTAGATAAAGTTATCTAAAGTAACATCAGAAAAAACAAACTCTTGTTTTATATCTAAGAGATAAGATTTCTCTTATCTGACATAAGAGAAATAAAATTTTATATATATATATATATATATATATATATATATATATATATATATATATATATATATGAGGCAGGATCCTTTGACACCGGTGTCAAATTTGAAGTTTGACACCTCATCTAAGAGCCGTTAGATCAAAAAAGATCAACGACTCTGATTTGTAAGCATGTGACATCATTGATATTTTTTGATCTAACGACTCTCAGATGAGGTGTCAAACTTCAAATTTGACACCGGTGTCAAATGATCCTACCTCTCTCTCTCTATATATATATATATATATATATATATATATATATATATATATATATAAAAGAGTCATCCACGTGGTTCCCAATGGGTGCAGCTCAGTTGGTAACTTGGCACTGAGTTAGTGGGGTTGGATATGTGTTCGATTCCCGCTGAATGCATTCTTGGGGAGGGGGCTGAACCTTTAGCCATCACTGTTCCCCCGCACTCCGGATTAGTCCCATAGCCGGCTCAAAGAGTCAAAGCTCGTGGGGATACCGAAGGGAGCCAACTCGTCTCAAAGAGATAATTAGGGTTAAGTAACTCCAAAAAAAAAAGAGTCATCCACGTGTTGTACATCATGTAGTATCTACTATGTAGTATTTACATAAGAGAAATAAGACTATATAACCTTTCCCTTTGCATTAACTCTCAATGTCATGATCCCGTTGTCATGTTAAATGCCCTATAGGGTAGCAGAGCAAATAAGCATATGAAGACAATTTTGGGTTAGGAAAATCGTGGTGGGATACAAAGAATTTGAAAAAAGATATCAATTTTGGGATAATTTGTTACCTTAAAACTCATTCATGGATTGACCATTATATCTCACATGCATGTTTAAAGAACTGAGTTAGTGTTAAAAAGTTTATTCATTAAATGGGTTATTTAAAAAGAATAAATAAGGTATCTCATCATTTTTTACCATCTTTTACAACTATTTTGTTATCATTTGATTAAAATTTAATTAACGGTTCTTATTTAATGTTATTTTATTACTGTTAATTAATGAAAATGATTGTGAAAGATTGTAAAGAAAAAAAATTGTAAATATAACATCTCCCTTTACAAATAGAATAAAAAAAAAAAAAATATTTTAACAGAAGTCTCTCGTGGGACAAGATTCATATTAATAGCTTTAGTCCCATTACAACATTTTCCTAAATAGTCCAAATAAGTCAACAACACTTGAGTTTATGAAGAAATTACAACGATAAAGTTTGTGCAGGTATTATTATTTTCTTGAAAATATTTTTGCACCCTGCTTTTTTTAGTTGTTATAGCCTATTTTTCTTTTAAGCAGGAGCAAATAACTTCTTATCCTACCTCTTTGTTGGACGAAATCAAGCACATCAGGACAACATTGAGATTCAAGCATAGGAACCCTAAACCTAAAAGATTATGGTCAATATTTCAAGGATGTAACGCTAAGTATTTTTTTTCTTCATGTTGGATCAGTAATATAATTGTGGCAATTGCTCTTAGAAAGTATAAGAGAAAGTTAATACTCATAGGAATATAATCTTTAAATTTATATTATCTTATATTTTAAGATATAATAAATTAAAATAAAGGTAATAGTTTTATTTTTATGCATTGTGTAAAGTTTTTTATATTATCATTCAATCATATACTACACATTTGCAACTTCTGAAGTAGCTATTGTGAGAGTTAAACGTAATAATGAGTGACTGAGTAAGTAAAAAAAAAAAATTGCACTATATAACATTAAATTAAAATTAAAGGAATAAAGTAATTTGACAAATTACTAATCAATTTTAAAATGTGATGAAATCTTATAAACTTATATGTTTCATGGGAATTCTTTTTTAGTCTAAAAACTTAGAGTGAGAAAGTAGTAAATCTTACATTAAAATAACTAGATCCCTGTATCTACTATTCTTCCGTAACAAATTTCTTATTTAGTAAATTATTTAGTCTTTTTTTTTTCTCTTAATTCCACTTTTAGTCTATTATAAATAACTAATGTATAGGCTTTATATTTCTACTATTCTTGCAGAAGAAATTTTTTGCAGCAACACATAGAAAATCTGGATACACCGACAGATGCTGATTTTTCTTTTCTAAATGGTGGGGTCCACTTTTTCTGTGTCTGGTGCACTCGAAAAAGTGGTGTAGCAACAACAGAAGTTGGGACCCAATTTTTTTTAGCATCCAAATTCTCCAAATTTTTAATAAAAAAAAAATCAAGTCTCTATTTTTTTTATCTATTAATATATTTGGATGACACGCGTGGTTAACAATTTACGTAACATAATACTTTATTTAATTAATATCTTGATGGACCCAATATTAATGATTTTAACATATTTAAACTTCTTAATATAAATAGATTAAATATAAAATAACGTATTTAAATTAGTGAAATAAAATAAAATATGTAATAGATTGAAGTTATCAATGAATTCATCAAGATGTTTTACTCATTAAAATGTCATGGCACATGTATAAATCATTGACTACTTTAATAACTTTTGCTAATCATCAAATGATAGAATAACGGAGGAATATATTTCTTTTAATTAAAAAAATTGAGAAATTTGATTGCTATTAAAAAACTATTGAGAGACCAAAATTACACATTGGTCAAAATAAAATGATCAAAGTGCAATTAATCTAATTTTTATTTTTATTTTAAAGTTATTGTCCATTTGAAATGACATTTAAATTCACAAAGCCCGCCCAAACGTTTGGGCTTTCAAATAGGCCTGGGTTCTAATATCCAATCCTCGGGAAATGGTGAAGCATGGAAGGGAAGGTGACGTCACTGGCAGGGTAAGAGAAATTTTTATTGTGCAACAGATGTACTTATTTAGGTACATTTTTTTTTCAAAATAAGAAAATTAAGCATGTCAAAAAATGGGCTGGTCTGCCCGCCTTTAAAGAATTAGAAAACTTAGCTCGCCTATTCAGTTTGGACAGGTGGGGCGGGCTACCCGTCAAGCATATGCCATTTTACACTAATTTTTTTTAAAAAATTTCAGTTTGAGTGGGCTAGCATGTTTGGCGGGGCAGGCTTGAAAAACTCAGCATGTCCTGCCTCGTTTGACGAGCCGGCCAAACCCATTTTATCACTTTTAACTACCACTGCACCAAAAAAGTGTTCGATGAACCTGCAACAGAATACCACTTTTGTTAACCACCAAAAAATTTTGCCGTTGGTTTCTATTTTTTTGACACCTAATTCCAATTCTCTCAGATGTTTCATGAGGTTTTGGCCTAAGTAGATTTTTTTTTATAAATATTTTCTTTATCATTTACCTTAATATATAAAAGAAGAAAAAATTGTTGGAAAAATAACATCAATTTTCCTTTCCTTTAATCTGTTCTTTTCCTTGATTTTTTTTTAAACAATGTGCTTTATTGTTTTTGTCCAAAATCTTATTGGGTTGGACTTTTAGGCTTTCAATGAAAAAACCCAACAAAATGGCTAGCTAAAGGATGACGGAAGAAGGGGAAGGAGAAGTTGAATAATAGAGTCATAAAAACAAATTAAATCATTTCAATGCCAAAGGAATAAACTCAATACAGCTCCATCTTTGGTAATAATTTTGTGAGAATACCTATTAAAAAATATGCTTAGGGAATAAGTTTGAGGGCGAAATGTTTTTATTCTTACATATTATACCATATCATGTCCACAATTCTTAGAAATGCAAAAAATATTTTATGTATTCAAATTTGTGACTTCTCATTCATTAAAGAACAACTTTATCATTATTCTCTTGGTTGATTAACTTAAAAAAAAAAGTTATGTTACATACATGGTTGATTTGAGTAGCAATTAGGTAAAATCGATTGTGTTCACTAAACGGTTGCTTAACCAAATTCCTATTAATAAGAATAGGGGAAGTTCACAAGACAAGATGAGAAATAGAAAATTCAAGTATTACAAGTGACAACTATAAGTTGAACATTGTCAAAATTTCAAGCCATGCAAATATAACACAATATATATATATATATATATATATATATACTACAAGAAACATGGCATATAGCCACATTTACAAGAATTACGACGATAAAAATTTTAAAAACCCAATACTTTACTATGCATCCTGTCAGATCTCAGAAGTTCAACTTTAAGTCTCACACAGTAACACTCTTTTCTCATCCTCCATCTCCCTTAGGGTTTTGACGACATTGAGCACCTCCTCCTTCTTGTGATGCAATTTTCCTCGTGGCTCTAAGGTACTACCGTTGATCTCCTCTCTCACCATGATGGCAATTGTTTTCCTCCATCATTGTTGATGATTGGAAATCTTCAGAAAATGGAGAAGAGAGAACTGAACCAATATTTTATAGGTAACATTTGTTTGTCCAATTTAGGTTAGATTCATGGTCGATTCGATCATTAACACTAAATAGGTGTAGAATCGAAGGATTATTATGAATTTTGTGCTTAGCTAACTTACAGTTCTTTTTTTCCGATAATTTTTTTTTTTACAAGTTTAGTGTTTATTTTGGTGTCACTTTACAATGTAGTGATTAGTTAATTAGATTATGTTCTGATGAGATGTTGTGGATTTGCTACTGTATTTGTACCATATTGTGTCGTGTTCTGTTTTATCTAATTTGCCCACAAACTATTTGTTGTATGGTCTAAATGTATGTGAGTGATTACTCTTGTTGGAAAGATTGTTTGATGTATGACTACTTGCTCTTATATGGTTTAATGCTTAGCGTTGCAAAATATTACATACTTTATTGTTTGGAGACATTTATTTTTGTTTAGTTGATGAAACATGTATATGTGTCAGGGAAAATGAAATAAGAGATATGTTTTCATCCACATGTGGGACGTAATATTCCTCACAAGTCAGACACAAGGTACATTCTCTTTTTTCCTGACATTAAAAGTGTTTCAATATAGTAGTACTCTTATATATATATTTTTCTTAAGCTTCTTTTTTACCTCGTTTCCTATTTGCAATTTACGGATTTTGCAATCATAAGTGTTTGTGGTAAGAAACTTTCAATGGAAATTTAGAGTTGCCTTTTAATGTCACTGTAAAGATTTGTACCATCTTTCCATTAAGATATTGCACAAGCTGTTATATAATCTTTATGGATTACTTTCTTTTAATCAATTAGTTTATTTCATTTATTTAAAAATATTATTATTGGATGAAAATCCATATAGTCGATTAAATGAAAATGTGGCTTGTTTTGTTTTATCTAATATCAACAATCAAGTTTTGCCCAAATTCAGTTAGCTTTCCCATGAGGGGAAAATTGCTTTTGTCTGAATTTTATATTCACAGACTTCATTTCTTATTGCATTTATTGGCAGCCAAACAAAGTGAAAACATATTTTAAATACTAATATATTTATAATTGTAATCCATTTTTGGCTGCGTTCACCTATACATGGCATTCCCAGTTTTCTTTTTATTCAACTTTTTTAACTTTCCTTGAAACTTGTTTCATTCTTCAGGAGGTGGCGTAGAAGACAGAAGCGGGAGCAGCTTCTCTGAGAGAGAGAGAGCCATACACAATCAAAAAGAGCAAAATAGGTACACAATTACCTAATTCCATTCTTTGAATCATTACTCGTTTGAAAATTGTTAATTTTTTTATTATATGTTGATATTAATACAAACCCCTAATTGTAATGTACAGAGAAGTTTAGAAGGAACTCAGAGCAGGTTAGGTGAGGAAGAATGAACCTTGTATAATTAAAAAAAAATATTTTTAAAATGTTTATCAACATGCACTATGCCTTACACCCTGGTTCGAGAACTGTGCATGCAGAATTAGTTGCTACCACTTACTTAGAGGCCTAGTTGCCGATTTTTTGTGAACAAAATAAATAATTTTTTTTATGAGAAATTCTTAAAGAAATTGTTTCAGCAGGTTCTTTATAGTTTGCGATACTTGAAGGCTTTTGAGCTACAATTTTATTCACTGAATCTTTGTTTTTCTTCTACTATACCTAAAATCATGGTGATAATATTTATCAAACAAGGCAAAAAAAAAGGAATATTGTTTTTCAAGGGGTTGAGAGGAACCCCTCAAATGCAAAGGTGCATGTGCGTATGTGGGACTGTAAATATAGGAAACTCAAGGAAACAGTGCACAGAGATACATAGAGCATGTTGTGATCTGATTCACAACATTTGTTTTAGGATAATCTGACTCACATAACCTTTCCATCCATTTAATCAATATCGTCAACTGTTGTTAAAAAGGAAAGTTTGTGTTGAACATTTCAGGTTATTGCAAACAGAGCATCAGAGATTCTTGGCCATAAGCGTTGTGTGAAGTTTGTGCATCCAAATGACCATGTTAATAAAGCACAATCTTCTAATGATACCTTCCTAACTGTAAGCCTTTCGTATATCTTTTGCAATTTCATCTTCAAAAATTCCTTATTAAATTGGTGTGCTATCTATGTAGCACGATTCCTTGTAATCTTTTTCTTGTACTTTATTAACTATTTTTATCTTGCTGCTTACAATGATAATTTCTTTTAATTTGTATTTGTTTCCCTCTTTCCAGATAATGCACATTGCAGCAGCAATGGAAATAAACTCAACACTTTGCCAAGCACGACTTATCTGCTCTAATATTCGCTTAATTAAAAAAGGTGACAATATGTTTTTTATCCACATTGGGTGCCACGATAATTATGTTTTACTATAGTTCATACTAGTATTTTTTCAGGTCAATTTGAGCTGGAGAATCTCCGCAAAGACTTCAACAAGATCAATACGGAAGTCTCCATAGTATAGTGTGTCAGTATCTTTATTTTTGGAAGTAGGTTTTTTTTTTCTTTTTTTAATACTAGTATATTGTAAATATGAAGTTACAGTATTGAAATGTTTAAATTTATTAACATTTTATGGGTTTTTTATTGTCTACATTGATATATTGGATATCTCTATTTACCCTTATTCACTGATAGCAAATTAAAAAAAAATGCCACAAAATATATTTTATTTTTATTTTTTTTGAAAATATCCTTACGATAGCCACGGTTAAACCGTGCTAAATATAATCTTAATCGTGGCTAAAATGAATGTTACCACACTCAAAGAAAATGTGGCAAAAGTATATTGCAACGCCATGATTACCCATGTTCATAGAAAGTGTGGTTGCTTGATTTAGCCACGTTTTTTAGATTATTTAGCCACATTTTTAACCGTGGCTAAACATCAATTTTTTTGTAGTGTGTATATATATATATATATATATATATATATATATATATATTTATTTGAGCTAATGAAAGCACACATTCATGCATATTTATCCAACGTATAAGCAACCAACATACATATCATAATGAGAAACAATATGAAAAGTACATAAGATTAAGGTTCATGTTACGCAAAATTAGAGGGGACCTCCATACACAGAACTTGGTTCACGCAAAACGACTTGAAATTATTATTATGCATGGTATGACCAACAAATCTCATAGTGGTATGGTCCTATCCCATTCAAGAATAAACTTTTTGTTCACATGATTAATATTTGGTCAATAAGTCTTACATATTATATTTGGTAAAATTTCGGTAACATTTTCCATTGGACTCCAAATACAAGTTTGGAACATGGTAAAGTATATATATCATGATCAAGTACGCACCAAAAAGAAAGAAATGTAGTGAACGAAAATTCAATCAAGTATTCGATATAAGACTCAATAAATAACTATTAACCGAGTCAACAAAAATTTCTTCCCAAATTGTCTGTATGAAATCACTACAAGATAAGGGGCATTCTGCAATAGACGTTTCATGACGATTAGGATGAAACAATCGTCTTATCACATTCCACGGCAGTTAATGCGACAGTTAATTTAAATATTGGGTTATATGTATGTTCGACGACGGTTTTGATAAACCACCTTGAAATAGAGGAATTACACAACGGTTAAACATAATTGCCGCAGATCATAATATTTTGCGGCGGTTTATATTTGTTGGTGGCGGTTTGTGAGGGTCATATCTTTCAATTGAACCGTTGAATCATCCTCAAAATTGGTCGGCATGCTCTTCTCATATGATTCTCTAATTTGACAAGACCGATTTTTGAGTTAAATCCTTTGGTGTGAGATATAAATGTCAAAAAATGGCTGTCCAATATTAAAAAAGTCATCCCACCTTCTCCTTCTTTCCCCTCTATAAAAGGAACCCCCTTCTTCACAACATTTAAACTTGGAGATTCTAATAAATCAATATTTGGAATATTTTTCGGGATTACAATTTTAATTGAGATTCTAAATTATTAATATTAATTCTATATAAAAATTAATTATTTTTTTTATAAAATTCATGCATTTTCTGCGACAGATACACATATTCTTGTGACAGTTTAAAATCATTGCTAATGTTACTAAACCGTCGTCAAACATAAATAAGAGGGCGGTTAGCAAACCGCCGCGGAGTTTTTAATAATATCATCTTCCCATAGTATGGCGTCAGTTGTAACCGCCTCTAAACACATATGCAGCGATTATTCCGAAGTTAGAAGAAACCGACGTGAAATAACTCTCGACACTTCTAACTGCGGTAATTTGATAACCATCGTGGGAAACATTTTGCTACAATTTTTAACCGCCGTAAAATGTAATTTTAATGCCGGGAAATGCTTATTTTCTTGTAGTGAATTAATAATTCTAAATTTGATTCAGTGAGTGGTACATTAAAAGAGTACACATACTCATATTGTTAAATCTCAAACAAGAAACTAAGGGACTGTTTGGTGTGACGTATAAGGCATGATAGTATAAGCTTATACTATACATTATGACATTTTCAGTTGTTTGGTGTGACCAATGTATAGTATAAACTTATACAACATAATTACTTAATACATCAAAATGATGTATAACTTAATCAGGTCTTTGGGGGTAGGATTAGACCTAATAAGGAGTGATGTATTAGCTTTAATCCCATCTCATATTTCTCTTCCTCTTCTGCCCCCTTTTTTCCATTTACGTTAGCCCTCACTTCTCTTCTCCCTCCGCCACCATCGTCTTGCAGCTGCAACCATAGCACGACGGCGCTGATTTAAACTCTCCAACTTCATATTGCGAGGTATGTTTCTCTATTGTTATACGCCATCCATTTGCATTTGTGTGTGTTTTTTTTTGGTTGATTTGATCGATAGTTTTTTTTTTTATGGTTTTTGGGGAAAAAATTGCAAACGAAAAGTTTGAGGCTTAGCTAGTCAATAAGAAGAGAAAGAACAGAAATTGGCTAAGTTTGGACAATAGGACCTGGACCAAAAAGGGAACTCCATTTCATATTTTGGACATAAAATTTGTTGGAAGTCAGAACTGGATTGGTAGCTGCAAGTACGAACAGATTCAATGATTCTTAGGTTAGGGTTGTTATTAAATGATCTATAGAGTAATTAAGGCGTGGAGCTTGGACTTGGAGTGGTAGTATGCCAAAATCTTAATAGCAAGCAACAAAAAGGGTTACTTATATGTAATGGAAAAGGTGGAAGACATTAAGAATTCAAATTAACAAAGCACTATGCTTTTGGACATGAGCTCTTCAAGGGTCCAATAACTAGAAAAATTAATTATAACAGATTTGTGATGAGTATATTTCCATTTGAGAAAAAAGTTATTGAAAGTAACATTAAAATGAAACTCTCACTTAAAAATAACTAGAGGCCAACCATTGTCCAAAGAGACTGTCAAGGACCAGTGACAATAAAATTGGAAAAAAAAAAATTTCCCCAGTGGCTTTGTTCCTCCATTGCTTGTTTATTCCATATTGATTGAACAACTATTATTATTGAGTTTTATTTTTTTGATAGGTATGGCATCTGAAAATACTCAACAAGCCAACAAAGTTAAAGTAGAACGTAGGGCTTGGAGTGACGAAGAGTTTAGTACACTATTAGATTTATTAGAGGAGGCAGTTGCCTTGAACAAAAGGGCTGATGCTGGGCAATTCAAAAATGGTACTTTTAAATGGTTAGAACAAAAGTTGGAGGCCAAGTTTCCAGAAGCAGGCATAAAGGTGAAGCCGCATATTGAGTTGATCATGAGGAGGCTTAAAACGGAGTATGGTAATGTATATGACATGTTGAACACAAGTGGTTTTGGGTGGGATGATGTTAACAAGAAGATTCTAGTTGATAGTGATGATGTGTGGAATGCATACATCCAAGCTAAGGTTCTCTAATTTTTTTAATCAATTATAGAACATATTCTTTTATTTTTTATCTACTTTAATTAACTATAATGTGCCTACTTTATTTTTTTTTTACACGTAAAGAGAGACACAACCTTGAAGAACTATAGGACCAAGGTGTTTCCTCACTTTAATCGATTGATGATCATCTTTGGAAAGGATCGTGCTACTGGAAAAATGCTGAAGCTCCTGTTGATGTACTTGAGGACTTGGACGAAGAAGAACAAACTCATGAAAACAATGGTACTGCAGTTGTTCTAGAGGGAGAAGCTAATGTAGTTAGTGATAATGACATCCAAGATGTCACTCAATTAATGTATGTGAATCAAAATAAGAACAAGGCAAAAGATACTAACTCTGAAGGTCGATGAGTAAGAAAGAGATCATGAGGAGAAGATGCACTAGCTACTATGATGGGTGAAGGTGTGAAGGAGCTTGTAGAAGTTGTTGGAAAATCTGCTGATAGGATGGGTGCTATGGCTGAAAGGGTTAAGGTAATGGCTGAAGGTGTGAAGGTTATGAAAGACTTTTATGATGATTCAAGGGGTATTTCGGATGAATTGATGAAATTGGAAGACCTCACACCAAGAGAACGCAATAAGGCTGGTATTTTACTTATGTCGAACCTTCCTCTAGTGCATTTGTTTTTGGGGTTCAAAGGTGAACACAGAGTGCAGTTTGTGAAAGATTTGCTTGATCATAACTCTTGAAAATATTTGATGGAGTTGTAAAAACCTCAATGACCTAGTTTTTGCTCATTTCATTTTGATCATATTATGTCTTGTACCTAAGAAAAATATTTGTATTTTGAATTGGGATCAGTTTGAACACATAATTCTGATTATTGGTGATATGTTATCTTAGGTATAAAGAGCTTTATAGTGCTAATCTATTTTTGTGGTCATTATGCTATTTTTTGCTGCATAGCTACTGGTTCTACTAATTGTATTTCTCTTGGCATTTTGTTGGTTAGGGTACTGGTTCTGCTAACTGTATATAGATTGAGTGAGATTGGCATGTGGGTTAGAGCTAGTAATATTGCCTGTGACATTGTTTGAAGGCCTATAATGATTTTTCTAAATCACAGCCAAAGTTGCCTCATCAGGACAAATAATTATAGTACAGAAACATAACATGAAGAAAACCATGTCACTTCGTAGCAGACATCCAAATGGATTACATGTATAATATTATTCCATGATTGTCTGTTCTGTGCATTTGGTGTCATAGAACCTTTGAAAAGGAAAGATGATGCAATACTTAAAATCCACTAGAACTTAATCAAACATAAAAAAACAAAAAACGCAAGTAAGATCCTACAAGAGCTAAACTTATTCTAATATATACATCTTTCCTCTTCTGCAGGAATGGATTATATATAACAAAAGTGGTTCAACTCTTTTCTACAAAACTCACTCCATTTGTTGTAGTAAATGACATACATTTAGAACTTCCAAATAAGAACCAATATTATATTCCTTTTATTAAGAAGTTGGTTAAAGAAATTTACAAAATGTATTAGTTACGATTTTTTTTTTAAAAGATTGAAGATTTTTACTTTTTATAAAAAATATTTTATTTTTTGGACAAAAATTTTATAAAAATTAATATTATATGACATATTTAAAAGAATTATATAATTTTTTATTAAAGGGTATTTTTTTCAAAAAAATCTTTTTTATCCTATATAGTATTATACAGTGTATTACCAAACACTAGATAGTATTATTTTATACAATACATTATCTTATACAATGTTATGCCAAACGTTGGATATTATTAAATTTAATCAGGTCTTATACAATCAGACTTTATACTATCAGGTCTTATACTATCAGGTCTTATATTATCCGGTGCACCAAACATGCCAGGGCATGTTTGATTGTATTTTGCTTTTTTTTTTTTTTGTTCTTATAACTGTTTTGTATAATAGTTATGCAAATAGATATTTTATATGCTTTGAAAGTTAAAAATCAAAACAGAAGACAAAAACAACCAAGACATATTCTTTAAAATTGATTTTAAAAATAAAAAATAGTTACAATTTTTAATATTCTTTTTTTACAATGCAAACCTTACCAAATGAGTTTTTTGTTTTGAAAATTAAAACACTATTTTCTAGAACAGATTTCAAGCAAGCCCTGAGATTCACTTAGACATAGACCATGCACTGACAAAACCAGAAGTTCTAATAGCAAGAAAAAGTAAGTAAACACAATTTAAAGACCAAGAAATAAAATTATTAGGTCATGCAACATAATTTTTTAAGACTAAAATTCTTTTTTTAAGTACTAAAGCATTAGTATATTTTAGCGCATAAAGTTTAATTTGAAGAATAGAAGTAAATATTTTAAACTAAAACTAATTTAAATTAAGCATTAGGAAAGTGAATGACCAAGCTAAGATTTGACTAATTTGCATGAGGTACTGATATCTTGAAGAGTAATGTCATATTCTTTTAAATAGCATCTTTAAATAAAAAAAGTATTAAATAAAAAAGAAACATTTAAGCTTGTGGAAACTAATAAAAAGTTTAATATTTTTTCATCAAATAATTATGAGGATTATTATGCTAATTGATTATTAGGAGATGTAAAAATAGTGTAAAGCTATATAACTATAAGATTTTGAAAGAAATCGCCTAGAACTCATAAAGATTCAAGATGGCGATTGATTTTTTTTTTTTTTTATAGGAAATTGATATCTATTCAAGAATCAATATGCTAAGGGTGTGCATGGCAACCATTCTGTTTCCCGACACTGTTTCTGGAAAGAAACAATTCTTTTCTATTTCTGTGCCTGGGAACAATTTCTGAGAAAAAAAATGTATTTGATAACATGTTTTATTTTTATTCCGAGAATGAGAATTGCGTTTGATAACACAACAAATAATAGAATAAAAAATTATTCCTATTAAGCATTAATTTTTCAGATCATCACTTTCCTTTTCATATGAAGTGGTGGCGGCGGCGGCGACGGTGGTTGTAGTAGTGGCGTTGTGGTGGTGGTGGCGGTAGCGGTGACGTCATGGTGGTGGTGGTGGAGGTGATGGCACGGTGGCGGCGGCGGTGGCAATAGTGGTGATGGTGGTGATGACATGGTAACGGCGACAGTAATGGTGACAACAGTAGTGGTGGTAATGGTGGCATAGTGGTGGCAGTGATGGTAATGATAATGGTGGTGACGGTGATGGTAGTGGTGGTGGTGGTGGTGGTGATGATGGTGATATTGGTGGTGACGTAGAGGTGGTGGTGGTGACAACAGTGGCCGCATCGATGGTGGTGATAATGATGGCGATGGCGATGGTGACGTCATAGAGGTGGTGGCGGTGGCGATGGTGTAGTGGTGATGGCGTGATAATGGTAGGGGTGGCAGCGACAGTGGTGGTAATGGTGGCATAGTGACGGCGGCGACAGTAATGGTGGTGGTGGTGACGGAAATGGCTGCGACGATGGTGATGATGATGACATGGTGGTGGCGGTGGTGTAGCAGTGGCGATTGAAATGGCATGATAATGGTAGTGGTGGCGTCGGCAGTGGTAATGGCTGCGACGACGATGGTAGTGGTGGTGGTGGTGGTGGTGGTGACAGCAGTGTCTGCGACGATGGTGATGAAGATGACATGGTGGCGATGGTGGTGGTAATGGTGGTGACGGTAGTAGTGATAGGGTGGTGGTGGTGAATCTAGTGATGTCAGTGGCTACGAAGATGGTGGTGATGGTAGTAGTGATAATGGTGGTGACGATGATGGTAGTGGTGGTGGTGGTAATGACGGTGGTGGTGACGTGGAGGTGGTGGTGGTGGTACGACGATGGTAGCAATGGTCGTGTCGGGATGGTGGTGGCAGTGGTGATAATGGTAGTGGTGGAGAGTAATTGAGTGAGATAAGTGTTTCTCATTTTGTGCCCAGGAACAAAAAAACAGATTTTTTTTTATTCTTTTTTCTGTTCCCCAGCACAAAAATTAAACCGATTCATCTCGAGAACAAAAAAAAACCAATTTTACTAAATGAGTTTTCTATCCATTTCTGTTCCCGAGAACAGAAATTGGACTAATTGGTTGCATCATTTTCTTCTTTGGAGGCAAAGCTGTGGCATCTGTACCACACGTGCGCAGAGTGTTCGAATAAGAAGTGAAGCAGACTCCGGTTTCACATCCATGTTCACATATTTCCTCAAGCACTATACAATTTTCATTACTCAAACCATAGCCATAGACCTTCTTCGTTGTAGCAAAGACCAAAAGATCACCATTCAAGACAGTAAAACCAGTGACAGTAGGATCTTGCTCCACTAATCCCATTGCTTTCACTCTTATTTTCAAAATCATTCTCCAAGAACTTGATTCATAGTCTCTCAAAGCCCATATGGTAAAAACAAAATTTCTTAACCTCACCAAACAAATTGATTTAGTTGAACTAGTGACTTTACCCCATTTAAAAATCCCCATGTTACAGCTGTCATCGTTAAAACCCCTTCTTGCTTTTTTAGGCACACGGAGCATTCTTGATGCTCCACTCTCAAGATTATAGGACATGATATATGGCAAAAAATATTGACTATTTCTGTTAACGTAAGGAGAACAATCTGAGATGAAGTGGATGACACCATTATGAATAACAGGAATGTCAAATCTCAAGTTCCTAGCGCCTGTGGTGAAACTTTCTTCCCTTGCTTTCCATACACCTTCCTTGTGAAGGTAAACATTGCAATACAAATTTGAAGACCAACCATCTTTTGGGTTCTCACAAAAAAGAAACAGCATGCAATCATCTGAGTGACATTCAAAAACGATTTTGAGATCAGCGTCAACACTCACCTGCAAATCCTCAGGGATAGGAATGGGGGACAAAGATTGTGTTGCTGGGTTACAAATAAACAACTCAACTTGGTTTTGACAAGTAGCACGACAAAGAATCAAGCCATTGCTTGAAGCCACAATTCTTGCAGAGTTTGTCAAGAATTGTAAAACATCATCAGAGACTCCAGATGATAGCTCCTCTCCCGGTAAAGGGTGTAACTCTGTTTGGCCATTGTACCTCTGACCAATATCTGATTGAATGAAGAAGCACGTGTCATCCTTTAACAATGCATTCTGGGCCTGCTTCGATGCAAATAATGTTTCATCTGAAAACTCTAAGGAGAACTTGCCAACTGACTTGAACCTGTAAACAGCTTTTGCTGGTAACCAAGAGAATATCTCAAATAACACATCATGGGACGACATTGCCATTGTGATAAGTTGTTTGAATGCAAAGAAAACTTTCGAGAGGGGGCAATGAAGGAAGGATGAAAGATAACTATGATTCAAGAAAAGGAGAGAGAACATGTGTGTTTCTTGAATATAGCATGTGACTCTTGTTAATAACTACTAACGTGCAGAATCCTATTACGAATTAAATTGGAGATTTGCGAGAAAACTTCCTTATATATTCAAATCTTTTTCGAATAGATTTCGTTTTATCTTTTTAAATATATGGTATGATTTATTTTCTCTTATTTCTATCGTATTCTCAATTTAAATGACTTTAAAAAAGAAAACAAATAGGATAATCGATTGATAAGGATTTATAATTTTAACTGCCAGCAAATATCATAATGAGAAAAATTAGAGATACTTCAATTCATTGATTTTTATAAATAAATAAAAAAATTGATAAACAATTTTTATATATATATTTTATTGCAACACTTACGCGATAAGAAATAGAGTTATTAAAAAAAAAATTCTTAAAATGTATCCAAACAGATAAAAGAAAATATTCCTCAAATTAACCTGCTTCAAGTAAGTCAAAAGTACCGGCTTAATTATTAGAACTAGTTCTGATATACAATGCCGGCTTTATTTAAAAAAAAAAACGTTCCTTTCAATTTTAGTGTGTGTATATCGTCCTGTGTAACAGAAACTATTAACTATTATGTTATTAGATCATATTTTTTTAATAAATTGGGTTTATATTTAATAATACTTCTTTGCTTATCTAAAATTTGAACTTTTATCTAATAAATTTAAACTTATCTTTCTAAATATATGATATGATTCATTTTCTCTTGCTATGAAGCGCTTACGATATATTTTGTTTTTTTCAAAGGATAATAATGTTTATACCATCATATTCTCAGTTTGAACGACTTTAATAAAACAAAATGAAAATTTTTGTTCCGAGGATTTATCAGAGCCTTGAGTTAAATTTGGCCTAATATAATTTTATTATAATTTTTCCTAGACAGTTAAAAAATAATTATTAATATCGCAAGATATACGATACGTATCACATAATATGATAACTTAGCAATATAATTCATTTGCTTGTATCAGAACTGGACTTGGATCAGACCGAAATTGTATATCATATCATAATTTATAATTCAAAAATAAAACAAATTTATGATTTTAAATTAAAAAAATCTAAAAAGTCACTAATAATTGGGGGGAAACAGAAATACAATTTGTAATTTAAATTAAAAAATGAATACAAAAAATCACTATAAATTAGATAAACAATCAAATAAATACTTAAATTAATATACAAGTCTCTTCGATCTATATACAATCCAATACCAACAAAGCCTTGAACAATTGATAGATAGCTTGATACAACCATGGATAGAACCTAAGATGAGTTATTCAATGAGTATCAAAATAAGGCCAACATAATTTCGTCTATAACCTCAAAAAAATTTGCTCAGTGAGCATACATTGACTTCAGAGATTTATCCCCTTTGGGCAGACAAATCACCTAGACCAACACACCTCAAATAACTCCATCTCCAATAATCTTCCAATCAAAACACACTACAACCCCCTTAGGACAGGAAATTGTATGAAATAACCAGAAACATTATTTAAATTACAAAGAAATTTCTATAAATTAATACAAACAATCTCACTTTGGTGACAATTACCTATAGTAATTTATAGAAACTCTTACACCTTTTGCCCAAAATCATAATACAATCACAAAGGTGTAGCACCCTCACTGATCATGAATTCATATACAATAGCTTTCCAAAAGAAAAATTTGCATTTAAACAATTCAAGTGAAAGCATATAACTCAATAAATAAAAATATTTTATAAATTATACATCTGCATTTCTTATAATTTACCTAGTGAATAACTCTATAATGACATGGTTGTTGTTAATAGCAAAAATAACCGATTGACATACACAATGCAACAAGATTAAATTTAGGCAACAAAAAATAAGTTATATATCATAAACCCCTTTTTGGACAGGTATATAATATACAAATATTTTCAATTGCATGAAGATTTGAACAAAAAGGAGAATTACATACAATTACAAAAAATACAATTATAAAAATTCATCCCCTTTGGACAGACAAACTTTTAAATTATACATATTTCTTTATAATACCACATGCAATTTAAAATTGATTTATCCCTTTTGGGCAGACAAATACTTCTAAATCATGTATTCCCCATCAATAATTTTTTTATGCAATTTTTCAAATTATCATATATAACAACCCCCTTTGGGAGGGTAACTAACATATATCAACAACAATGTCCAACAATATGAAACACTTCACAACATGTGTTTCCAGAAATCATATTGCGTTGGTCAATCCAACAAATTTTTCCATAAAAAATTCAGCACTTTATAACATTAAAATATAGGGATAGGATATTGTGACACCCAAGTTATGTTACACTCATGTGACACCCAGTCAATCTCACCGTTAGATCGCTTATGTTGATCCAACGATTATATTTATTTCCATCTTTGTATGGTCATGGTTTCCCAAATTTAATATTTTATATTTATTTCTACCTTTGTATGGTTATGATTTCCCATATTTAATGCTTTCACTTTAAATTTGGGAAATCATGACCATACAAAGATGGAAATAAATATAACCGTTGAATCAACATAAGCGATCTAACGGTGAGATTGACTGGGTGTCACATGGGTATAACATAACTTGGGTGTCACAATATCCTATCCCTAAAATATATGACAAAAATTTATGCTTGAGTGGGAGAGTGAAAACAACCAAAGTCAATTACGAGAAAGTGAATACTGTCATAAAGTCCACCACTTGACATAATAATTTTTCAGTAATTTAGATTCTCAAAATCCGGGAGCACACACACACATAATTAAATATAGAATAGAACATAGTAAGTCCACCACTTGCATTTTTGCCTAAGTTTATTTTTGAAATCTCATTCACTTATTATACTCGTATGTTTGCTGGACATGCTCGCATCATTGATAAACTTTTGTCTTTGAATTCATTCTAGTCTTTCTGGGTTCTTTGGAGTTGAATTTAAGCCTTCGAGTTCTTCTAGCACCATTTCTATGGCATGCGTTCCTTCTCGGTCTCAAAGATCTGAGTTATTAGTATCTTCCAAAATCATGGAGAATCAGAACATTGGGAATCCTGCCATTGGCTTTGTGGTGCAAAATCCGCTATCTATAGCTACCTTTCCCACCACTTCAATCTGGATTAAGTATCCTGGTACTGAAGCCAATATTGCCCGCTCTATTTTAAGCTCTAAACTCGTTGAGCATGGCTTGAAGTCTTTAGTTGAGTCAAACTTGTTGGATTGCACTCACTGTCGGAATCCAATAGAATCAAGTCCTATCATTGGGGACATATCTCAACCGATAGAGATCTCAGACGAGACTTCTAGCTCGTCCAGTAGTAGTTTTTCTTCTTCAGGTATGTGTATTCATTTTTTGATCTTAGCTTTAATTGTTCTAGGTTTTATAGAGTCACCCTCTCTAGAGGTAGAGGCCGAGATATCCTCTGTTGACCCAAGGCCTAAGTCGCCTAGTGCCAAATTGATAGCCAAGTATCCCTGGGTGACTAATGAAGTTTGAGTGTCAAGTCCGATATGAGTGTCGAAGATGTAGACAGGCTTCCCGTCGGTAACCCAATTGGCTACGTCTTTCCCCCTACTCAGGGAGAAACTCGGAGGAACCTCATTTCTTCTTCTTTTATCGTGATTTAATTACTAAGGTCGGTCTTCAGTTTTCTTTTTTCGAATTCCAGATATATCTATTTAATCATCTCCATCTTGCCCCAACTTAAATACATCCCAACAGCTGGGCGTTCGTGAATGCCTTCGAACAACTATGTTCATCCTTAAGTTTGCATTGCACAATATCTCATTTTCTTCATTTTTTTAGCGTATATACATCTCAAATTAGGTCCAAACCGCCCGAGTTGAAGGATTGAACCAGTATTCGGGGTCGCCATAAGAAACGACATCTCTAGCTATAAATCAAAATTTTCAGCATAGTGCATAATTGAGATAATATCAGTGTTGTAGGTACATAACCTACGTAAGTCAATAAGCAAAAAATACTCAAATGTGTTCATTATGATTTTTTTAAAAAGAAATTTGGAAGTTTTTTTTTAGATCGGGCCATCGATTTTCACAAAAACCGGCCGAGTCGCATCGGTTCCAATGCATGGTTGGTCCATTGCTTCACTCGGACTGGTTATATGACCAGTTTACCGATTTTTTAATCAACCCAGCTAGATCAGTCCGATTTTATTAACATTACACTTAATACAACTATATAATCAATATTTTTTAAATAGGTTGAACCATTTGAACTAGGTGTTCACGATACCACTAA